TAGGGAGGACTGGTTATCATGAGTACGTTCTCTCTATTAACAAGGGAGAATCTTGGAGAAATGTGCAGATGTCACCTTGGTGTCTTTTTTGGTGATTATTTGAGAAATCAGAGGATATGCTTATTGCCAGAGGACTGGGGAAGGGCAGACGTTACTCCTGCCTTCAAAACAGAAGGGAAAGGTAGTTTGCTTTGTCTTGATAGGAACAGTCAATTAAACAAACTGGTGAGATTGTTTCCAGTTGTGACCAAAAACGTTTCATACAATTCCTGCCTACCTTTATTCTGGACAGGAGGGTATAGATTCCAATGCAATTCCATACCAATTAATTAAATACATAAATATCAGACCTGCCCAAAGACACCATGTAGCCTGTCCCTGTTTCTACCCCCCCCCAAAAAAAAACCCCATGAAAAGTAATCTCCTCATTTAGCAACTGTCTCATTTAGCAACTGTGTGAAAAATGGTCATAAGTCATTTTTTTCAGTGCCATTGTAACTTCAAATGGTCACTGAATGAATGGCTATAAATCAAGGACTACCTATGTAATACAATATGTCTTGGAGAAAGTTGGGAATATTACAAGACATTTCACTGGAGAACGTTTTTTTTAAACCTACGGTGTGAATGCTATACCTTGCTTGTCTACTTTGTAACACAATCTCTCATTTATCTTGTGACAATCCACTATAATAGTATTTTTCTCACAGTTGGGAAAAACCTTTTAAGCAAGTTTTCACAGGCAGCTTGTTTTTCTTGTTTTAGTTCTGATTTTTTTTTCCTTTTCCTCTACTGTACTTGGGTTATATGGCAAGAATGATGCACACTCCCCTTATTGTGGCAATTTTTTATTATTTGATGAGATGTTTGCTATTATCTAGATTATACTTGGATTAAAACCCACATTAACCTTTCTCTCATGCCAAGTTATTTTCATTACTTTAAACTTCTACTGCATGCTAGCATTTTGCCTCTCTTTACATATTGAATTGTATTACCCATCTTTGGGTTTTATTGCAGAAAGGGTCTTAATAACAATTAAGATTCCTTTACACTGTTTAATATCAGATGCTTGAACTTTCTTTTATAAAGAAAAGCAAACTATAAACATTGTTTAGAGAAGTTAACTTCCCCAAAGAATTCCAGAATTCCTAGTTCTGTTAATTAAAAGGCGTGGTGCAGCTATTCTACTTTTATTTCCTAAACTATATGTATGTGTATTTGTTCCTAAGGAAAAAATATGCAGGAAAAGCAGTAATAATTTTAGGTGAACGACTGTTTTTTTCAGATATCAGTAAAAATGCTTTGTTTCAAAGTCCAATTTAAAAACCTCATTTGGAATTAAGGCTAAGTCATCCACCATTGATAAATCATTTTCTCCCCCTTTAAAATAGGCAACATATGTGACACATAAAAAGGAATGTACAGACAGTTGTAGTCACCATTTTGGCTTTTTTAAACTTGTTGATACTTTCTTTCCTAAAGACAACATATGTCCCCTCTTGAGGAATTAAACTAAAGTTATTGTATTTTTACTTGGGCTACTGCAAGCTGATACTTTAAGGATGGGAGAAACTTTTCCTAACTTTTCAGCAGCTACACTATAAATTTTCTCACATTCATATATTTCATGCTGGAGAAGAGGAATTTAACCTGCACATTCATGTTCAGCATCAAGTTTCCCTGCCCTTCCCAAGTTAGTTATCTTGACTGTCTTATGCTCTTTTGATATTATTTAAATTGTGTTTTTATATGCTGTGGCTCTCTATTTAGACTCACTACTGTGAAATGGGCAAACTATGCAAATTAAGCAAAAAAATTAAAATAGGATGCGGGTGGTACAATAAGGGCTATACCATAGCACAGGGGTCCCCAACCCCCAGGCTGCGGCCCACTGCTGGGCTGTGAGCGGTTCAGAACCGGGCCGTAGAAGCAGTGGGAAAGCATATGTGCATGTGGATTCCCACTTGTGTGACGGTGGGCGCATGTGCTCACCACCTGTGAAAATAGAGCTGTGCGTGAACCCACACAGTTGCTGCTGCTTGTGTGGAACCATTCCGTCTCCTCCCCCTTTCCCCCCGTCTGCAAAGCCAAAAAGATTGGGGAACTCTACCATAGCAATTTCTGTATCAGTGGTGGGTTCCTCCCGGTTCCGCCCGGTTCCGCCGAGCTGGTAGCGGAGACGATATGATATCACTGAACAGGTTCTGCCCCCCGCCCCCCCCCGGGTTATTCTTACCTTTTATTTGGCCCCACCCCCAATCTATTGCTGCCTCCTGAGTCCCAGCTGATGGGCTATAAGGAAAAACTGTTTAAACTCTTGCCTCGGGGCTTCAAAGGGCCGCCCTACAGCTGATCAGTGGTAAAAGGCAGTTTGATGGTAGACCCATGCCTGCAAAAATAAATGAGTAGACCAGTGCCTGCAAAAATAAATGGGTAGACCAGTGCCTGCAAAAATACATGAGTAGACTGGTGCCTGCAAAATAAATGGGTAGACCAGTGCCTGCAAAAATATATGAGTAGACCAGTGCCTGCAAAAATAAATGGGTAGACCAGTGCCTGCAATAATACATGAGTAGACCAGTGCCTGCAAAAATAAATCCTTGAGGAGCACCTGGAGGCTCCAGCTGGTCCAGAATGCAGCGCGCAGGTAATTATGGGGGCGACATGGCGCTCCCATGTAACACCTCTCCTGCGTGAGCTGCACTGGCTCCCGGTGGTCTTCCGGGTGTGTTTCAAGGTATTGGTTCTCATCTTTAAAGCGCTCCATGGCTTAAGGCCCGGGTATTTACGAGACCACCTTCTGCCACCGATAACCTCCCACCGGCCAATCCGCTCCCACAGAGAGGGTCTCCTCAGGGTGCTGTCGGTCAAACAATGTTGACTGACGACCCCCAGGGGGAGAGCCTTCTCTGTGGGGGCACCCGCCCTCTTGAACGAGTTACCCCCAGGAATACGACTGATCTCGGACCTCCGTACTTTCTGCCGAGCATTGAAGACCTTCTTATTTCAGCAAGCCGGTGGTATACTAACTAACTAACTAACTAACTAACTAACTAACTAACTAACTAACTAACTAACTAACTAAATAAATAAATAAATAAAATAAAATAAAATAAAATAAAATAAAATAAAATAAAATCAAATAAAATCAAATAAAATCAAATAAAATCAAATAAATAATAGACCAGTGCCTGCAAAAATAAATGGGTAGACCGGTACAGCTCTGCAAGCAGTTAAAAGCCTGGTAGACCAGTACCTCTGTTAAATCCTAAAGAATTGTCACATGACCATCAAGCCATGCCCACAAAATAAGCCACGCCCACAGAACTGGTAGTAAAAATTTTTAAAACCCACCCCTGCTCTGTATCTGTTTAAAGCAGGGGTGTCAAACTCGATTTCATTGAGGGCTGCATCAGGGTTGTGTTTGACTTTGGGACGGGGTGGGCGTGGCCAGCTCGATGTCACCTGTGTGGTGGCCTGAGCGCTCTGCCAGAGAAAACTGGCTCCCGAGCTCCGTTTTCATTGGCAGAAGCACCGTGAGCCAGTCCTTTGCTGTTTCCAGAGCGGCCCCACGGGTCAGATCTAAGCAACCTGCAGGCCAGATTTAGCCCCTGGGCCTTGAGCTTGATACCTCTGGTTTAAAGGATATTTTGTACAAATAGCATATGTGTCAACTATCACTATAGTAGTGGGCTTATTGTTCATTGTCACTTGCACTTTCACTCAAAATTCTGCAAAATACCTTTCCAGGCGCACTTAACAATCTAATCCCCCTATAACTTTTGCATTCATTCTTGCTAATAGTAACAACAGCATAATTCTTCCAATCATCAGGCACAAATGCAGCTGTATATATGTGAAAACTCCATTTCATAAGCATTCATTCATATTTTAGCACTTTTTCAGGACCAGCATTACCATTTTTCAACATTTTGCACAGCTTCATTTTTTTTCTTGGCTACTAACGTTTTAAGCACACGTTCCATTTACTGTCTTTGACATTTCACTTTCCCTGTCAAACAAATCATGTGTAGTCAACTGTATCAAATATTTATTTGGTAAAAGTTTGATAACTCAAAATCACCATTATTGTTAAGATCTCATCAAGGTTTGGCTTTTGTTATCTTTCTCCAGTATTACATTGTTTGCCAAGCTAGTACAGGATATAATAGCTGAAAATTCTGAATTGTTACTTAATTCACCAGGAGGAGATTGGCCTCATCTTACATCAGGCACAAATCCTGTATTATAAATTGACCCTATTTATATAGAACTGTATATTTTAGACAGGGTTATAGAATAGAACCTAGCAGTCCGAAAGCACGTAAAAAATGCAAGTAGAAAAATAGGGACCACCTTTGGTGGGAAGGTAAAAGCATTTCGTGTGCCTTTGGCATTTAGTCATGCCAGCCACATGACCACCGCGACGTCTTCGGACAGCACTGGCTCTACGGCTTTGAAATGGAACGATTAGCACATATGTGCAAGGAGAACCTTTACCTTTACCTTATAGAATAGAATTCTTTATAGAATTCTTTATTGGCCAAGTGTGATTGGACATACAAGGAATTTGTCTTTGGTGCATATGCTCTCAGTGTACATGAAAAGATATATTCGTCAAGAATCATAAGGTACAACACTTAATGATAGTCATAGGGTACAAATAAGCAATCAAATCATACTAGGAAACAATCAATATAAATCTTGCCTATTAATAACAAGATCCATAACTTTTTCCTTGAGACCAAAGACCAAAGTCACAAGATAATCAATTCACTATTTGTGTGTAAAAGCTGTGTATTGAGCAATACCGCCCTCTACCTGCCACTTTAAGTAATCACAGCCACTCTTCTTACGGATTATGGACGCCTCATCCGCCAGGAGCCGCTATCGAACGCGCACCACGCATTCTCCGTCCAGCTCCCTTCTAAACCTGAGAACTACATTGACCGATAGGCCTTGCGGGCGTGGCAGGAAATCCCGTGTTTTGTAGTAGGAGCGGTGCTTCTGCTGCCGCCGCCGCCGCCGCCACTGTTGGATGTGGGTCCGTCATGGCGCTGGAGACCCTCTCGCCGGATTGGGAATTCGACCGCGTTGACGACGGCTCTCAGAGTAAGAGGTGGGGTGGGGAAGGCCTGCAGTGGGAACCTAGGCTTTGAATCCGGCCAAACCAAGGGAGAGGTTTGCGGAGGGGCGCCTGCAGTGGTGCTCCGGCTCTTGGGAGAATGGCCAAGCCCTCTCCGTCGAAAGGTTTCCCCCCCACCCGGGTCCCTGCGGAATGAATGGGTCTTTCCTCCGGGATGAATTTAACTCTTTCCTCCCGGGCCGAAGGAAGGACCTTAGCTTGTGCCCAGCGCTTGTCCATAGGCTGCTAAGGTTGGGGGGCAAAAGGACGTGTCCATCCGTTTCTCCCCAGTCAAGGTGGCTGGGGGTTAAAAGGAGAGTTTGGGTCCCTTTACACAAAGTTCACACTGCTTTGCCTACCTAAAGGTGAACAAACAAAAAAAACCTCTGCCAAATCCCCAGATATACAACAGACACACGCAGGACGTCTTGTCCGAAGCAGGAAAGTTTGTGATTAAAAAGTTGTTCTGAAATCTTATTCCTCTTTCCAGTGAATTACGGAATATAACACACATTGCCCGTTTGTGTTACTCAGCCCTTGCGTTTCTACCCATATTGTAAGGGTATACATACACACACACACACACACACACACACACACACACACAAATGAATAGTTTTAGGGGTATTTTGAAATTGAAATGCAAACCCTAATTTCTGTAGGTGATCATTAACATGTTTGAGGGCAAAATTTAAGATTGAATTTGGCAATTCTGGCAATTCATGGCAAATATTTGTGTGCCCCTGCGAAAGATTTTGTTTTTTTGCTAACATGGCTTCAAATGATTGACAGTTTGTAATTGATTTAAAGCAGGGGTGAAATCCAGCAGGTTCTGACAGGTTCTGGAGAACCGGTAGCGGGAAATTTTGAGTAGTTCGGAGAACTGGCAAATACCACCTCTGGCTGGTCACAGAGTGGGGTGGGAATGGAGATTTTGCAGTATCCTTCCCCCAGGAGTGGGGAGGGAATGGGGATTTTGCAGTATCCTTTCCATGCCACGCCCACCAAGCCACACCACAGCCACAGAACTGGTAGTAGAAAAATTTGGATTTCACCACTGATTTAAAGCACTTTTGTTCAACAGTAAACTATGGCTTTTTTAAAAAAATGAGGATTAGTTAAACTGAAGGAATGGTCCCCATAACTGCATCTACTTATCTAAGAGTGCTCAAGTTTGAAAGATGTAAAATAATAATTACTGAGAATCTGGAATATAAGGGATGGGTGGGTTAGACCTAGCTTAATCTGGATTAAAACTGGAGTATAATTTGTGCGTCTTGAAGATAGATCAGTATTATAGTGAACATGATTGAGATTTTCCCCTCTGCAGGACTGATAATGCATAAAATGAGAATAAATTCTTCATTTCTACTGCATTTTTATAAATGAGGTTAGGAGTCTAATGTGTTTTAGTGGTAGTGAGCGATGCAGTATGAGATAAAGTTTACTCAGATGAATACGGAGTAAATGATCTTCACTGCATATTTCATTAATTCTGATATAATTTTGCCTAATGATAATGTAACGGGGTATAATGTCTATTGTAATCCAGGTAGTCATCAATTTATGACTACGATTGAGCCCAACATTTCTGTTGCTAAGTGAACTATTTGTTAAGTGAGTTTTGCCTCATTTTACAACCCTTGACACAGTTCTTAAGTGAATAACTACAGTTGTTAAATTAGTATCATGGTTAAGTTAAGTGAATCTGGCTTCCCCATTGATTTTGCTTGTCAGAAGGTCGCAAAAGGTGATCATGTGACCTCTGGACACTGCAGCTGCCATAAATATGAGTCAGTTGCTAAGCATCTGAATTTTGATCATGTGATCATGGGGATGCTGCAATGCTCATAAGTATGAATAACGGTTTTAGCTCACTTTCAGTGCTGTTGTAACTTTGAATGGTCACTAAATGAACTGTTGTAAGTGGAGGACTACCTATATAAGTTATAAGAACTAAATGTTACAGACTTCTGCTGCTATGATGGTTGAATGATTTTCCTGTAAAGGCCCTCCCTCTTCCCAGTTGAGATTATGTTTTCTTCTCTCTTCGACAGCAATTTCCCTGTTGATAGTACTTTACTTCCTCTTTGCTTTCTGTTGGTTTCCGATTCGCTTGATTGTTCCAGCTAGTTTATTTTATTTTTGTGTTGTTTTTGGTAATTGGCAGATATTCTCCACATTTTACACTCTATCTTTTTGGGTAGAGACTTTATTCTTGCAGCTGCGCTCTACTTTTGCTGAAATATGTAGTCATGCTGAAGTAATTAAGAGGTTTGGTGGATGCATTTCTCTCCTTAATTTGCAGAAATTGGAACTTGACAGTCTGTTTCATTTATATTTTGGGACTTTTTTACAGATGTGTATGAACTGGGGGTGTTAACATTATGATATGAATATTAATTGGAATATATACCATTCTTGGAGATATTCTGCACACTTGCACATGTTTTTAATTATCATGCATAAAATACATATTTTGTCACTTATGAAATATTTAATTACAAAACTATCTTATGAAATATATTGCATAATAGTTACCCAGAAAATGACATAATATAATGAATTTATTTGAGTAGTTTTGCCTTTGCATTGACATTTGGTTATAAATAGCTTTGTCAATATAAAAACATAATGTGCATTTACATCACTTATTCACTTGTATATTGTTGCTGAAATCATAAAGCAAACTGAGTCTTTTAAAATGCAGTCTCTTTAGTTGTAGATACGAAAAAGAATTTAAAGTGCTTTATTGTAAGCAGCCATGTTTAGTAGTGTATAAAAAGAAAAACAGTTTCCTGTTTTGCCTCTTGTAATTCCAGTTCCTTGGTTAAACATTTAAATAAAGAATGTTTATTTGTACTAATACAAAACTGCAGCATGCATACCGTCTTACACATTAATAATGAAATTTATAGTTCATTCATCCCCAGCCTGGTACCCTACAGTTGGTTGGAATATCAATGTAAAACTTGTAAAATAATGTAACTCATCACCTTCCTGCAATAAATTCCGTTATCAAAATAGCAGAATGACTGACTTGTGGTGAAATGTTATTTTTTTGCTACAATATTAAAACTATCATTATATATCCTTATAATAGATTGTTTAATAATATTAAAATAACAGACTGGGAGCAAAAAACCTCTGTGAAGAAAATGGAAGAGGGGACTTTGAGTGATTTTTTAAAAAAGTAAATAAGTAATTGCTTGAATTTAGGTAATTTCTGTGATTCCAAGCTTAATCAGCATATTTCCAAATATTATAATGAAAATGCTGTTTACTCGTAGAAATCCATGCTGAAGTGCAGTTAAAGAACTATGGGAAATTCCTTGAAGCATATACTTCCCAGCTGAAGAGAATTGAAGATGCATTGGATGATTCCATTGGAGATGTTTGGGACTTCAATCTTGACCCCATTGCATTAAATGTATGTATACCGTATGCCTTATGTGCTTATGCCATTTTACTCAAGCCTCTTACTATTCAATTACATACCATACTTGCACAGAATTTTGTAAGGCAACCAGACATTCAGAACAACTTTCCCCAACCTATTGCCCTGTTTATGTGGGACTTTCCCCCCAGTTCCATTCTGGGTACATGTTGAAAAGTCTGTTGATTATTCTAACATCACTGAAGAGGGAATACCTGCATGCTGTCTTTTGAATAATTACATTGAGAGCCATCTTTCTAGAACCACCTCCTGTTGAATAATTAATATTTAACTGCCACCATGTACTTTGCTGTAGACTACTTTGGCTTCAGGCCACCATTAGAAGCATTTGCAATTTTCCCCAAGTTGGTTGGTGTATTTGTTTATATTTAATTAGTTCAGCTATTCATTTGTTATGCATGTACCGAAATATTCTAGTTGGGGAAAAAAATCCTTTATGTACTCATTAAATAAGCTTCTAGAACAGGGGTGTCAAATTTGATTTCATTGAGGGCCACATCAGGGTTGTGTTTGACCTTGGGCGGGGCTGGGGGGCGTGGCCAGCTCAACATCACTCGTGTCAGGGGCGCCTGTGGTGGCCCAGGCGCTCTGCCAATAAAAATGGGCTCCCAAGCTCTGTTTTCGGCTGCCACTGCCTTCTGCAATCCTCTGCCAGCAAAAACAGAGCTATGGAGGGCCATCAGTTGTGTTGGGGGTGTCTGTGGTGGCTGGACCACTCTGCCAGCGAAAACGGGCTCTGAGCTCTGTTTTCAGCTGTGATGGCCTCCTGCAACCCTCTGCCAGCGAAAACAGAGCTCGGGAGGGCCTGTCCTCCCGAGCTCTGTTTTCTCTGGCAGAGCACCATGGGCCAGTCCTTTGTTGTTTTCAGGGCAGCCCCGCGGGCCAGATCTAAGTACCCTGCAGGCTGAATTCGGCCCTTAAGTTTGACATCCCTGTTCTAGAAGTAAGGTATAATATTTCCACCCCATTCCAATATTTATATTTCAGGATTTTGGCTGTTGTTTCTATTTTGCTTGTGACAATCATCACCTGTTTAATAATTTAGGAATGAAATTTTTAAAGGCTCTCTTGGCTCTCCGGTAGGGTACTTGCTTCCTCAGAGTATAGTACAGGGTTTGTCCTATGTAATTGCAGTTTGGATTAAGCTTCCTATTTCATTTAGCTAAAACAATCATGTTGCAAATCTCTGATTTCCCCTTAAACCATTCGTGTTTTTGCTTAATTTTAGCTTTTGCCTTATGAACAGTCTTCCTTACTTGAACTCATAAAGACAGAAAACAAGGTACGTTGCTCAGTGTCAAAAACATATTACAAACATATTGCAGTTTCTTTTTGTGCTTTACAAAATATATCTTTTGTTTATAAGTTTTAAATCATTTTACCTTGCCTTTCACTAGAAATATCCAGAGCTGCTTTCCAACAATCAGTAATAAACAAGATATTCTCTGCTCCCAGATTTATAACTAAAAGATGTGACAAGGAGATAAGGATGTCCCCAGTTCTTAAAGTTGAAATGTCCATCTTGAATTAAACATATTTATTTCTGTATTAAAGTTTGTATCATACCTACATTCTTTCCCCTCCTTTATTCTGTTTATAAAAGTAGCCTGGATTTTTTTTCTCTTGTTTATCCAGGTTCTGAACAAAGTCATCACTGTATATGCTGCTCTTTGCTGTGAAATCAAAAAGTTAAAACATGAGGTAAAATCTTTCTTTTATCTCTTGTATTATGTATAAGCCGCTACATACCGTATTTTTCAGAGTATAAGACGCACCCTTTTCCCCCCTAAAAGGGGGTGAAAATTTAGGTGCATCTTATACACCGAATGTAGCCCCGCCCACCCACTGGCCCCCATTCTTTGGCCTCTACCTCCCAGCAGTTACCTCCTTGCAAGCAAACAGCAAGAAAAACAGCTCCTTTCATCTTCAGCACAGCCTAATTAGCACAAGTTGATTGGATGGCCTCCCGACTCAGCTGATTTGCTCTCAGCTGTTTTGCGCAGGGCTCTGCTGCTTGCTGCAAAGAGGTAAATTGCTGGAGCAGATTTTTTTTTCCTTGTGCTAATTAAGCTATGCTGAAAACGAAAATGAAAGTAAAGCAGGCTGTTTGCTGTTTGCTGCAATCAGGCAAAATTGCTCAGAGGCAGAGGGAGATTTCTTTTTCTTCTTTTCCTCACCAAAAAAGGTAGGTGCATCTTATACTCCGGTGCATCTTATACTCCGAAAAATACAGTACATGTTTCATTCATATTTGATATTTAAGATGTAATCGTGCATTTCTATAAACTAAAACTATATAAAGTATTGTGCAAGAAAAAAAATCTGCTTTTATTCCCAGGCAGAAACGAAGTTTTATAACGGCCTCCTGTTTTATGGTGAAGGAAGTAAGTATTGTATATTAATTATGCTAATATCGGACACATCTATTCAAAGATTCTGTATGCAGTAATAAACTTCAAATATGCTTTTGTTATTGAGAAACAGCAAACTTTCTTAAATCTTTGCTTAACCAATTATATAACAAGATAGGAAAAGCAGAGCATAAGTTTTGGAATTCTTTCCAGCCTCATTACCAACAGTAGCTATAGGATAGGAACAACCTGCATGTAGCATCCTCTCAAATAGGAAGGGCTTCTTTTAAAATGGATTAGTTTTACCTCTTCTGCATGTGCAAAATAAATTTATGAAGAGCAATAGTAGACCATATGTCACATCAAATGCATTTTGCATTTTATATGTGGGAACTGATTTTTAATTTAGTTTAGAACTTTGAGATTATGCGGTAATACTGATGACATGTTTAAGAAATTGTTTCATTACTGAAATATAGTTTGGATGCTTTGATAGATAAGCCATGAAATATCTTGATTTAAGCTGATCTTGTGATGAATAGAATGTTAATGCCCAAATGATGAGCAGACAGTACGGAAGTTACAAGTACTTGATAGAAATGCCTGACCAGTATTGGATGTTTTCTGAAGCTGACTTTCTGTTTTCTATCCGAAGTATAATGCATATCCACAGCTTTCAGAGTAGTATTTTGTTATTAGTTCATTAATGCTTAGAAGTGTCCTTCAGTAACAGACTTTTACTGTGTGTCTGTGTGTCTGTTTGTGTGTATTTCTAATAATATAACATGAGCCGCTATTATCTTAAGCAGGTAATATCTTTATGATGTTTGTTCTCCTGTCATGCCTGATTTTGAAACATGTAGTGAGATGCTGCCAAAATGAAAACAAGGCACTGTTGATTATTTGGTTCATTGGCAGGAAGCAAAGAGAGTGTTGAAACAACTACACAAGTCACATTTGTTTTATCAATAGCTTCTTCTTGACTGTGATGCAGGGATTGGGAAAAAGGTTGGCAAATTAAAGCACATTTATTTGGGAAGCATCCAAGCAAATAGATCTAAATGGCCAAATCTGTAAGGGAATAAAATCCCCCCCCCCCGTTTGTTTCTTTTTGTGCACTGGGTAATTTTTGCATAGTATAGGATAATAAAGTATTTAAACTTGAAAGCAGTGTGTCATGATAAGCTTTTCATTTGAATTCTATTGGTTTTATATGATTTGTCATGGTATGCTTTAATTATGACTCGGGGAAAATGGCTACGGTATACTTGGGGGTAATTGATTAGTAATGATTGAGTTCTCTCAAAGTAGGGTAATTTTCATGTTTATTTTTCAAGCTGTGGATTCCAGTAAGGTGGAAGGAGATAGTCAAATACAGATGGGAAGATTTATTTCATTTCTCCAGGTAATATCTATAGTACCGATTTTTTGCAGAATTTTGTCTTTACTAAGTGGTCGATGTCTTAATTGTGCTATGGGATTTTTCCCCCCATGACAACAACAAAAGTGATTTAAGTAAAATGTCCTTGGGTGAATTGGTGGTAAGTAGAGTTGTATTGTTCTTAGCTTTCTGTTTTTCTCTTCTTCTTTTTTTGTCCACCTTCCTTTGCAGATTTTATAACAGACTCTTGCATGCATCTATTTGTAGTATGTCTGTGGTAGATTAAAACACTCCCCATCTGCAGATGAATCTGTATGCCTTGAAAAAGAGCAACAAGACTAACAATTCTGCTAGGTTTGGGTTAATAAGGAAAAGACAGTTCCAAGTGATAACATTAGATGGATAATCCAATGGCAGACAATGAATCTACTCTTTATTCTCTACTTTCTATTGCTTCTCCTAATAAGGGATTCAATGTTGTGGGCATTTCCTCCCTTGAAAATCAGAAAAAAAGTATATGCAGCGTGGCAATTGACGTTTAGAAATAATATGAAGTTGTGTGTTTTGCAGAAACTGTAGCTATTTGAAGAATCGCTTTTAGTTAATGCTGCAAGTATAGCTCGGGAAACATCTTAAAAGAGAATGTTTTTGATGAAAACATACAATATATTTATTGGACTTGAATTTTGCTGTATGTAGTTCATAGTCATGCCTTTGCATTTGGCATAATTTCAGGACCTTGTGATTGGTTTTTGCTAAGCAACACTTAACAAATAGAGAGTTGGTTTTTAAAAAATTCTCTGGCAGTAAAATGAGCTTGAAGTCAACTTTCTGAATTTTTTAAAATTTCAATTTATTAGATTTTATTTGCATTTTTTATTTTAGAATTGCAGAGGAATAAGTTCTAATTTTCTTTGTTTATTTGTTGTATACCCTATCACAAAAAGCTTAGGGCAGTTTACATTGGGATTTCCCTTTATTTTATCTTCACAATAGCAACCCTCTGAACTAGACTGGGCTCAGAGAAAGTGACTGAATCAAATTCACCCAGTGAGTTTCCATGACTGAGGATGGACTTGAACCCGAGGCTTCCTGCTTTAATCCAGCTTTTCCAGTACTGGAACACATTGGCAGTCTTTTAAAAGCCAATCTTTCATCTCGTTTGAAGATAAATTCAGAAAATTTAAATTTTTCATCGTATTACCCTTCTTTTGCAACTTTTCAAAGTAAATCTGTTTCCACAGAACAGAAAATATAGATGCAGATTCATTCTCTAAGTGGAGTCGGAAATGACTATTACTCAATTTCCTGCTACAGAGCCAGTTACAGCAAATACATGGTTGCTTCTATGCAGTTCTTAAATAACTAATGAGTTGTGCTGCTGCCTGTTTTCCCTTTCAGACATTGATCTCTGAAGAGGCTAAATAAAAAACCTGATATCCTCCAGAGGTTTTGAGTTATAGCTTCTTCGGTTTTTGTTTTTGTTTGCAATTCTTTATGATGTTTGAAGCTGCAGGGAGTCGAAGTTCAAAACACCTGCCTAGTATCATGTTTTTTTTGGTTGAATTAAATGCAGAGAATTAAAGAATACAATAACAGTGCAGAACATAAACTGTTTAGCTTTTATAGACTCTGCACTATAAACAGAACGAAGCACTGAGGTACTAAAGCCAAAAGGGATCGGATACCATTCCAAACAAAATATTCAAGAAATCTCTCGTGTTTATTATGACTGTAGTTGGTTTAATTATTAAAATACATGCGTGTGCCAAAGTTCCTTCTTCACCATGGATATCACTGGGTCAGTTGCAATCTCTTAGCTCAGCCTACCTTACAGGATTGTTCTTGGGAGGATAAAATGAGGAAGGACTTCCTATGACTGCCACCTTGTACTCCCAGATGGAAAGGTAGGTGATTCATCCAGTAATATGGAATTGTTTGTGAGTAAAATAAGTGTATTTAGTGTATTTATTTTACTGATCAGTGCAAATTTATCATTGCAGGAGCTGTCTTGTTTTGTGACACGGTGCTATGAAGTGGTGATGAACATAGTGCACCAGTTAGCTGCCCTTTATACCAGTAACAAGTAATTATTTGCTAGCTAAAAACAAATTATAGGTCTAGTATGTTAATCAGCTTTCAGGGGGAAGGGTAATGTTTTGGGTCTCACTGATCTTTGTCCTCATAAAAAAATATTCGATAGTCTTTCAATGTAGCGGTAGTCCTTGACTTATGACCACACTTGAATTCAAAATTTCCATTGTTAAGCAAGGTGGTTGTGAGTTTTGCCCCATTTTATGACCTTTCTTGCCTCAGTTTGTTAAGTGAATCACTGCAGTTATTAAGTTAGTAACACAGTTGTTAAGTGAATCTGGCTTCCCCATTGACTTTGCTTGTCAGGTTGCAAAAATTGATCACATGACTCTGGACACTGCAGTTGTTATAAGTGCCCAAATTTTGTTCACATGAGGTTAGTGTGAAAAACAGTCATAAGTCACTTTTCTCAGTCAAGGAGTACTATATCACACTGTGTTGTTATGAAAATCATGTAATGTATCAGAAGCTTCCATTTTAAATTAATGCAATTTTAGGTGAAAACATATTGTGTTTTGAAAGTATATATCATTTCCATTATTTATAGTTTGCTAACATGGCAAGTTGCAGATAGCAATAACACTTAGACTTACATACTGCTTTACAGTGCTTTACAGCCCTCTTTAAGCGGTTTACAGAGTCAGCATATTGTCTCCAACAATTTGGGTCCTCATTTTACCCATCTCGGAAGGGTGGAAGGCAGAGTCAACCTTGAGCCTGGTGAGATTTGAACTGCCAAATTGTAGGCAGCTGGCAGTCAGCAGAAATAGCCTGCAGTACTGCACTCTAACCGCTGCGCCACTGTGGCTCAATATAATGTTTCCATATCCCTTTTTTTTTGTAATTGTGCCAAAGGAATGGTACACTTGAACAAGCCAAAAGCATGCTGTGGCACATTCTCTTAAATGAGTTGTTGATCGGCCAACCCTTATAAAATATTAAAAACATTGGCTAAAATGTTTGGGTTTCTGGAAAGTTCTGCAACAGTGGTTCTCAATCTGTGGTCCATGGACGCCTGGGGGGATGAGATGTCGTCACAGAGGATCCGCAAAGGCTTGAAGAAATGTTATGATTTAAATCTTCAGTTAAATCTTGAGGGTCCGTGGCCATGGTCTGTGGCCACAAAAGATATTTAAAGAGGTCCGTGGTGAAGAAAAAGTTGAGAACCACTGCTCTACGGTATTTCCCAACCCATGTTCAAGTAATCGAGTTGTCTTGCAAGTAGTTTGCATCTGTAGTCTCTTCACTGTTCTAACAAGCAGCAATTTTCTCCTGAGTTTATCTTTTTAAGATGCTTTTTTTTTAAACAGATGAGATTAGTAATCAGTTTCTTTGTAATAAAACATAAAATACTTTAAAATATAGAGTTGAACGAAAGACTTAGTAAGTTAAGCCAAGGCATTATTCCAATCATCATATATAGTTATGCCTCATGAAACTGAATGTTCTCCACTATGGATTATCAAAAGTTGCATAATTACATCACCATAGTGATTTTGGAATCACAGTTGGTTAGCATTGCAGAAACACTGGATTAGGATTAAAAATTGCTGAGTAGCATACTTGGCTAATGGGTGATGTTTAGTTTTCTGGATCAAAACTTGAATAGGCCTGTATTCCATAATTACCTGGGACATGCTAATTTGATTCTAATGCTAATTGTATTAGTAGGTCTCAGTTTGCAAAAATTACCTTCCCATTTATGGTTTGCATATTGGAAGTAATTTTCAGATTTATTTAGAAATACGAAAGGCTTGGGTCTCTAAAACATGTTTATTAAGTAACATGAAATATGTTTTGTTTTCCAGGAATACACCTAAAGTGATAGAGACTTCAGGAGTTCATTTTCAGGTAAAGTTTTACTTTTATACTGTTTATTATAAAATTCCTTTAAGTTGTTAACCTTAAGATTTGATTTAAGTATATCAGGTATTCCTTGGCAGATTTTTTTTAATACTAAAAATGATAGTATGTAATAGAACTCCATACACAAACAGAATGTCTGTTTATTGGGATCCCTTATTTCCCAGTATTCCCTTATTTCCCAGTAAATTTAAAAAAAAATACAGTGAAGAATGCATTATATTCAGTACTGTTACCTTCTTATACAGATATTTACATCTGTAGTGCTAAGTATTTTTCCGGGATATATTTTGAGTACAATCCTATGACTGCTTATTTACAGTAAGTTCTGCTGGGTGTATGGGATATGTTCTCAGATCAGTGCTGTAATTTTTCCAATAGACTATGTATGAACATCTTGGAGAACTACTGACAGTTCTACTTACACTTGATGAGATAGTAAATAATCATGCAACCCTGAAAGATCACTGGACTATGTACAAAAGGTATGTGGGTAAATTTGCTTATTTTTTTCTATAGAAATATAATTACCTTTATTATAGAGCGTTATAGAACACCATAGAAAATAACATTAACAAGGTAGTTAAAAGTATACAGTTATCTGTTCATAACAGTGGGCCTTGAGTGGAAGTTCTACTGGATACTTCTAAAAGATCTTGCAGTTCCTTATTAGTATTCAAAAGGTGCTTTTTCAAAAGGCAACTAAATTTTGTTTTCCCTTGAAGACGTTTTGCTTCTCATCCAATAGACTTCTTCAGTACTGACAATTCTGAAGCTTCTTGAATGAGAAGTGGAACAGCTTCAAGGAAAGTCCAGTTGCCTTTTGAAAAAGCAACTTTGGTACAACCATGATTTGGATGACAGAGAATCTCCATAAGACATTATTAGTAGTAATTGATACTTATTATTTCTCTCTTTCTCTGTATTTAATACAATTCACATGGCCACCAAAAATAACTCTTGACTGGGCTACAGAAATTAAAGACCAAGCATAAAACTGATGAGCCCAAAGTAATCCCCAATCCCCAAAGAATGCATAATAAGCAGCAGGGCTCACTTAACCTCCAGATCCCTGGAAAAAATAGCCAAGTCTTCCAAAAAACTAACAAGATCAAGGCTGTTCTGCAGGGCTGGTACTGCTACTGAGAAGGAACAGCTTGGGTCCAACAAGATGACACTTTTGGTGGAAGGGACCATTAAATATGACTTATTTAATTAAATATTTATTAAATATTATTTATTTGACAATAAACGTTTAAATTTTGATGCCACACATCTCCCCTATAAGGTGACTCTTATAGAGCTATTGGTACAATGACCAATCATTATGGAATATTTTTGAATTCACCCTTGCAGACACATACCTTCTGCCATAATGTAGATGACTATCTTTTTTTCATCAAGGCTAGCCCTATGGATAAATCTGTCCTGTCCACAGGCCTGCTGCCCCATATGAATGCAGTCGAACTGCAAAGCTACTTCTATAACAAAAGATCTCCTTTGTTAAAAAGAAGCAAAAAAAATTGCTTGATTTAACTCTAACCTTCTGAAAATTCTTAAAACTTAATTGTGTCCGTGAAAGAATCTATGGAGATTCTCAGTCATCTAAGTCATGGTTGTCCCAAAGGTGCTTTTTCAGGAGGCAACTGACGTTGGGAGTATGAACGGATTTCCAGAAAAATTGCAGACTGCAGGAACCATCTGCCCTTCAGTTTGAGGTGCAGACAACACAGACTTATCCCCAACAGCCTGCGCCAGTCTTCAACAGTGAAAGGATACAGGGCAGAAAACATCCTGTAGCCAAGAAGGCTTCACACCCATTTGCACTACCTAGGTGACCCTGATGACACAGATAAACCTTCAAGTGACCTCAACAACTCTATAAAAGAATGCAAATGACCAGCTGTCTGCAAGGAATATAAATCCTTCCATTCACCACCATCCAGTCAGAGCTGAAAAAGCTGCTTGGATGAGAAGCAAAAAGTCTTCAAAGAAAAAACAAAGTCCAGTTGCCTCCTGAAAAAACACCTTTGGGAGGTCCATAAAAGACTCCATGAAAGAATATTCCTTTATTTTTTTCTCTTTTCTTTGACCAGACTATTAAAATCTGTCCATCACAATCCTCCTAAATTTGGAATCCAAGAAGATAAACTGAAACCATTTGAAAAATTGTTGTTAAAATTAGAAAGTCAGCTATTGGATGGCATGATATTCCAGGTAATATGATAAATACTATCTAATTTCCTTTACAGAGTGTAAATGTGGCATGTAGAATCTGTAGTATAAAATTGTGCAATACAGTACAATCTATAGTGTAAAATTGCCAAACGTTTTGATGATTTTAATTTGGTATGCTTCTATTTCTTTTTTTGAATTGTATGCTTAAACGTGCTGACATATTAGGTGTCAAAATGCTAGGAGCCTCCAGAAATTAGTTTGTTGGGGGTAAGATTTCTGGATCTTTTGTTCAGAAAGTTTTTGTTTCCACTTGTTTTTAAAAAATTCCTTCACTTTCAAGGGGAGAGTATTGGAATTCTAACGGTTGATTCAGCCTTCCATCCTTCCAAGGTTGGTAAAATGAGGACCCAGATTGTTTGGGGCAAGATGCTGACTCTGAAATTGGACAATTCTCCACGGTCAACTCGCCACGGCCAACTCACTGAGGGACAACTCGCCATGGCCAACTCGCCACAGGACAACTCGTCACCAGACAATTCAACAATTCAGTTTAATTATTTAAAATAATTAAAACATTTTATTTTTTGTCATTCATATTTCATTTTGTCTCTCCTTTCTTTAATAATTCTATTCCACCATTTCTTCACTATTAGTGTAATTGTTGTCTTGTGGCAAGTTGGCCATGAGTTGACTGCAGCAAATTGGCCACAGCAAGTTGTCCTAGATCCTGCTGACTGTAAACTGCCCAGAGTGTGCTGTAAATCATTATGGAGGGTATATAAGTCTAAGTGCTGTTGCTATTGGAAACCACAAATTAAAAGACTGGTTGAACATCATATAGACTACAGTCATTTCTGGCTGCTTTTACTCACTTCTGATAAGAAGGAAGCAAAGTAAAAATGGGCTGTGGGTCCCATAAATACTTTTGGTTTCAGTCCATAAATGTATACATTGAATTTAATAAAAATAAAAAATGGAGATGGTCAACCAACAATCCCTATGAATAAATGTTAATACTCTTAAATTTCCAATAAAACATTTATTTTAATAGAACACAGTAAGAGTAACATGCTATGATTTGTTTTTAATGAAGTTTTGAATATGATTGTGTTCTCATTAATAATAATACTGAAAGCTGCTTTTATTTCTCTTATTCAGGCTTGCATAGAACAGCAATTTGATTGTCTCAATGGAGGCGTGTCAGTTTCAAAGAACAGCATATTTGCTGAAGAGTTTGCACATAGTATTCGTACAATTTTTGCAAATGTTGAAGCTAAACTCGGTAATGCAGAACATAACCTTTTAATATTAATATTAAGATTCTATATTTTTTGGTAAATTTTGAAAATAATTTTTGTGCCTGTTTCTTTAAGGTGAACCTTCTGAAATTGACCAGCGAGATAAGTATGTTGGAATTTGTGGTCTCTTTGTACTACATTTTCAGATTTTTCGAACTGTAGATAAGAAATTTTACAAATTGTTACTGGACATTTGCAAAAAGGTGAATATTTTACTGCTTGTAACTTTTATTTGAACTTAGAATTTCATAACCAACATAAAATTAGATAAGATGCTTATGAATGACATTGCAATAAATAACAATCAGAATTAAATTTATGATCATATTCAATCTTTTTGATAATGCCTAGTGTTGCTGCTCTTTATTAGAATGAAAGCTTGATTTAGTGGACCTCAATACAAAAGGCTTTATGTAAAACAGTTCAAATATCTGTAACAATTTATATCATTTTATCAAACAGTAGATGCAATGTCATAGTGCAAATGAAATGCCATTTCATAAATGATAAACATTGGCACTGTGATGTTACTTTTTTATTGAACTGCTTTCATAAACAATAGATACCCTTCTGTCAAATTGTCTATAAGAACTTCTATAAGATACCCTTCCCACAATACCTTGAAAATTTGCATAAGAGATTTGCAAATTTTATAACCACCCAGTTAAAGCAACTGCAAAATTGTATTTTCAGATCTGTAGTGCTTAGAATGTTTGGTAAAAGATGAAGTGCATGTTTTGGTATAATGCCATTGTGTAAAATGGCTAGTAGTTTGACAATAAGTGCTATCAAGTTTTTATCAAGTTTTTAATCATAACTGTACAACAAATTTCTATGGATTTCAGCGAGAGCTATTATTTATTCATGTATGGCTTAGCCCCTTCTTCACAAAAGTATCTGGACATATAAATAGTCTTTAGTATGGGATGTTATCAAATCTCCTTTCCATTTATCTTACAAAAAATGCCTAATGTTTCCATGCCCATGTTTCTTTTGCAAATATTGTCCAGGGTCAAGACTATTTTTAAATGCTGAGGAAATAACTTTGGGGAATGAAGTGGTGTTATATATAATATGAGACTGAGATCAGACCTACTTTTTATGTTTTGGAATGCTTTGCAGAACAATGCAAGTAAAATTAGAACATTTTTATAATTGTAAAATTTGTGTAGTAAAAGAATGGTTCATTAAGAGTCTTGGAATACATTTGTTATGAAAATCTATTATCTACTCTAAAATATTTTTCTCTCTCTCTTACTTAAAATTTTCTGCTAATGCTATAGGTGCCGGCTATCACACTAACAGCTAATGTCATTTGGTTTGCTGACAACTTTTTGATTCAGAAGATGCCAGCTGTTGCCAAGCTTCTGGACAGAAAAAGTTTTCATGCAATTAAATTACAGAGAGAAAGTTTTTTACAGCAAAAGGCTCAGTTGCTTACAAAGTAAGTTTGAGGAGTAAACACTTATTTTTTCTTCCCTACAAATTTCTGCTTTGTCCTAGTAGGTTTGGCACTTGATAACAAGCCATTGTTTCTGTATTCAGACACCATTTCCAATTAGTGTTTAGCCTTAGAAATCTTAGTATGTATCAAAATGTTTAAGAAAATATTATTCATTTTCTTTTTAGAGAAATGCAAACTTATTATGTATTTGTGAGCTCCTGGATGATGAAAATGGAATCTCTTTTGTCAAGGGAACAAAGGATGGATAAATTTGCTGAAGACCTCAGTAATAGATGCAATGTTTTTATACAGGTGTGTATATGCTTAGTTTCAAAAAAAACAATAAGAAAATATTGTATATTCAGGATACAATCGGATCCATATTACACAATCCCCCATTCTTATGAACAAATTGGTTAGAAGTTATGAAGGAATAGATTTTATTGCAGTCATTGACCAATACAAAATACATTATTACAAATAGAATTATAAATCTTAAGTAAGAATTTAAAAAAAAACTTCCATAAAATGAGCACAGATAAAATTATATGATGATATTAGTAAGACACTGGAAAAAAGAACAGAAGATAGAATACTTTACTTAGTATTCAAGGCAAAAAAACCAACAACCCTGATCAATTAACTTGATAAAATAATATATCTGTAAATAAGTAAATTGCCTTAAGAAATACAATGTGTAGGCACCAAAATGTTTTAATATATCACTATTTTAATATATTACTAAAATTTTTAAATTCGAAGCGTTAATTGAAACCCATTGATTGATATGTTTTTGTTTTTTTTAAAATTTGATTTATATGCCGCCCTTCTCCGGGGACTCAGGGCGGCTTACAATGTGCTAAGCAATAGCCTTCATCCTTTTGTATATTTATACAAAGTCAGCTTATTGCCCCCACAACTGGGTCCTCAATTTACCTACCTTAGAAAGGATGGAAGGCTGAGTCAACCTAGAGCCTGGCAAGATTGAACCTGCAGTAATTGCAGGCAGCTGGTCTTAATAACAGGGTGCTTTAGACCACTGTACTACCAAGGCTCTTGTTATTTAAAATTGAAAAATATAACCATAAAACAATGTCATTAATTCAAATCAATATTATTGTTGATTCAATTGTGGAACAATACTATGGACATTGGTAGTTTCAGTGGGTCTCAATTCTGACTGAAAAGGGCTGGATGGCCTGCTTACTCCAGAGTATTCTGCAGTTGTCTTTCCTTCATTACTTCAACAAGAGTTCCTAAAAAGGAAAGTTGGAGACAGAGCAATGGTTATGATACAGTTGCATTTAAGGAAGATTTCTTAAGGAGATGGTACACGACAACCTTCTTCAAGGTCACAAAAAAAAAAAGCTCCTCTCAAAACAAGATATTGACCACGAACTTCAGAAGAGCCAGGAGGTGTCTGAATCAATTTCTTCAGTATTGATAGGACAGAAGATTTCTCATTGAATATGGGAAGAGATTGCACTGGTCACTGCCATTGACCTTATCCACAAAGAGTCAAGAAACTGGCAAATGTTTTAGAAATGTAAATTTATAATGATACAAGGAAGATGTAATTGATTCATTTTTTTCATTTTAGGGCTTTCTCTATGCTTACAGCCTTAGAAACATAGTCACAACTACAATGAATCTGCATATGTCAATGCAGAAGCCAATGACTAAAACCTCAGTTAAAGCATTATGCAGGCTTGTGGAACTACTCAAAGTAAGTTGAGGTGTTTGCATATCCTCACTGACACAAATATCAATAGTAGTTCTTTAATAACATTTTAGGATAAATGATGCATATTTAATTGATGACATAGGACGAACCTGGACAGTAAGCTCTTCAATGTGGTTCTTCAGAATGCACAAGCATATGAATCTAGCACCTGTCTCTGCTCTTTAAAGCAGCTGCATCCTTTCCTAGGATCACATGGCCACTCTCTACTGATGATTTCAAGAGTTGCAAACAGTTATTATATTCACAATCTGAAGTAATATTCTGTTAAGTGAAACATTGCACAGTTCTAGTAAATGGCAATATAAAAACATGTATTTGTCTGATTCCATTTAGGGTATACATATCTCTGTGGTTGCATGTTTTGTTATCTTTGCTGCATTCTTTGATCTTAGTAAAATAATATTTGTTAACTCTGGAGGATGGCTAAAATATGACACCTGAATCCAAATTCATGCTAAGATTTAACTAATTATTTTTGTGTCTAACCCATTCATGGGACACACATAAAAATATATATTTATCTAAAAATCTAGCATAATCCTTGCAATGTTAATATAGTTCGTGATTTGTTAATATAACTTAATGATGCTTCTTTCAAAAGTGCATAGCATACTATGTTAGAAATTATATACTTTGACTTTGATTTGAAAAAAATCATATATTCTTTCGTTTTAATTAAACTTGTTTTAAATTTGACCTTTTCTGTGCAGATGAGACAATAAGTCTGAGAATTGATTAACCGATTGAATCCAGAATTTTATATTAACTTTTGTTTTTATTTTGCGCTCTGACATTTGAACAACTTCAGGCAATAGAATATACATTTTACAGAAGAAGTATGACTGTTGCTGATTCAGTCACACATATAATTCAGCATCTTCAGCATCAGGCTCTCAATGCCATTGCTGTAGCCAAGGTAGGAAAGCAATTTCAATCAATTTTAAGCTCAGTGATTATAAAAACTAGACAAGCTTCTGTTGGAATAAATTATAAGGAACTTCAGAGAGGCAAGAATAAATCCTGACATCATTTATGCTCATTTAGGGTATGAAAATGCCAAATAAGGGATCCTTTGGTTTGCTAGTATGTAAATTTATAATCACTGGATTAATTTGTTTTGGCTTTAAAACTGGCTTAGTTTGGAATTTAAAAAAAGAAATATATTTGTCAATCTCTGAAATAAAGTTTACCGGCTGAAGAGTTTTCTGAAGTACTAATCCCAAAATACCGGTTTTCTCTGTCCCTTCGCCTTCCCCTTTATCTTTATCATTTAAAGAAAAGAGTAATTTCTGACAAAAAGTACAGTGAACAGCGCCTTGATGTACTTTCTGCTCTTGTCTTGGCTGAAAACACCCTTAATGGCCCTAGCACAAAACAGAGGAGACTCATAATTTCTCTTGCCCTCAGTGTGGGCACACAAATGGTAAGTGTAACCGTTCCTTCCTTATCTTCTAATAAGCAATAATATAAAGAGTTTTGTGGTTAATGACTGATGCAAATGTTAGTTTGATAGCAACCAGTGATGTAACCAACAGCTTGTCCCTCTTTGTTTTTTTTTGCAGAAAACGTTTAAAGATGAAGAACTCCTTCCTCTTCAAGTAGTTATGAAAAAGTTGGCCTTAATCAGTGAACTTAGGGAACGGTAAATAAAGCTATAGAATGATAAAAAGTCTTACATCCTGAGATACCCAGAATAGGGTGGTGTGTCATGATGCTTGCTGTGGACTGGATCAGGGCTGAAATCTAAAATTTTTCCCTACTGGTTCTGTAGGCGTGGCTTGGGGGGGGTGTCCTGTGAGTGAGTGGGCGTGGCTAACTCGATGTCACTCACAGCCACGCCCACTCAGCCACAAGACCCCCTCCCACCAAACCACACCCACAGAACCCGGTAGGGAAAATTTTTTAAATTTCTATTCTGCTGGCGTGTCCTTACCTTTCTGCCGCAGCTCCGCCCACCCGCCCCATTCCCTGGAGTCAGGGAATGCACCATTCCCCGACGCCGGCTTTGTCGCGGAGCTGCTGCCTGCTCGCCCTTCACCATGCAGCTCCGTCCACCCACCCCATTCCCCGGAGTCCTACCCGTCACCTTTCTCCCGCGGCTGGCTGTCAGGGAAGGCAAGCACCCGAAAGATACTGGAGTCGCTCACTCTCCTTCTTGAATGAGCCGCTCTGGTCCACGCGCCGGCTGCGCAAGCGCACACCCAACCTGCCGCTGAATTAAATAAACGGTGTGCGCTCATTCAAGAAGTAGAGTGAGTGACTCCAGTAACTTTTGGGCGCTTGCCTTCCCTGACAGCCAGCTGCGGGAGAAAGGTGAGCAGTAGGATATACCGCGTGGCGAAGGGCAAGCAGACAGTGGCTCCGCGGCAAGGCCGGAATCGGGGAATGGTGCATTCCCCGACTCCGGGGAATGGGGCGGGTGGGCGGAGCCTCCAGCTGCCATTGCTACCGGTTCTCCGAATCACTGGCCATCATTGCTACCTACTTGCCCAAGTCGGTCCGAATCCGGAGCATTTCACCCCTGGACTAGATGATATATTTTCATTATAAAATTGAGCTTTAAAAATAGAATTCAGCACCCCTGAGAATGTATGTTTGTTTAGAAGTCAAGTTTTGTCCCTTAAAATTATGAAGATAGATTGTAAAATGCATTCTGAGTAAACATACGGCTTTTTGAAATTAGTTCTGCATGAATGGTGAATATTTATTTTCTTAGTAATGTTAATTTTTCCATTTTAGAGTCCAAGCACAGTGTGATTGTTGCTTTTTGTACTGGCACAGAACAATATTTCCAATTTATTTGGATGATGTTTATGAAAATGCAGTGGATGCTGCGAGATTACATGTAAGTAAAACATTAAATTTGAAATATCCAGGAAAATTACAGAGATGTTGTACAGGTAGTCCTTGACTTACAACCACAACTGAGCCCAAAATTTCCATTGGTAAGCAAGGCAGTTGTTAAGTGAATCATGTGGTGGTTATAAGAATCTGGCTTTTCCCATTGACTTTTTGGAAGCTTGTTGGGAAGGTTACAAATGGTGAGCATATAGTTCTGGGACAGTGCAGCTGTTATAATAAGTACGTGCCAGTTGCCACATGCCCAAATTTAAACCATCTGACCATGGGGATATTGCCATGGTCATAAGTGTTAAAAAACGGTCAAAAGTAATTTTTTTCTGTGCTGTTGTAACTTTGAATGGTTACTAGACAAATGGTTTCAGGTAAGTCAATGACTACCTGTAATTCTAGCATAATTTCAAGTATTGCTAATTGATAAGAACAAGTCCATTCTACAAATTTTTAAATTATATGAAATATAGTTTGTTCCAGAGCTAAAAATTAAAAGAGGAAAAAGAAAGGAGATCAATCATGTCTTAAATTTATTTCCTGAATCATAGCTTAGATCAAACTGGCGGCCTGCAGGCTGGATGCGTCACACGCAAGTCACACCCACCCCAGCTCCGTGAAGGGGAAAAGTGTTGGGAAACATCATGTGACAGCAACGTGACACTGCGAGTTTGACATCTGTGGCTTAGATGATACAGTAGATAGAGGAGAACCGTTCATTTGAAGTTGAGGCTGAGTAGGATAATGTTTAGGATAGAGTAAATTGGATTAGGTAAATTGGGTTTACATGCTCATCCTCTCAAGCAAAGCTGTGACAAAATATTCAATAGCTTTCATTCCACTTTTATAAACAGTGCATTGTTTCTCAACTTTGGCAACTTTAAGATGTGTGGGCTTACAACTCTCAGAATTCCCCAATCAGCATGCTAGTGTATATTACATAAATCTACATTAATTATTATCGATCCTAATTATGCTTGATGGAAACAAACCATAGTTATAAAACAATATAATTTTAATTGAACGTAGTCAACATTAACAAAATTATAATTTATCAACAAGTTTATATCCTGTTTCCCCCAAAATAAGACATCCCCTGAAAATAAGCCCAATCAGGCTTTTGAGTGCATGGCAATAAGGCCAAGCGCTTATTTCAGGGTTCAAAAAAATATAAGACAGGGTCTTATTTTCGGGGAAACACGGTAGTTTCAGATCTTTTGCAAACAAAACAGGGAGAAACACAAACAGATTGTGCAAGTTGGATGATTTTAGAGACCCATTCTTCTAATTCTAAACCCTCAAAATTCACTTTTAAGGGACCACCATTTAGGATCTGGATTTTGAATAATTTGTGTTTACTTTTTAGTGTTTGTGAATATTTATAGTTGCCCAAATCCTTTATTAAATTGGATTATTTTTTCAGTATATGTTTAGAGCATTGCGGGATTGTGTACCAGCTATGATGCACTCAAGGCATTTGGATTCCTTTGAAATACTCCTAGAAAGCTATGACAGAGAAATCATGGATGTTTTCAATAAGGTTAGAGTGCATGTATTGTATTTATTCTGAATTACACCTGTATAAGGAGTGTGTATTCAAATCTATTAAGGATTAACAGGAGTTTACATAAAGTTAAATATATAGTGGTCTAGTAACTGTCGAATTAGAATAGAATTTTAGAATAACAGAGTTGGAAGGGACCTTGGAGGTTTTCTAGTCCAATCCCCTGTTTAGATAGGAAACTCTACACCACTTCAGACAAATGGTTATCCAATCTCTTCTTAAAAACTTCCAGTGTTGGAGCATTCACAACCTCTGGAGGCAAGTTGTTCCACTGATTAATTGTTCTAACTGTCAGGAAATTTCCAAGGTATAAGTAGGTATAAGTAAGCTAAAGAATAACAACATGTAATTTATTGTAGACCTGTAGAAAAATATCTTACTGTATTAGAATTGAAATATTAAATATATTTATCAGTAATTTAATATTAAATTTATATTTTTAATTTTAATATTTCAGTCATGATCGATCTCAATATGTACAGGTAATTTCAGGTTGTTAAATTTAGTAAAATTTGCTTCTTAATTATTGGAGGTTAAATAAACCTTCAATGTTTATTTGGTTCTTTTTAAAGCCATTTCTCAATTATTGTTTTCATTTAGACAGATTATTTAGTTGTAGCTATATCTTTTTTTTTAATGAAAGCATATATACAAACTATTCTCATCTTGTCTACCCTCTACCTCCTCCTTCTTGCCTCTTAAGATAAAACTTGTGATAGACAATTAATCATATAATTTATTCTTATGGTTTAAATAAAATACTCACAGATGCCTGATAATTATTTGTCTGTGACCAATAATTAGGCTGTAGGGAACAAGGCAAAAAATGTTGTATCATAGATATTTACAGTATTTGCTTAATATATTTATGGCTTAGAACATTATTTGAAAACCAAAGGGGGATCCTCATGAGAAATTGTCTTACTTCTTGCAGGAATGAACCTGCACATAACTAGCAAGATTACAATTTTTATATAAAAGGTCATTTTGAAGTGGATAGTTTTTCAGGTGAAAATCTTCAGAGTTTTATCTTCGGTATAAGTCAAATTCATTTTGCATCTCTACCCTGCCTCTTTGTAATGGGGGCTGCCATCTCTTAACTCAAGTTTCAAATATTGCCAGAGTCAAGTGTTCCTTTCTTCTTCCAGTTCGTGATGGCGCAATCTTGTGATTGCTTTATAGAATTCTTATCTATTAACCAGTGTGCTGTGGAGATTAAGATATGCCATCCTCTGAAAATAAACTTTTACAACATTTTTGTTTTGAGCAGCACCTTCTAGACAAGTTATGCAAAGAAATTGAAAAGGATTTGCGCCTGTCAGTACACACGCACTTAAAACTAGATGACCGAAATCCATTCAAAGTTGGAATGAAGGATCTTGCTCACTTCTTCTCTTTAAACCCAATTCGCTTTTTTAATCGGTTCATAGATATCAAAGGTAGACATTTATTTGTTTTTACTTGCATGACTCTGGGTGGTTTATTGCTGTTGTTACAGTTCCAAAACTCATCTACTTGATTTATTTTCAGTGTCTCAACTTTTACGCTAACTGTAACTTGGGAAGTTACTTAAGAGGCATTTCTCCCATTATTTAACTCTGAAACGAAATATCTGGAATAAGTAGGTTTTTCATATATTAATTTGGCAAAGTTATCTTTCCCCCTCTTTTTTACAGCTCATGTGACTCATTACCTAGACAAGACTTTTTACAATCTAACTACAGTAGCTCTGCATGACTGGGCCACTTACAGTGAAATGAGGAATTTAGCAACTCAGCGCTATGGTTTAATTATGGCAGAAGCACATCTTCCAAGCCAGACTTTAGAACAGGTATGAAATGTACAAAGAAATTGTTCTGTATTTTTTTTTAAAAGTTATTCGTAAATTTTCATTAACTAATTGATTGATTGGTTAATTAATTGATTGAGTAATATTATTAACATTAATAATTAAAATTATATGCTATCCAGAGTGACTCTGGGTGGCTTACAATCTAAGGAAAATAAATATAAAAACAATTTCAAACAAACATAAAATTTAAAATGCAAGAGCTCAAGCGAAGTGTGGCTCTATTGCCCAGTAATTAATAACTATTTATTTTTCCCTAAAATCCAATGGCATTAGTAAACAAATACTCTTATACAAATTGTTCCTATTTCTCTGCTATTTATTTATTTATTTATTTTATTTATTATCATATTTATATACCGCCCTACTCCCAGGGGACTCAGGGCGGTGAACAGCCAAGATAAAAATACAAATAACATACAAAAGTTAAAAGCTATTAAAATAGATTAAATAATTTGGGCTCAAAAACAAATTTAAAAACATCCAATTTATGTAAAACATTTAAAACCCAATTTAAAAGGGAGAGTTAGGCCAGACCAGCCTGTTGGAATAAAAACGTTTTTAGGGCGTGGCGGAAAGTGCGTAAATCTTGGATCCTCCGTATCTCCGGGGGGAGCTCGTTCCAGATGGCAGGTGCCCCCACAGAGAAGGCTCTCCCCCTGGGGGCCGCCAGTCGACATTGTTTGGCCGACGGCACCCTGAGGAGCCCCTCTCTATGGGAGCGAACTGGTCCGTGAGAGGCTACTGGTGGCAGAAGGCGGTCTCGTAAGTACCCTGGTTCTGAGCCATGGGAATTAGGGAATTCCTGCTCTTAGTATTAGGGAACAGGCAATTAAATAGGACTTCTTCTTGCTGAGCATTCTCCAATATATACAATATAAAAAGAAATACATTGCTCTGAGTTTAAATGCAACAGACATGTAATAGAGTTGCATCGGCTTTTGGATATGCTGTATTTTTTATCATTTTGGAGGTATATTCTTATTGTGATTGCTTATAAATTGTTATTCAAGGATGAAATTAAATACTAGTTCCAAAATAAGTGAATACATTTTCTAGTCTGAAAATGAACTTTCTTCTATACTTACCTTTATTCATTGTATTTAAACATTCTTTATTTGTATGCCTTCTGTTCCAAATATTAACAACATCAAAGTAAGAAACAGAAAACATACCAAATTGCCAGTCTTCAACCACAACATGCATTCCGTCTGTGTTAGATGAAACGGAACAGGTCTCAGTTGCTTTCCTAAAATTGAAGAGGGAAGGAGCAGACCAGATCTTCATGGGAAGAGAGTTCCAAAGAATGGGGAAAGCCATGCTTCCAAAATCCCATTGGAAGACAGTCCCATATAGAGAAGATCTAGAAGGACTTGATCCTGTTTCATTGGATTGGATGGCCAGACGAATATATTTCTCAGATAATTTTATTTGGATTTTTAAATTGCCTCTTTTTGTTTCAGGGCTTGGATGTACTAGAAATTATGAGAAATATTCATGTATTCGTATCCCGATACCTGTACAATCTCAATAATCAGGTGAGGGAAAAGTGATAAAACCCCAATTATTAACGGATATCCTTTCGATGACTCTTAAAATTATACAACAATTGTGTCGTTGCAGATCTTCATTGAAAGAATTAGCAATAACAAACATCTGAACACAATAAATATAAGACACATAGCTAATTCAATTCGAACACATGGCACAGGAATCATGAACACAACAGTAAGTATTGCTATGTGATTTAGCATTGATTTCTTTACTTAGTGTATTATAAACAGTATAGAGCACGTTTTAATCATAATAGAAAAATTATCCCTTTTTAAATAAAGCATGAAGATACATCTGAGCTTGAGTGTTGGGGTAAGTTTTAAATTCATGGCCTAAAGTTGCATTGATTTATTTGCTTTATTTATTTATTAATAAATAAATAAATTTTATTAATTAATTATCTCCCCTCCCCCCGCTGAGGCAAGATGGTTGCTTACAATAAAAGCATAAAAATAAATACTTCTGATAACAATAAAAAGTACAATTAAAAGATGGGAGGAAACAGAATGTGCGGGGGGGAGGGGAGGTGGAATCTCCCCTCCCCCCGCACCCGAGATGGCACAGTTGTTAGAGTGCAGTACTGCAGGCTACTTCAGCTGACTGCTAGCTGCAGTTCAGCAGTTCAAATCTCACCAGCTCAAGGTTGACTCAGCCTTCCATCCTTCCGAGGTTAGTAAAATGAGGATCCAGATTGTTGGGGGCAATAGGCTGACTCTGTAAACCGCTTAGAGAGGGCTGTAGAAGCACTATGAAGCTGTATGTAAGTTTAAGTGCTATTGCTATTGCTATCTCCTTAATCCATCAACCACCTCCAGCATGATATTCTGGAGCCCCAAGCCAATTGTCTTCAGGCTCTTATGGAAGGCCAGAAGGGTGGGAACAGATCTTACCTTAGGAAGCAAACTGTTCCAAAGAGCAAAAGTCATGGTAGAAAAAGATATTTTCCTGAACCCTGCAGCCAGAATTCCTAGACTTATGGGGCCTACAGCATGCCCCTCTGCCAGCACAGGTGGGGCCGGCCAGTCCCATTGGGCTGAGACAGTTCCTCAAGTAACCTGGGCCCATACCATACAGGACTTTAAAGGTGACAACCAACACCTTGATTTGTACCCAGAAGCAAATAGCAGCTAATGCAGCTTGTGGAACAGCTATATAACATGAGCCACTCTAGGGATCCCAAGAACTGTCTGTGCTGCTGCACTCTGCACCAGTTATAGCTCCTGAATGCTTTCCAAGGGTAGACCCATGTAGAGCGTGTTACAATAATCCAAGCATGAGAGCTGGAGTGATGAGTGCAGGGACTCCCAATCCAGGAAAGGATGCAACCAGCACACAACCTGAAGTTGTGCAAAGGCTTTCCTTTCCATGATTTTCCCATGACTGCCACCTGCTCTTTGAGTAGGAATCACAAGTCCAGAAGAACCTCCGAGTTGCAGACTGTTTGAGGTAGTGCAGCCCCATCCAGAACTAAGGATGCTAAAAGTTCTGGATCTTGAAGTTCCATGCACACAAAGCCATCAGTCTTGCCATCCAGGCCTCTACAGTCTCCAGGCACCACAAGAGGGAAGCCACAGCATCACTTGGATCATCAGGGGTGGAGATACAAAGTTGACTATCATCAGCATGCTCATGATACTCAACTCATGGTGGCAAATTATCTCACCCTGCTTCATGTAGTGGGGAGAATACTGAGCCTTGTGGCATGTCACAAAAGAACAGCTATGGGCTGGAGCTCTCACTTCGTATCAACATCGAGTGTTTTATAGCTTCCTTTAGCTTTCTAGTTTTTGCAACTTTCAAATAGATCTCTGCTGGGTAATTCACTGGTAGTCTATGCATGAAAGTGAAAGATTGTTAATTACTAATGCAGAACGTAAAAGTAAATTCTCGGAGGAAGATGCATGTAGATGCATGCAACAAATCACTGTATATCAACTATAGGCAGAAGCAAGATTTTTCAAGCTGTTTTTGAGATGTGGGAATGAGCATGAGTTAATTCAAGCAGTTATAGGCAGGTTTAAGGGATCAGAATTGCCACTGTGGCCTAAGTTAGTCTCATTTCTCCAAACCCATTTGTTGCATTGTTGCTGTTGTTATTATTTCAATTTGTTTTCTGCCCAGTGGATATTCAAGGTGGTTACTATCTTTGGTATCTTTATTTTAAAAGGATTCCAGTTAATAGAATCAGGACAAATATATGAAACAACTGGTTTTTGTGTCTTCAATGTACCTTAAGTCTAAGCTATTGCTCTTGGTTTTACAACTACTAATGTGTTACCTACCAATTTGGGATGTTTAACTGGTGCATCAACAGGATCAGATTGTCTGTCTCCACAAGTGCAACTTTGAAGATGCTAGTTAAAATCATTTTTTTTCACCATGTGACTATTAATTTCAAATAAGGGTGATCTTTGCAGTTTGCTTTTCACAAATAATTTTGGATATCAATAGCTCAGAGTAACAAAACTTATTCATTTCTGGAGAACTGTGGAATTGTAAACAAGATTAACATTTGAGTCTCGGAACGTATTCATATATTACTGCAAACAGAACACTGCTTTTGTATGGTTACATGTACTTTGCATCGAGAAAGATAGCAGAATTAATGATATCACCTTCCCACCAGAGGTGGTATTCAGCAGGTTCTGACCAGTTCTGGAGAACCGTTTGAGTAGTTTGGAGAACCGGTAAATACCACCTCTGACTGGCCCTGCCTCCATCTATTCTCTGTCTCCCGAGACCCAGCTGATTGGGAGGAAATAGGGATTTTGCAGTAACCTTCCCCTGGAGTGGGGAGGGAATGGAGATTTTACAATATCCTTCCCCTGCCATACCCACCAAGCTACACCCACCAAGCCATGCCATGCCGACAGAACCGGTAGTAAAAAAAATTGGAATCCCACCACTGCTTCCCACTCCACATAGTACGTACATACTGATACTATGGTGCAATATCCAGGATTAGTGACCATGTTTGAGTGCTGACATGACTTCATATTTAATAGCACCCAACTATTTAATAAGCAGGTACTTGGACATTACGATGAGAGAGTGAAATACTGCTTTTATCAATAGGGATAGGATTGTTTAAAATTGTATTTGTTTTAAATTTTTTTAGGTAAATTTCACATACCAGTTTCTGAGAAAGAAATTTTACATCTTCAGTCAATTTATGTATGATGAGCACATCAAATCCAGATTGATCAAAGATATACGATTCTTTAGAGAAATTAAGGATCACAATGATCATAAGGTACGTTACAAGCCCTTATAGATTCATGGTTCTCTTTTATGAGAAAAGTATTAAATTCACTGAGAACACAATCCTGTATTTGCTTATTTGAAAATAAGGCCCATATAAGTAAACTACATTTGTTCTGGAAAGAAATTTTAGGATAATATTTTAGAATAGTTTGTAGTTAGCTGAGCCAAGAATAAGCAAATTTTTGGGACCAATGGGCACAATATGGTTAGAAAATGAGGTGGGTTATTTAGTATCAAAAACTGCTGAAAGTATTGTGATCAGTTTACAAGATAGCAATTTACTAAAATATAGTAAGAAGGCAAAGAATGTGGTGAGTGCCAAGAAAGCTATTTGAGGACATTGTATTGTTTATCCCTGACATTACCCATCCCAATGTAAAACTGAATTTTATTTAGTGATCATGGTTATTAATACCAAGGATAGAGAAATTTCAAAGTGCTTCTTCTAAAATAAGCCTGTGCGTGTATACACATAAAATTTAGACTAGTTCAGTCTCTTGAATGACTCTACAATGGTAGTCTTCAGTTAATGACCACTCATTCAGTGAGTGACCAAAGTAGGCACTGGACAAGGAGTATCTATTGTATGATCTGCCCTCAAAAGTCCTGATATCCCAGTATGCCTGCAGTCACGCGATCACTATCGAGAATTGACAAACTGTCTCAAACTTGTGACAGTTGCAGCATCCCATAGTGAGCAAAGTCAGTGGGGAAGCTGTCAAGGAAGGTCACAAGTTGCTCCTGTAAGTCATTCTTACACTTGCTACTTTGTCTGCTGAGGAACCTGGCTATCCTGCACTAACCACCTTTACATCCTCCTGCCCCTGGCAGAAGCTATTTTCAGACGTTTCTGCAAATGAGTAAAGGACAATGCAGTTATTACAAGATTTAACTAATCTTCATTATAAAAATATATCATGTCTTCTTTTTATAGGAGTATAGCAATTAATAAAGTAGAAGTAAAATGCATCAATATGTGGGGAATTCAAAAGGGCTTGATATTAGTTTTTCATAAACAATACTTGTTTGTAATGTATTAATTTTTTTTTCTAGTATCCATTTGAGAGAGCAGAGAAATTCAATCGGGGGATCAGAAAACTTGGGATTACACCAGACGGACAAAGTTATCTTGACCAATTCAGGCAATTGATTAGCCAGATAGGTATGAACATAAATTCTCTGTCGATTCATTATTTTAAAAGCAATAAAAAATGGGTGCATAGACTTCTACTCCCAGAATTCTCCAGCCAGCATTCTGGAATTGAAATCCATATATCTTAAAGTTGCTAAGGTTGAGATACACTGAGGTATTGTAGGAAGTCTGATATGGCTGGGAATTTGCCAGCACCAAAAGATGTGTATATATCAGGGGTCGGCAACCTTAAACATTCAAAGAGCCACAAAGGTCCTAACCAGAAGCCCCCATTCAATTCTGCTGTCAGGTTTCGGTGTCGTCTCAAATAAATTGCATTTCCAAACAAATAGTCTTTGATGAAATCTTTCATTTATTAAGCACGACAATCTGTTCCCGACTATGTCGTAGCCAAAACTGACTTCCTGACCCCAAACCTTCCCTTTCCATTCCCCAATTCTCTGAGTCTCATTGGCCATCTTCCAATCACTCTCCCCATATCTACTATTTCAGCTCCCAGGAATGTCCCTCCTCCCATCCCATCTCCTAGGGGATATTATCTTCAGGGAAAATAAGTAGGTGAAAAGTCAAGCATCCTCTTGCCAGCTGCCCCCTTTTCTCCTCCTTATGTCAGCCCTGGAACGAATGTAGTTTGGAGTGCTGACATCTGGAGCCAACCGGAAGTCTGGTTCCCCCACCATAGAGTCTCCTCCTAGCATGGCGTCCTTTTTCCTCTACCTGTCCTAACCAAAAGCCCTATCAATTGTGGAGCCGACCAGCAACAGGGATGAAAGAGCCACATGCGGCTCCAGAGCCACGGATTGGTGACCCCTGTTCTATATCATTATGCTGAAATTTCTGGCCTGTGGAGAGCCCTGTCATAAATATATCAAATCAGTTTTCCTCTCCAGTCCCTTACTACTAGGATTGTGCTGTTATATCTCTAAGTAGAAGATGGAAAAAAATAGGAGATGTGGCTTTTAGAAATCTTAGTCTTTGCACAACATAACTGCTGCCCATGTATTTTCTAATTTATAGTGTTTGCTTAGGCTGGGATAGACAACTTGCCACTCTCTAGCTACTGTAGATTATTATAAATAATAATAATAAATAAGCATGATTAAAAGTCAGGAATTTTCTGTCCAAACATTGGAGCAATATGGAGTAACTTTCTTTTGAATTAGAAAATTTTGTTGTTTAGTTGCTAAGTCATGTCCGACTCTTCACAACCCTATGTACCATAGCATTCCACCCCCCCAACCCCCGTGCTCCACTGTCTCTTGGAGTTTGCCTAAATTCATGTTCATTACATCAATGACACTATCTAACCATCTCATCCTCTGCTGTCTCATTCCTTCTCCTTTCACCTTTAACCTTTCACAACATCAGGGTCTTTTCCAATTAGTCTTCTCTTCTCATTTAATAGCCAAAGTATTTGAGCTTCAGCTTCAATATCTGTCCTTCCAAAGAATAGTCAGGGTTGATTTCCTTTAGGATTGATTGATCTGATCTCTTTGCAGTCCAAGGGAGTCTCAAGAACTTTCTCCAATTTATTCAATTTGAAAGCGTCAAGTCTTTGGCATTCAGCCTTCTTTATGGTCCAACTCTCACAGCCGAATTAGAAAATAATACTATTTAAATGTGCTGAAGAGAATAAATTCTCCTAAATATGCCCAGCATGTTTATTTAACAAATGATAAAATTCATCTTGCTAGTATTCCAATTATTTATATTTGTTTCTGTAATATAAATTCAAATATTACTATCTTTGTTTAAAGGGAACGCTATGGGCTATGTACGAATGATAAGATCTGGTGGACTTCACTGCTGTAGCAGTGCAATTAGGTATGCACCAATACTTTTTATCTTGTCTGTCCATATTGTTGTACATCTTTTGCAGATCTTCCTGCTTCAATGTTTCTCTTTGTAGTTAACATATATTGCAGCAATCCTTTGGATCTGTTTCTTCTGTTCGAATATATTATACTTGTGCATCTGTTTAGTAAATTTAAAATTGCATACTCGTATTAAATTTTCAATAATTTGACAGTTCATACTTGTAAAAATTATAGTAACATGATAGCAAGTTTGGGTGTCAGTATAGAAGTGTAAATAATACAAAGAGCGCAAGATGCGAAAGAGCATTTAATGATGGTAAATATAGAAATTTTGCTGTCAGATATCATAACACTTCTTTTTGGGACTTGATTCCTGCAGCTTGACGCCACTCACTGGGCATGGCCAACTGGGTGGGCGTGGCCAGCTTGACGATCTTGGGGGGGCATGGGGTATGACCGACAGGGTGGGTGTGGTCAACTGGGTGGGTGTGGCCAGCTTGACACCACTTCCCAAACTGCTGGCATACCTGCAAACTTGGAAAATGTGATGGCTAGAAGTATGCCTTCTTGTTGATGTAAAATATGTTACAAAAGTACTTTTTTGAGAGCAAAGCAATGTTATTTGCTAATAAAATATGAACTAGCTTATGATAAGGTGGGAATAGAAATACAGCATGTAAAATAGAAAATTTATGTTCATTTATATACATACATCTATATATTAAAATGTCTAATTATATGAAAAACTTAACAAAACTTGTAGATTTGTTCCTGATCTTGAAGATATTGTCAACTTTGAAGAACTTGTGAAAGAAGAAGGTCTGTCAGAAGAAACACAACAAGCAGCTAGGTAATTGTATTGCAAATATAAAAAATATTTCACTATTACTTGCACTGCTCTTTTTCAAACAACTTTCAATAAAATATAATGTTGAACTCCATTCATAGCTATGTATTACAAAAGTCTGCGGGAACCAGTTCAGGGGCATCTGGTGGAGAGAGTTATATTTGACTTGTGTGTAGCTTCTCAAAGGCAGCAGTTTAGTGACAAAGGGGAACGTGATGTTGAACCAAAAAAGATATTGACCTGATAGAGTTGGGGTCCTTCTGATATTCTTATGTTTCTATTACAGGGTCATTCATTTATTTTCTCATTGGCAAAATTCCAAGTTCATTGAGGTTGAGACAGCTCAGGATACAAGTTATTGATATTTTTTATTCTTTCATTAGTTTTATAGGTTACCTTTCCTCCAGAAGCTCAAAATAGTGCATATAATACTCTCAACCATTTGACTTTCACCACCATCCCATTGCTAGATCCTTTGACAAAGTTCTGTGGGAGATTTTATTTCCCAATCCTTCCATACCATTCACATCTCCAAATGTTGTTAAACTTACTTCTTTAAATCTGTGCATGGAAAAATAAGAAAATTCTCCACTGCCTACATTAAAGTAGGAGGCTTACAGTTTGACCTTACATAGATGTTGTCAGTGCTTACTAAAATCTGTCCCAAGTACTCTGTTGTCAAGCGGATATTTATATATTATATAATTAGAACTAGAAGTGTGTATTTTTTTAAAAAAATTACAGGAATTGTATTTAAATTGCTTAGTGATAAAATAATGCATAATAGTTTCTTCCTTTAGCAAGTTGAGGATATCAACTTGTTTTTAATATGCGCACTTAGTGCATGTTATTTATTTGGCAACCTTGTAAATACAGCTTGGAAGATAGTTCCCACAATTATGGGGTTTTGATTTTAATTTATTTCCAACAGCTGTATTTGGTATGATAAGTTGGCAAGCTGGTTCCCAAAAGTATTTGAATAATGCTTAGATTCCAGTTATCCTTCTAAGTCAGGAGTGTCCAACCTTGGCAACTTTAAGACCTGTGGACTTCAACTCCCAGAATTCCCCAGCCAGCCATGCTGGGCCTTTTTTTTTTTTTAAAGAATATGTTAAATGTTTTCTCGAAAGGAGGCAAGTTGCTTTAAGGTAGCAAAGGGGTGATTTGAACACTTCTCTAAAATTGTGCTAAAGATCATCATGAAACAAGCAGCTTTAATTTCTGTATGTAATTATTATGAAAAGAATAGGTCATCTCTAAACAGTATAGGACCAGGACATTTTTCCTCCAGACTGTTGGCTATATCTCTGCTTTGCAGGCAGCTGGATTCTGTACTTAGCGATCTCACCTGCAGCTCTGCAGAAGGTACAGAGTACTTCAAGATGCTTGTGGATGTCTTTGCTCCTGAATTCCGCAGTCTAAAGAACATGCATCTACGCAATTTTTATATCATTGTTCCCCCGCTGGTTAGTATTTGCATTAATTGACTTCTTAGATAACAAAAATGATACTAAATTATTTATCTACTTAACCCATTTATACCCCATTGCAATCTTGAAGGACTCTTGGTGGTTCACAAAAATAGCAATGCACAGTCATAATGAAAGCATCCACAATCGACTTAAAGATAGGAAAGTGATCACACATGTAAAATGTACCTATATTGAAACAGCTAGTATTTGAGGGGTGGGGAAAAGCATCCATTTACAACATAGAAGACATCACACTGGAATTGTCCAGTGAAAGAGCATGTGCTTTACAGACCTAAGTGTTTGGTTTACAGACCTAAGTGTTGGGTTTTAACAACCTGCAATTGGGGTGGGATCAGGGCGATTGATTGGGACTAAGTGTTTACTGGCTGGGTGCCCTTCCTGATGCCTATGCAGAGTTCACAGCAGACAATTACTCATTGTGCCTCATTGTGATGGAGAGAAATCTCCATCACTACCTAGGATTGAACTCACAGCCTCCTAATTGTGAGGTGAGAACTCCACCTCTAGGCCACCACACTGCTCAGGGTTTTGGATAAATATTTGAGGCCAAATAGCTAATTGCGCTTTCCGCTGGCCTGACTTAATATTAAGACAATAACCTTACAAAACATTTCTATTTAAAATTATGTTTCTGCTCCACTTAAGTCATTTTCCAGAACTAAAGGTGTCCTGAAGAATATCTCTGAGATGCCATCAGAAATAATATGTACAAGTGGTATAACCAGGGTAGCATTCTTTAAACTTCTGGTTTGATTTTATTATTTTGGAATTACTAAATTGGGGTAATTATTTGGGCAACCTCATGCAATCCCTGGTCTCTTCTTTTTAGGCACTCAATTTTATCGAACACTCAATCAGTTGTAAAGAGAAACTGAACAAAAAGAACAAAATTGGCGCAGCTTTTACTGATGATGGCTTTGCTATGGGTAAGTGCGACAGCAGTACAGGAAGTCCTTTTATGACCACAATTGAGTCCAGAATTTCAGTTGTTAAGTGAGGCATTTGTTAAGTGAGTTTTGCCCTATATTACAACCTTTCTTGCCACAGTTGTTAAGTGAATCACTGCAATTGACTATCTAGTAACCCAGATGTTAAGTAGCTTCCCCATTGACTTTGCTGGTCAGAAAGTTGCAAAAGGTGATCATATGACCTTGGGTCATTGCACCAGTCAGTGCTGTGTCCGGTGCTGGTCAATATGAGTCAGTGGCCAAGCATCTCAATTTTGATCACATGATCATGGGGTGGTACATACAAAGGTGGTAACTGAAAAACAGTCATAAGTCACTTTTTTCAGTGCCATTCTAACTTTGAATGGTCACTAAATGAACTGTTGTAAGTAGATGACTACCTATATTCCTGTACGGATCTCCTTTTCTAACTATTTGAAAATATATAGGAGTAGAATTGCTTTATTTACTCAATAAGATGACTTTTTCTCCAAATCAGCAATTGTGAATTGTGAAGTGGAAAATCATCTTATATTTGCTGAAATCAAAGAGGCAGAAAGCTTTTCATCCCTGTCCGGGTTTTTTCCCTCCAATTTTGCCTGGGCTGGATCATCTTACTTCAGGGGTGTCAAACTCAATTTCATTGAGGGCCGCATCAGGGCTGTGGTTGACCTTGGGGGGTCCCTGGGGGCGTGGCCAACTGGATGCACATGGCCAGTTTGATGCCACTCACTGGGCATGGCTGACTGGGTGGGCGTGGCCGACTGGATGGGCATTGCCAGCTTGATGCCACTCCCCAAACTGCTGGCATGTTTCCTCTTCGCACTGGGTAGACTGGGCTGAAGCCACACTGGCCCGATGTTTCCTTCTTTGCATTGGGTAGACCAGGCCGAAGCCATGCTGGCCCAATGTTTCCACTTTGCAATGGGTAGACCAGGCTGAAGCAATGCAGGCCGGCCCCTTATATTTTCCAAAACGGCCCTGGGGGCTGGATCCAACCACATCCGGCCCACGGGTCTTGTGTTTGACATCCCTGTCTTTCTTTCCCTTCTTTTAATAGAGCCATCCATACTTTCCAACTCCCTTTTCTGTCCTGTCTTCTTTCTGGCTTCTATTTGAAGGAATAAAAGATTTTTTGGATGTGTATACACTTGCCTGTTTTTGTGTGTAAATTGATTAAATACCCTTATTTAATTGTAATCTGCATTTTATCATCTATAAACTGTAAATTAAATACTCTAATTACAATCTGTATTTCATAAATATAATTTTATAGGTATTTCAGGATAAACACATTGTGTAATTTTATCCTGATAATCTTTATTACAATATTGTTTTGTTTGATATTTGATATTTTATTTTTTGAAGTTATAACTACTCGTGTTATACTGGTCATTGATCAAAATAAAAATAAACCGAGAATAATAAAAATAGCCCAATTTAAAACAAACGTGCAAAATTCATTATTTTTTAATTGGGGGTGGGGTGGAAATATCCATATCTTTCAGGTGTGGCTTACATTTTGAAACTCTTGGACCAGTACCAAGAATTTGATTCCCTCCACTGGTTCCAGTCGGTACGAGAGAAATATGTGAAAGAAATCAGAGCATTAGCAAAACAGCAGAATGTCCAATCAGCTAGTCAAGATGAGAAGTTGCTACAGACCATGAATCTTACTCATAAGCGACTGGAAGTCTGTTTGCAGGTATTTTAAATCATTAAATTACAGTCTCAAATGATTTTGAAGCATCAAATAGGTATATGCGTACTGAAAGATAGGATCTCTTAAAAGCTTTGTTAATTTAGTGCCAATAATGCAATAACATTTTAAAATACTCAAAAACTGCCCTGAGGTTTTTGCTAGAAGGCAGTTTTGGTGAATCACTAATGTTTAATCCAGATCTGGGCATTTCACGGCCCTCGGGCCACATCCAGCCTATGGGTGCTCCAAGTCTGGCCCACGGTGGTAGGGGGGGAGGCATTGGAAGTGGGATAGTGGGGGTGGGGGTGGCCCTCCACAATATTCCCAATATTCTTATGTGACCCCTTGGGAAAATTAAGTGCCCAACCTTGGTTTAATCCATACCAAAATTTATTAGAAAGTAAGGTTTGTGAACTCACACAGTCTCCACTGTAATTGTGAGCAAGATGGCTAATACAGTTGTTTCCTGGCGTTCAAATCCACAAAAAAAACCCCACTGTCCTATGGTCTCCTTCCATATCTCTCCATGTATCTGGAGCAGTGGTGGGATTCACTTACCTTCCCTACTGGTTCGCAAATGTGAATGTGCGTGCATGTACACAGCCTTCTGCGCGTGCGCAATAGTCTCACATTACGTCTGGGCAAGTGGGCGGAGCCTCCCACAGTTGCCGCTACCAGTTCACGTGATCTGGACAGAACTGGCTGAATCCACCACTGAGCGTATGTGGGCAAACTCTCATCCTGTCTTTATCTGGAGAGGTTCCAAGGGACTGGTCTACTTATCAGTTCCTTGATCTTTTGTAGAGTCATCTACAGTTCTCCTTCCCTGGAAGCTTCAGGATAATCAACTGTTTTAAGGAAATCATTTGAGTCCGATTCTTTTTTTAATGGGTTGAAGTGTTAAATTAATTCAAGGCTTAAGGCACTAATGTTGTCCATGAATCATCCAAATAATGCAAGTCATCCAAAATAATGCAAATAATGCAGGCTGAAACAATTCCCTTTAACTATCCAGAACGGCCAACAAAAAATGATTTCTCCCTTTGAGATAATGACATCTGGAGCAAATTTTATTAATGGATTATAAATAATTGATCTTGGACAAGAAAATGTCCAAAGGAGCACAAGTAGTTAGAAATAAGTACATTATAAATAGGACATTAAAAAGCAAAATGAAGAAAAATAAATTTAATTTTATGCTTTGAATAATATTCTTCACTATATTATGTTAATAATATATAAAAGATGTAAAAGATGATATTGATAATTCAGGTATAAATTGTGCACAATATTAATGGGAGTTTCATATATTTATGCCCCTTAAAATAACTTGGAGATTTTGTGATTATGTGGCATGTTAAAACATGCAGATCTTTATTTCATTTCTCATAGGAATTTGAACTGCTTTATTTCTCACTAAGCAGTGCAAGGATCTTTTTTAGAGCAGATAAAACTGCAGCAGAAGAAAACCAAGATAAAAAAGACAGTGAAGGTTAGTAGGAAATATTCTGCTCTCTGGGGAGTTCCGGTGCTGAATACAAATGATTTTCTGTTCCTATGTACACTAAGCTATAAGTTATATAAGTTATAAGCAATAGGAGATTCATGTTGTGGTTTTTCACTGAGCAGATTAAACAATGATGCTAGGAAAAATAATGAAATAGTAGGCTACTATAGGTATCCTTACAACCACAATTTAGCCCAAAATTTCTGTTGCTAAATGACAGTTGTTAAGTGACTTTTGCCCCATTTTATGACCTTTCTTGCCATAGTTGTTAAGTGAATCACAGCAGTTGCTAAATTAGTAACATGGTTGTTAAGTGAATTTGGCTTCCCCATTGACTTTACTTGACAGAAGGTCACAAAAGGTGATCATATGATCCCTGGGATGCTGCAACCATCATGAATATGAACCGGGTGCCAAATATCCAAATTTGCATCATGTGACCATGGGGAAGTTGCAACAGTCATGTAGAAACAGTCATAAGTCATTTTTTCAATGCTGTTGTAACTTTGAATGATCACTAAGTGAATGGCTGTAAATTGAGGGCTACCTGTAGTGGTAAATAAAACAAAAATCTGTAATACTTTAAAAATAATGCATTTATTATAGCCTATGTTCTTATGGGGCACAGTCCACTTCATCAGATAAATAGAATGTCGTCCTTTTGGAAAGTATATAATTTATGTTTAGAAGAGAGAACAACGAACTGTAGTCTTAACAGAAAACGAAGTATAGGAATTTCAGATTGTGGCATAATCTATTCACAGAATAGTTTTTGAGTGTGGCATATTTTTGCATTTTGAGGCAACTTACACATGTTTGTTGCTGTTTAGATAAATGGTACCCATATTTTTGTTTCTTGGCATTTCACTCTTTTATTTCTCCTGATATTTAGGGACAAATTCCTTCTGATTCTACGCCCATATAAAATCCCTTCACAAACAGCTGTCCATTGGAAATTATTAATTCAGAATTAATTGCATGATTTTAAAAAAATGTATTAAAATCTTCCTTTTTTTTTACTCAATATTCACAATATAAGATTGTTGAAATTAGCTTTTTGTATTACAGAAGAATCCACAAAAACAAGCAACGACCTTTCAAATTCTTCTTCTGCAGATCCTCTTGTAAAATGAGAGCTCTGGTATGGTTAATTTACGGATGCGATTGTATGGCTTTTCTTAATAGTATTTACAATTTAGAAACTCTATTAAAATAAGACAAGTTTTGCAGCATTCAGAAATAATAATTTATGTTCCTCCCCAAAGACAAAAACTCCTACCCTGAAATTACTTGCACTTGTTCTATATATTTCTGCCAAACCTAGACGAAATGTTAAATATTTGTTTAAATTGCACACACCCTTAACGGCAGTATATTGAAATCCAGTACCGTGATATAACCGTGATTTCTGATTACTTATTTTATAAAGGGGGAACAATAATTGCACTGAATTTGGATGGGCTTACCCATCCAAAAGCAGTGGCTGAGAAAATAATGATTAGTTTATAGATTCTGGTTCAGAGTAAGTTCTTATCCAGCAAAATTGCAAAAAGCAAATAGTACCTCAGTGAGATAGCATAAAAGAGAACTGTGTACATTTTGAAAAATGATTTGGAAGAAGCAATTTAGGATTTGCATCAGACAGCATCTCTTTAGCTGATTTTTTTCCAGGTTTCCTCAGAAGAAAGGAAAGCATGCTGCTTTGAGAGAGGTGTTTGTACCAAATCTTTAAAAATGTACCTTTCACACAGATGAAAGTCTGGAGAGATTCTTAGTCATCCAGGTCATGGTTGTCCGAAAGGTGCTTTTTCAGGAGGCAACTGGACTTTCTTGTTTTTTTGTTTTTTTTAAAGACGTTTCGCTTCTCATCCAAGAAGCTTCTTCAGCTGACAGGATAGTGGGGAATGGAAAGATTTATATTCCTTGCAGACAGCTGGTAATTTGCATCCTTTTAGAGCAGTGGTTCTCAACCTGTGGGTCGGGACCCCTTAGGGGGTCGAATGACCCTTTCACAGGGGTTGCCTAAGACCATCGGAAAACACATATTTTCAATGGTTTTAAATAATTTTATTGTTGGGGGTCACCACAACATGAGGAACTGTATTAAAGGGTTGCAGCATTAGGAAGGTTGAGAGCCACTGTTTTAGAGGGTCATTGAAGCACTTGGAGGTTTATCTGTGTCCTCAGGGTCATCCTTCTATTCCCCACTATCCTGTCAGAGCTGAAGAAGCTTCTTGGATGACTTGAAAAGTCGTCAAAAGAAAAAAAAAACCCAAGAAAGTCCAGTTGTCTCATGAGTTTCACACAGATGCCTACTTAAATGAGTATCTGATAAGTGCTGTCTTTGCATGAGGTCTGAATTGTTTCTTCTGAATACTTTTCAAAGGGTGCAGAGCCCTAATTACAAAGTGCAGTTTCACTGATTTTCCCCCCAAAATGCTTTTTTTAAAAAAAAACATAATTGTTCTGATTACCATTTGACTTTGCAAAGAAAGAAAATATGAATAATAAAAACTAACAAATTAAAATTTTAAAACAAGAGGGCTTTAATCTTTAAAAATAGTTTTTAAGTTGTGCTTGTCTACTAATAGATTCCTTTTCTTCTTCTTCACTTAAATCTGCTCCTGGGCGGGATCAGGGATAATTTGGGAGGGGGTTGAAAAAGGGGAATGTTTCTCAGAATGTATAGTTTGATTTATGTGTTGTTTTGTGTTCTATAGAACTCTAGAGCAACTGTGATTTGTTGAAATTGATGGGACCAGATTGACATAGAACATCCACCTCATCGGTCTGATAGCGATCCAGACGTGCTGTGAAATATCACATAATTTATTGTAATACTCACTCAGCACAGTATTTGGAGTTCCAGACACATATGCTATTTTGATCTAAGATGTGATTGAAAAGGGGGCAAATTTGTTATTAGAAAGTTTTAAAATATTCTTATACCTAATGGATTCAATAATACTAAATGCATCAAATTACATCCTTAATATGGTTGTTACTGCTTGTTTTCCTAGTGCATATAATTCCCCTTGGAAAAAAAAAACCCTGTCTAATTCATAGACTTTACCAATTAAACTGCTGACTTAAATGGACAACTTGTATTGTCCCAGAGACTGTATAAGCATACTAAGCTTAAGGTAGCTATGTGCTGTAATAAACATACTCATTTTCATACCTTTTTGGCATTTAATTTGAGAGACTCCTATTTTAGATACACGGCTAAACTGTACAGTGTTAACCAAACTGACATCTTTGTGAGATACTGAAAAAAGCATCCTGAAATTGTCTAGATTCTAAAAGCATGTACAGTATATGCAATGTTGTTGTGAATATGTATACATAGAGCTTTGTGAATATAGTGATGGTTGCTACTCTTACAAACATTGAAATTGTAAAAGCAAGTAATGCAAAAATATGGTAATTGGGGCCTTGAATGAAAAACAGTTCTTGGGAGCCTAATATCGTGTCCTTCTGCCACAGAAAGAGTTGTTATACTACTTGGCCTTTCAGTAGATACAAGCCTTTCAGGGCTGTTACATGTGTGGCAGATTAAACAGGGGAATTAGGAATTATTTAACATAACTGTATGGGATCGGTGGTGGGTTCAGTAAGACATGGAATTATTGTTTGCCTTCTCCCGTTTCATCTTTTGAATAATCTGTCTTCCAACATGGAGACAGTAGCTATGGCATCTTCTCCATGTATTTTATTTACAAAAGCATGCCACAGAGAGATTTTTCTCTTTCAAATTCTTAATCTTTATTTGTAAGGAATCTTTTTATTTTCTATGAAATACATAATTGAACACAAATGTCTAGGTCACTTCCAGTTAAGGTCCTTTTGGCTATTTATTACATGGTCTTCCAGAATAAAATCACAAGGCCTACCAGGAGTGATAGGGATTGACTCAGCAAAGCCATGAATATTTTGTACATTTGTATGTTTGAGCTTCTGCCAAAGTTTCTGAAAGGGAGATCCTGTTGTCATTGATCTATTACTCTGATCTATTCCACCTATGTTCAAATTCTCAGGAATGAAAGGGACAAAATTATAACATGTCTTACTCTTAAATTCATTTACAAAAACGAAATGAAACAAAACAAAAAAACCTGTTACCTCAATACTTTATTCTGTTAGATATTCTGTACATAATGTTAATAAATGCAACTTTGGAAAAAAAATGGATTTGTATATAGTGGTCACAAGCCTGGAATGTTTTGACTTCCTTGAATGTGCTGTTATCTTTAATGAGAACCAGGTTTGCCAATGTAGATACTTCAATCTACAGCTAAGCCAGAACGCTAGGATTGATTTAATCAACTTCATAGGGCTAACTGAAATATAATTTATTCTGTAGTAAGTATTGAAATAAATTTCCTTTAGAAATGTGTTCTTCCTAATGGATAACAAAAACAGTGAAGTATACTTGCTTAAATATAATCATTTGTCAGTCAGTTCTAATAATTCTTCATTTATGGATGAATCACCACTAAGATACCTGTGTGGAATCTCTACAATACCTTCTGCTTCAATCCCTAGAGCAGGGGTATCACAGTGTTTTTGCTTTGCAGGGGTGGGGTGGGTGTGGCCTGCATGGGCCATTATCGGGCCTGCAGGCCGCCAGTTTGACAGGCCTGCTCTAAAGCAGTCTAATTATGATCCATTTCTGTTTCACTGCATATAGTTTATATCAACTAGATTGGACGTTAATATTAACCTGGGAGCAGCTTCAGCTATTATAAGCTTATTGCACTTAAATGATTTGATCTACTTACATCCAATGGTGGGTTTCAAATTTTTTTACTACTGGTTCTGGGGGCGTGGCTTGGTGGGCGTGGCAGGGGAAGGATACTGTAAAATCTCCATTCCCTCCCCACTCCAGGGGAAGGTTACAGCAAAATTCCCATTTCCTCCCAATCAGCTGGGACTTGGGAGGCAGAGAATAGATGGGGGCAGGGACAGTCAGCATTTTTACTACCGGTTCTCCGAACTACTCAAAATTTCCGCTACCGGTTCTCCAGAACTGGTCAGAACCTGCTGAAACCCACCTCTGCTCATATCTATTGTACTAAGTAGAACAATTCAAATATCATTAATGCAGAAAACTTCGGTACAATACTCTTTCAGAAAATGTACTGATATTTTTCTAGCCTTCTGGTTTAAAAATCTTTTTAAAGATCTGTTACTAAATCATAACATGTCCTGTACTATAATTTACATAAATTCTCACCTATTTTTCAGGCTCTTACTTTAACCATTATTGCTGAAACTGTTGTAGTGCAAGATGTGGACTTTGTTTTTAACATCATATAAACCATCAAAGACAGATAAAATTCTTCATGAGATCCAGCTATCATTGTAATTTACTTACAATGTGTTTATAATTTAAAAGAGTAAACCTAAAGCTGCCAAAACACATATATCCAAATTTGTGCTGGCCCCACAAGGAAGAATATCAAATAAGGAAGATAGTATAAGCACTGGCTAGCTTGATCTTCTTTCTGAAGAAACTGCATTTCCCAGGGCAGTGCGAAAATGCTTCTGGTGCTACTTATATCTAGGTTGGAAGAAATTGTTTTGTCTGAGGAATGGAGTCCCTCTTCTATCAAATTTGTAAACTTCCATGTGAAAGTGGGAAAGCCATTATCTCATCTTACAGAACAGTGCAAAAATGTTAGCCAACAGGCTTATTTGAATAGCAGTGACAACCACTCGTTCATCTTTCCTTCAGCCTTGGTAAATAACTGAGATTCATAATCGTTCTAACTTGCTTTCTGGTCCTTTTATTTTCTATTCGCTTGAGTTATTTGTTTTATATTATCACAAATTAGGCACTTAATTTTGAAAGTTTAACTCAGATAAAAGTATAAAAATAAATATTAGTAGAAACTGCTATTGAATCGCTTTCTAAATAGCCTAGTTTAAAATAGCTTTCCCATTACTTTTTAAAAGGTATGCAAATAGGAGCAAATAAAGTATTTATCACTGAGATTATAATCCAAACACTTCAATTCTGCTATCTAAACTATATTCCAAACATTTAAATTCTTCTACCTATTTTGCTTAAGATGCAAAATATTATTTTTTTTCTGTGAAGTGCCTCTGTATTTTAATTCAGACTTTCAGAAACTTTGTGGCCTGTGCAATTTCTTCCTCTCTACTATAGCTAATAGAATTATGTGAAACAGGTGTGTATTTATTTATAAATTTTGTGAATGCATGTTCATGAGCAATTAAATCTTTGCTGGTGGTAGTGATGACCTTGTGGTCCTCTCATCAGTATCAGGATGTCTTGGTACTGATGAAGAATTTTAAAAAGTCTGTCAGTTTCTATACCAAATATCTGGATCAAGTTCTCATCTGTTGGGGTTTCCTCTAGCCCACCTATGTTGGACCACAGCTGAGAGCACAGGGCATACTCTTTTATGGGCACCATCATCTCCACTGAGAGAAATTATCAGTTATGCTTCTGACTCCTGTCCTTCTCCATGTACAGCATTGTCCTCTTCTGATCGCTCATTCAGTAACTTGAATTTTCCATCGTTAGTAAGAGGCATGGATGATATTAATTGAGCTAGAGCTTTTGGATCCTATAATTAAAATGACAAATGGAAATTATTCAAGGCAAATAAAATGTAATTTCATAAATGGCTTTTCAAAAAGCAGCCTATAAATCAAGAGGACCAGTTTCCTTTCTGTTGTGTTCCCAAACCAGATCAGCCCCTAAAAGCTTTCGCTATTTATGCCTGCAGTGACTTTCTCAAAAGTTCTCATAAGGTACTGTATATCTTAACAATTCACATGGCTAGAGAAAGATTTGTTAATCATTTTACAAACACTGTAAACTGACTTCATATTTTTACTTTCCTGGAGTCAATTTATTCAGTTGACATTTTAAATTCCAACTGAAATAATATCTAGAACCATTTTCCTCATATTGGAATGCTTTTGTACTTTTAATGACAAAATGATTCTATTAGACAATAGAAAAACAAGAGTTCTTAACTTCTCAGAATATCAGTTCATGTGAGTGCAAAAATTCCTGTGTATATTTCTTGAATTAGACTAGAGAAATGGAAATGGAAATCAAATAAGGATGGCCTAATTTTTCACATGTGGAGTTTTAAGATTATTTTGGGTACTCCCACAAAATGGCTTCTAAAGTTAGTGACATAAGCACCTGCTTGTCGGAAGACAAAATGATAATAGCACACCCTGCAATACTTGGTTTAGGCTAAAGTGGATGTGTAAAATTATAAACTCCAAACAAATGACTGGATTCGTCATGTTTAATGTATAATTTCTAAAGGGATCTATATGGGCCCAAGAAATCCTCCCTCTTCCCCCCCTCCCCCCCCAACCTTTGAGTCAGTTTTTGACTCCTGGCAACTGCCTTGACTACTCCATTTAGTTTTCTTGGCATGATTTCAGAATGATTTGCCATTGCATGCTTCCTAGGGCTGAGAGAAAGTGACTGCCCAAGGTCACCCTATTGGCTTTGTGCCTAAGGTAAAACTAGAACTCATGATCTCCCAGTTTCTAGCCCGATGCCTTAACCACAACACCAAATTGACTCTTTGTTTTGACAAGAAACAAACTGAAGTCCTAAAACTCACTGCTGTTATATCAAGACAACAGAGGGTGATATTTGAAGGGAAGCAAGAACTTTTCAAAGCTTATTTCTTTGACCTTATATTGATTTTCATAATCCTTCATTATGAAACTCATTTTTGGCTCAGCCTAATGTTCATTGAAAACATGTTTAAGTTCAGCAAAAGTAAATACCTGTTCTGTAAGCAAATTAGATGTTATTTATTTATGTCTGGCTATTGGCTGAAGGACTCCCTAAGCACATCACATGCACACTGCTGGCACTATACAAAACATTGAAATCACTTAGTTATTAGATAGAATTAGCTCCAGATCATATCCTCTTAATTCCAAAGTAAAGATGATTTGTTTGAATTCTGTGTAGTCATAACAATACCAGAGAATCAAAAGCAAGATTTAATTCAGAGGATAAGGAACATGAAGTTAAAAATATTACCTTTCGAGCCTCAATGATTTCCTTCCCCAGATTTATTGCATAGCAAATCTACAGAAAAAACAGAATCTGCCTCAGTACCACTTACATTTTTTGTTGTTGATTATACTACCTATTTAAAACTGCAAATAAATAGACAAAGCTCAGTATTTCCCAAATAATTTCTCCTATTATTGGATCTGGATTACAGCCTCAGAAATTATATGGCAGAATTCCCAATAATATTAAGACCACCAAATAGTCTGTGAAAGCTTTACAATGCTGTATTAGCAGCATTTATGACAAAGAAAGATGTTTCAGACTGTTGCTGAAGCAACAGCTTTCTGGCACTGGCAGGCGTTTAGAACAGATGTTTACTTCCAATTATTTGTCTGGCACTAGCCATGTAACCATCCAGATATTGACTATAATACTCATAATATAATTAGCTATGGCTAAAGGAAATTGTACGAAATTATTTGTCTGGCACTAGCCATATAACCATCCATATACTGACTGTAATGCTCATAATATTAGCTATGGCTAAAGGAAATTGTAATCCAACAACCTGCATAAGGCAACACAAACCATACCTCATTTTATAGTAATGCTGCTCTATTTCCAAGCCACAGGTTGGAATTAACAAATGAAATTCTACCAATGGATCACTTTAACTGGATACTATAAGCAGAAGAAAACATTCCGTTTCAAGGCCAGTCACACTCTCACCTCACATAGCCCAATTCACCTCACAAAGATGTGGGGAAAATAGGAGGAAGGTATGTTGGATGTGTTCACTGCCTTGAGTTATTTGTAAAATAAATAAATAATAAAATTGTGATACAAATAAACTGCTGCCTTGAGTTATCTACAAAAATAATAAAGGTAGGAAAAAAATTAACTTACTTGAACTGATTAATAAGCCATTATATCAAGGTTACAGGTACTCCTTGACTTACAAATACAGCTAGGCCAGAATTTCAATTGCTAAGCAATTTATTTGTTAAGTGAGTCATCATGTAGCTGGACCTGATTTTACGGCCATTTTACCATGGCCATTAAGTGAATTGATGTCATTAAGCGAATCCGGCACCTCCCACTGACTTTGCTTATTGGAAGCCGGCTGGGGAGTCGGGTTTCCAATGATTGTGATTTCAACCTTCCCAGCGGCTTCCGATAAGCAAAGTCAATGGGGGATGATTGTGACCGTCGGATGCTGTAACCATTGTAAACGTGAGCCGGTTGCCAAGTGCCCAAATCATGATCACAAGACAGTTGAGATCATGCAACATTTATAACTTCAAGGATGGGATCTAAGTCACTTTTTTCAGCACTAGCGTAACTTCAAACCATCATTAAATGAATGGTTTAGTAAATCAAAGTCTACTGGATTGAAGGCTGCATTAAGTTTTGTGCACTATAATTTGAAAATGGACAAGACCAGGACCAATTTTGTGGTGAATCAGATTATTAACAAGCTATTGGGAGGTTTTAAGAATTGGAACTCCAAAAAAAAAAAAACCCCCCAAAAAACAAAACCCTGGAATTAAAACTTGCAAAATGTTTGGCCCAATCCATTCTGAGGCTTGCAAATCTTGGTAGTTGCACATTTTATACTCATAATGAACTTGCTGCTACTGCTGTTTTTATTTGACTTCATTTTACAAAACAGATTGGGTCATTACCTAATGACACTCCATTTAATTGAAGAAAGCAGTTACATGCATTAATTTTAATTATACAACAAAGCTATTTCCATACCTTTTCACCTTCGGTGTTACTCTCAAACACATAAGCACTCATTCCGTCTTCACCTGACAATTCAGAGACACAAACCACAAACCCAAACAGCCTCTTGTTTTCCTTGTGAGCAGCAAACTGTGTCACATTGGCTAGTTCAAACTGAAAAAGAAAGTGGTAATAATATAAATTTACCTAAATTCTCGGGGACTGCAATCTTTCTGTGGTGATAAAAGAAAAGCATATGCTTACATTTGATCTTGTAACTTGTGTTTGAGGATCTATCAATCTGTTAATGGAAAAAAAATATGTTCAAGTTTAAAGGGCAATAAACTCTCATCATGATTACCGATTGAATCCAGAGGAAATCTTCTATGAACAAAAGGATTTTTGATGCAGTTGAAACTCCTGTAATAAGGGGTGGGGTGTGGCATCTCCCTTCCCTTTCCAGGCCCTGAAGAACTGTGATCAATAACTACCACTCCTGAAGGCTAGGTATTGCCTTCATCATCAGTAATACTTTTCACTACTAGCAGGTTGGGATACACAAGGTCTTGGCTATTAAATTGAGCACTGAAGAGTATAAAGATGATTGACTAGACATGCCTTTGATCTAGCAAAACTCTTTCTTAGTTCTTAGCCCCTCCCACAAAACACAAGCAGATGTGCATCAGAGAACAAAATCTGCCTCCTTTCCCTAATGCTTTTTCTCTGACTGATTCCATTCTTAGGATGACTTTACAACGAAAACTACAAAGAGGGCAACAAAACTAAAAGAGGGAAAGATAAGTGTAAATGGATCAGAGAAGGCAAACTTTGCTTACTTCAGGTCATTGCTGGTGACCAAGAGATGGGATTCAGTTGTACGGAAAATATTATGAATAGCCCGAGCTGCCAACACCTGCCGCATTGCTTCATATATCACCTCCACTGTATGGTCAGATCTGACAGCCATAGAGCCTAAAAACCGAACTACAAACATGTGCTGTAGGAGTGAATCTGGAGGTGGGGATGGGGAGAGAGAAATGGAAGGAAATCTGTTTATATTGCCTTTTGACATAAGAACAATTTTCTTCAATAGATTCCTGAAAAAATGATTATTACTTCAAAGAGGTCTCCCCATCTGCAATATATATCAAATCCTAGTTTACATATAGATGCTTAAGTGGTGATAAATACTCTAAAACAGGGGTGTCAAACTCAATGCCTGGGGATGGATCTGGTCCGTGGGGTGCTTAGATTTGGCCCGCGGGGTTGCCCTAGAAACAGCAAAGGACCAGCTCGCAGTGCCTCTGCCAGCGAAAAAGGAGCTCAGGAGGGCCACATGTGTCACTCCTGAGCTCCATTTTCACTGGCAGAAGGTTGCAGGAAGTGTTTTTGCTGGCAGAATGCTTGGGCCACCACAGGGTCCCCCGACACAAGTGATGTTGAGCTGGCCACACACACCCCAGCCCCCCCGAGGTCAAACACAACCCTGATGCGGCCCTCAATGAAATTGAGTTTGACACCCCTGCTCTAAAACATATAATATCAGGGCTACATTCATTTTTTTTCATGGAGGGCTGCTTTTTTTTAGGGTGCTATATACTGATGGAAGTATGGACAAGAAACCAAAGCAAGGAAGGAGCAGCACTTCCTTTCTACTACAGGTGGTCCTTGTTTAGCAACCACAGTCGGAACCAGCAACTTGGTCTCTAGGTGAAATGGCCACTAAGAAACTGCCACCATGCTTATGATCTTACTTTAGCTTTCCTTTGCTTTACAGACCTATGAAAAATGCCACGATTGGTTGTAAAGTTACTTTTTCAACACCATTGTAACTATGAACAGTTGCTAAATGAGTCCGTTGCTAAAAGAGGACTACTTGTATTTCCTCCTGTATTTCCTTACTCGCCTTTTCACGTAGCAAGACACTGGGGGAGAGAGAGACTGCTTTGACCAGAAGCTGGTCTGATCATTTACAAGGGGCTTTCGAGATTAAGCTAAAGCTTGCACATGTATATAAACTCCAGATTGTCTCTTCCTATGCAGTGCATTCATAAACATTCTTTCAATGGGGCAGTTCACATATTCAGTTATAAACTATCACATCCTGAGTATGAAATAATTAGCAACCCTTTGCAATCTGTCTTTGTAAACATGGAATCAATGCAAATGCAGTTTGCAGCACAAATGCTGAAGCTTATTTTTATCTATTTCTTTATCATATTTGCATAGCTTGACGGCTTCCTCCTGGTAGGAATCTCCTCATCTCCACCCCCAGGTTCTTAGCCATTTTAGCACTAAATGTATCCTTTCACCAATGTTTACTGCTTGCCCTCATGGAAACTAGACTTTTCCTTTCCAAGCTACCACAGAAAAAAAGTGCAGCAGAAAGGAAAGATGGGGATGGGCTACAAGTTAATTTTTGCACCCTTCTAGTCACCACTTAAACTCTTCTAATAACTGAGAAATTGTGCAATGAGAATGATAATTATGAAAAGTGCCCTCAGTCATTCCGTCCATCATTATAAATAAAGCTAATGTATGAAGGGGAAAAAATGATTTTAAAAATGTGCGTGAAGAGTGGTATATCATGGGTACACTTAACATGCGTAGCTGATACTGGGCTCTTTTCTCATCCTGCCCACAGGTAGGCAGGATGAGAAAATTAAAATCAACTTAGTCCCCATCCTACAGAGATCGGAAACACTGTTGACTTCTGCTTATACATTTTTAAGCCAAAGGAAATCGTTATTCTGCACATCCCACAGCCACATTTAACAGACAATAAACAGACTACCAGGTGGCCTTAATAGCACAGGCAAAATGGCTCTGTCTCCGAAAGTGGGACATTAACCTGGATGACTTTGAGACCAAAGCAAGCAGCGATGAACAGCGTTTACCTGCTTCATCCTCTTTCTCGCCGTCTTCCGATTCTCCAAAAGGATTGGTACGTCTGCAACAGAACAGTATCATTTCTAAAAGACCATTTTCCAATACTAAGAAAAGTTTTTAAAAAATAGAGTTCCTTGTCAAAAGAAAGATTGTTGGCAGCCCGTACCTTCCACCCCTGTGCTGATCTAGGAACTCTGTTGCAGGAAGCACAATGTCAAACTGAATGGGAGTTCCAGGTGCAATTAACTCCGTGGGGATGAGAGCTTCAGCAGACTCCTCTGGAACTGTCTGGTCATTTAGAATATCCATGCACTTCCCATCCTGGCTAAAGGAAAAGAGACAGGAAGGGGGCCATTTGAAATATGCAGTCAAAAAGCATGACGGATTATTATGAATGGAAAATCCATTAAAAAATAACTAAGGTTACCATTTTTCATGCGTTTTACTAGTTTCAAAGGCTGAATGAGAAAGAATAATAAGCAGAGCAGGGGTGAAATCCAGCAGGTTCTGACAGGTTCTGGAAAACCGGTAGCGGAAATTTTGAGCAGTTCAGAGAACCAGTAGTGGAAATTTTGAGTAGTTCAGAGAACCGGCAAATACCACCTCTGGCTGGCCCGAGAGTGGGATGGGAATGGAGATTTTGCAATATCCTTCCCCCAGGAGTGGGGAGGGAATGGGGATTTTGCAGTATCCTTCCCCTGCCACGCCCACCAAGCCACACCCACCAAGCCACACCATTCCCACCAAGCCACACCCACAGAACCGGTAGTAAAAAAATTTGGATTTCACCACTGAAGCAGAGAGTATATTTTAAGCGAATATTCGTTCATTGGCATGTGATTGATAAATATATGATGAGCCGTGGCGGCGCAGTGGTTAGAATGCAGTAGTGCAGCCTACTTCTGCTGATCACTGGCTGCCAGCAGTTTGGCAGATCGAATCTCACCAGGCTCAAGGTTGACTCAGCCTGCCATCCTTCTGAGGTCGGTAAAATGAGGACCCAGATTGTTGGGGGCAATATGCTGATTCTGTAAACCACTTAGAGAGGGGTGCAAAGCATTGTGAAGCAGTATATAAGTCTAAGTACTATTGCTATATGACCCCTTTATTGTGTGGTGGAACAGTTCTCCACTTCATAACCAGAAGAGGAAATGCAGGATTAAATATTCCCCCAGGATAGAACTCTCGGTTTACACTAAAATTGCATGTTAGCGGAAAAGAAGGTTTTATATTCAATGGGGAAGGACAAAATACAAGGCGAACATGAAGGTACCTGGAGGAGTGACTACCTTGCTTCGTTTCAAAGCTCGTAATTGGAGTCACAGCTTGCAGTGCTGTCTGATTTAACCTAATGGCAACTGCCTGAGATAAAAGAGAAGTGCATCTTTAAGTAATACTGTTTAAAGTTCTTGCATAAACACAGAATCATAAGTGAACATATCTTCTAAGATAAATAAATTTGGGAAAAAAAATTGAAACATGCTCACTTCTGGGTTGTCAGTCAGATAGATCTGTCGTGAAATGTTGTTGATTGCACTTATCCACTGTAACAACAAAGCAAATATTTAAAACAAGGCACCTGGATATTCTTGAATTCTTAATTGGTAGAATTGATTTTATCTAACAAATTAAAACCTTCCTTTCACAGTGAAATGTTTTACCTCCTCATATTCCTTTTTGCTTTCTGCCTGGAGGGTTATGCCTCTAAAAAAAAAATACACAGCCATTAGTACTATTTTACTGGCGTATCACATATGTATCATTCTTGCTCAAGACTGCATGAATGAAAAATACAACATAATACAATTTGAGATCTAAAAGTTTGAATTCGCAGGATATTAATGGTGGGAGAATATTAATGTTGTGAAATCAGCCAAGCATAAAATATTCACGTGTGGGCAAAAAAGTGACTTAAGCTTAGAGCAAAAAATAACCTTCCCAGAAACACATTGTTTGAGTTGGGCAGCCTTAGAAATCAAATCAAAATGTTTTCGAACTTTTAGATTAAACATTCTGGATCAAACGCCTAATGGATAGGTCTTGAAACTATTAGAATTGCAAAGAAAAAGCCAATTTGGCATTTGCTGCTTGGTGTACAGAGATAAGGTTATTTGTATTTGCTGAAATGTGCTTGTGTGCCTTCAAGTCAGAACTGACTCCTGGTAATTGTCTGGACAAACCCCTGGAGTTTTCTTTCAAGATTTTAGAAGTGGTTTAGCATTGCCTGCTAAAACACTTCTGGTTCTAGGCTGAAGCCTTAACCTCCTTAACCAAATTGGCTCCTGTTCGCTGAAATAGTACAATCATCATCATCATCCTCTTTTAATGACCCCATAATCCCTTGCAGAGTGGAGTCTGGGCAACTGAATGGAGCTGAGTGTTTACTGGCCGGATGCCCTTCCTGTCACCTATGCAGAGTTTTTTTTCAGCAGATATATTTCTCAGTGTGCCCAGAGAGAGAAATATCTGCCTCTACCTAGGATTGAACTCACAGTATCCTGATTGTGAGGTGAGAGCTCCACCTCTAGGCCACCGTGTCAAAGTATATTCATGTACTGGAATAGGGCATAGCAACAGGTCAGCCAATAAGGGCTGTTTGGTAACTGAAACATAGTATTTGTTGTATGGGACCATAAGAGACAGTTTGGAGCCTGGGTGTGGCTTAACTGTTCTGTATATAAGTTCGAGGGCACTAGCTTCTCTCTCCTCCAGTTTGCCTTCTTCATTTTGTGCTGTTTGTACTTGCTATTTCTCTTCTCTACAATGTGGAAAAACCTATAAGGGTATTGTATCCCTTATGTGTCATTATGTATATAAAGACATTTGAATCCTGCTGAATAGTCTGACTGTGTGTGCTGCAACAAACTCGGACACACCACACCACTTGAAATAGTGCAATACACCTAATTATTATACAATGCCTGTATTGTTCTTTCTTAGATGCTGACAACAGTGTCCTTTTTAAATTTCTATACTGCTAAATTCCAAATGCTATTCCTGGTGGCTCACATTCAAGAGGGAGGGCACTTACCTAAACTCATGAGAGGCTATTCCATAATATGTGGGTGTAACTGAAAAAAAATTGCTGCAGTCCCTGCCTCTTGGCTACTTTAAACTGATTACGTGCTACAACTTTAACTGGAAAGCCATGTATAACACCAAAATTACTTTTGCAGTAATTCCTATATAATCCAGAAAAACTTGATTTAGATTAAGTGGAGTACACAAAGCAGCTCAGTTAATGCAACCTCGCCAAGAACGACAAAGCTTTCCTTCTAGCAGATGCTTTGATCCCCATCTCCTGACCCACATACGGTTTTCCTGTTGGAGTGGTGATCTGAAAGCAGTAACGTCGGTCTTCACAGTCAATGGCCATCACAGAGCAGTTGTCCAAATCTTGAATCAATCCACCAGCGACTGCACCCCTGGGCTGACACATCAAGTTTCCACCCTGAGTGAAGAAATACAGCCTGTCCCACGTGGTTGTCACAAGGCCTGTTTTGCTGCAAATATATATATATATATATACCATTTCAAGATTTTTAAAAAATAGCACTGGAACATATTTGCCAAATTCATTCCAACAAGCCCGTCTGATTGTCTTCAGCGCATGGATTTTTAAGTCTATATTTTGTCATGGCTATATCACTGGTTACAGCTTTTATATACTTTCAGGTGTTGGATTTTATAACGCTGCTACATTGGTGAGTCAGGTTTCATTATCTGAAATGTCCCGATCAGTAACCTGCCTATACAGTTACTAAATATGGCTGGACAAGTGGAGACTGTTACTTTTACCACTATTAGATGCATCCCACAAATGGAACTGATATTTGCAATGTCTAAAGCATATCTAGATATTAATAAACTTCCATAAGCAGAGGCTAAATGGAAAAAAGAAAAAAAAGAGAAATAGTTTTTTTTCCCAGTTCTTCTGTTGAAGTCTACTGTGCATGGACCTTTAAAAAGACCCTCATATACACATAGGTAAATATTTTATTCAACCCAAACATCTGGATCCTAGGCACTTTATTGTAATTACTAGTGTATTTTTCCATAGTACAAGAAGCATCTTATCATCCTTTCCGATTCAAAGTAAATGTAAAAAATGGTGTTTCGTATATTTTTAGCCCTCTTATTGTCCAAATTAGGTAGAAGTACTGATAGTTAAAAAAAAAAAAAGCTGAAATGACCAATCTACCAAGATAAATAAAACATTCCTGAGCTTTCACATTACTTTCTAAGGTTTAGATAGCCTGCTTTCTGGATGAGGTTTTTGTTGATGACAGGAGAAGCATCAAAATCGGGTGTATATACTGATTCACCAACTGAAAGCAGATCTTGCTGAGATACCCGCATGGCTTCAACTTCAGCATCTGATTCTTCTTGGATGCTGTAATACATAAATAAAATTAAAGCACTTCACCGTCATGCTACCTCTGGTGAACTTTTACGTATGTAATTAATACAGCTGGGCATTAAAAGGTTATTTACAAATATGTTTTTCATAAGCACTTAAGAGATACAAACCAGGGTAAGAATGTGCATTTGCAAGTAATTATGAATCACAATAGCAGCATGATTTCATATATATCTTATATGATGAAAGTTCTAGGCTGATCATAGCTTCAAATCAAGTACCCTGTAAAATGCAGACAACACTTTTCAGAAATCACTTTTGTTGCATCTTAGCTCTAGACCAGGGGTGTCAAACTCATGTCATCACGGTGGCGTCATGTGACTTATCGGGACTTTCCCCCCCTTTGCTAAACTGGGCATGGGCGTGGCCAGAGTGTGACACATCCGGCCTGTGTGCCAGGACTTTGATAGCCCTGATCTAGACAAACTATTTTAGGGCCATTTCCCATCTTTAAAATCATTGCAACTCTATAGAGATGCACAGTGGGAGAAAAAAATACACAATATAAGATCCCTTATCAAGCAGCATAAATTATAAGCCAACATCTTCCAGATGTATTGGACTGTAAGTATTATCACAAGCCAGCATGGCGAAATATCAGTTGGATTTCAATATAAATCATAGTTTAACAGGCTTTTGATAGTATTTTCACATCAAAACAATTATATCTCCCTTTTTCTCTCTTCCTCTCTCTTCTTGCTCATGTAGATAAGAGCAATACAAGCAACAGCTTTCCTCCTTCCCCCAAACTGCAAAGCAATATAAACAGGAATATAATGTTACCTCTGCACCGTATTTGTAACCGATGTTAAAAAGCCATCCAGCCTTTTTGAAAACATCTCTGCTCCTTTCTTCAAAAAATTAATCTGAAGAGTATAAAAAAGGAAGCTGAAGACTTTGACTAGCAAATGGCTCGCTCCAAATGATTGAGAAGCCAGTAGATGTACTTTGCATTTTGAGAGCTTTTTGTGGATCCTCAAAGAAAATGGGGGCTTGGCCATTCATAAAACAGCATCACCATGGGCACAGTCAGTCTAAAACACTTGCAGTAGTTGCCTAACCCTGGCAGGAGACTCATTCTTAATTTGCATCTTATTTTTAGTCTTTTGAATATCTATGGAACAATGTGAAAGTCGAGACTATTTTTTAGAAATAAAATATGATCCTAGATCAGTGATGGCTAAGCTTTTTGCCATTGTGTGCCAAAAACTGGGGGAGCGCGGGTGGGTCACGCACACACATGCCCACCCATAATTCAATGCGCCCCACCCCCCTGCACTCTCCCCGCTTGCCCCCCTGCACTCTCCCCACTTTTGGCACGCGATGGCATGGCGGGCCCAGTAGGCCTATTTTTTGCCCTCCCCAGGTCCATAGGTTTTATTGGAGCCTGGGGAGGGCAAAAACGGCCTCCCCCGCCCAGAGGCCCTCTGGAGGCCAGAAATAGCCCATTTCCCGACTTCTGGTGGGACCAGAAGGCCCGTTTTTCACCCTCCCCAGGCTCCAGAGGCTTTCTAGGAGCCTGGGGAGTGGGAAAACGGCCTTCTCCAGTCCCCCGGAGGCCCTCTGGAGGCCATAACGGCCCATTTCCCAGTTGGGCCCAGAAGGCCAGTTTTTCACCCTCCCCAGCTCCAGAGGCTTTCTTGGAGCCCAGGAAGGGCAAAAACAGCCTTCCCCAAGCCCTCCGGAGGCTGGAAACAGCACGTTTGCTGACTTCTGATGGGCCCAGAAGGCCTGAAAATCAGCTGGCTGAACTAGGACAATACTTGCGTGCCCACAGATATGGCTCTGTGTGCCACCTGTGGCACACGTGCCATAGATTCGCCATCATGGTCCTAGATGCTCTGAAAAATTCAAATCATTATTAAAATGATTAAAAAGAAAAAGCCTGGCAGGCACCAAGAGAAACACTGTTTATAGGCAAAATATCTCTTTGAAATTCAACTTAAATTCAGTCTCTATAATCTTGCACATCCATCTCTCTCTCTCCCTCCCTCCCTCCCTCCTTCTCCCCATCCTCTCTCGAAATAATTGTAAGCATTCTGTCTTGTAGCATCAGTATTCCTCATTTCAATTAAAACCCATGGAAGTTGATGTACACAATCTATTTAACAAGCCTTACATTTGTTAATTTAAGAGTAGGCTATTATTCATACTTTTTATCAATCACGCATAAAAATGATCAGAGCTTTGGTTTACAACGTTAAGGAACACAGGTGCTTTGAATATAAAGTGGCTGAAATATTAGGGAGCTATATCAGGCTCAGACATATACGAAGCACCATTTGCAAATGAGATATCCCACTGCACTGAAAAATAATTCACAGCTCCTTAGCTACAAAACTGTGCTGCTTAGAACTACATACCTGTGAGCGTGCATATCCCAGCATGGGCTCCATTATAGCAATTCTTTTACGATACTGTAAAGCATTCAAGGCACAGTAATATTGTAATGATGACAGATGCTGCTTCCTTCGGGCACTGGCGACCTCTTTGGCAACTTCAGCTTTTAGCTAAATAATAAAATGTTTATAAAATCCAGACAAGTATCAGCAGACAGCTTTTTGCTTTTTTTTTTTTTTTTCTCAAAAGAGGCTGAAGAATGCAACATACAAAAGATAAGATCACATCAAAGTCTATTGAAAGCACTTGGCCTCTATTGCATATTTCAACATTCAGGACTCTCATTCTGAGAACTGCACCCATCATTTGGAAGGCACTTCCAAATAATTCAAATGCTACCATACATTTTAAGCAATCGTTTCCATCACATTTTTATTTGTATGAAATAGATGTGTCGCATTCAACTTTCTGCCCGTTTGAATTTTTTTCTACACGCCCAGAATTTGGTTTTTTTTTAAAAAAAATAATCCTAAAACTGGGAACGCATACCTTTCCATTCTCTTTCTTTTTGGGTAGCCTGCTGTACCTGGCCATGGAGATGTCATGTTCTGAAAGAAAAGGTAACCTTTGAGCCTCACAACTGAAGCTGCATATGCACCAAGGAATTCTATTAAACCAAAGATAAAATGTAAGACATACCATTGCTTGCAAGACTGAAGAGATCCTTTAAAGTGCTTACTTCTAGGGAGAAAGTAAAGAAGATAAACCAACAATGTATGTATTGCATATTTTTTCCAGATATGTGGATTAAATCCTGGACAGAAATAGAACTCTTCCTTTAAATTTAATTTCCATCTGCTTTACTTAAAAATTTCTATACAGTTCTCACCAAATAGGTTTCATTAATCAATCCAAGAAAACTTAGGAAGGAAAGCTGCTGTCCTCGTAAAATCTTTGTTTTATTACAATTTCTGTTTTGAATCCAATTACTTTACAGCAGGGAAATCTGGCAGCCTATCTAGAAAGGACTAGGATGGGTAAAAGCCTGAAGGCTGTAGACAAGATCACATTTTCTTCATTTTTCCCCATTTTTATAATATAACCACACCCACCAGGATTGTCTTTCTTAGTTTGAAGTAAGTATGTAGAGAAATGTACTGGTAAGCTGTTCTGTGTTCAGTATTGTTATTATTAGATATATTATTCCTGTTTATATCTTTTGAGATTTCTTAAATAAAAAATAGTGTACTTCTTCCCTTTAATTTTCTTTTCTTTTTTGACATTTGAAGTCTTCTTTTTAATGAGCTTGGATACAATTAATGTAGAAAATTAAGTAGTGTAAACTTTTAAATTTAAATCCAACTTCTAATCTCTGGTACATTTACTTGGTGTGTAAGTAAAACGTTCAGATTTATTGACAGTTCCATTTAACTAAAGTAGGGCAGTTAAATAACCAACTGCCCATCTTACAGATTTGAAAGAGAGAAGGAATTTATTAGTTTACAAATCTTATACTTCCCTTTAATTTTCTATTCACATATTCTCTCGGGGAAATCATAAAAAGATAGTCCTCACTTAACTACCCTATCTGTTGCTAAGTGTCAGGGTTGTTAAATGAAATATCACATAAATGCTCCATTTAGCAACAGTTCCCCAAGAGTAGGGGCTGCTTCTGCTTCAACTTATCCCCATCCATTTATCTCTCTCTCATCTCTGCCCTGTTGGCAACACATCTACCCATTGCTGCCAGCTGCTCCTTCCCCCAGCCCTGCCAGCCACCACACCCACCTCACTTTGCATTGCTATCAGTCGGGGTCTTCTTTTACACTGACTTCTATGGTCCTAGGGCAGCTGGGTCTTTCTTCTGAACGTTGATTAGGGCCTTGGTTTCTGCACTCGCCTTCTTTTGCATGCCAGACAAGTCCTTGTTTAATGAACAGAAGCCCTGGATGTGGCTCAAATGGAAGCCTTGAACAGAACATGAGCACAGGCCCTTGGTGGGGCACAACAGAGACCAGGGTGAAATGCTATCGGTTCGGACTTGTTCGCCTGAACAGGTAGTAATAAATGCTATTTCTGACGATCAGCTGTGCTGCACGATTTATATTCGCTAGAAAGCAGGAAATCCTGCTTCTAGCGAATGTAAATCGCGTGACACAGCTGTTCCCCCCCAGCACAGCTGTTCCCCCCCGACTGTTCTACTTACCTTTGCAGACTCTGAATCCTCCTTAATCCTCCTTTTCCAGCGCTGCGCAGTACGGCCTGTGGCACACATGCATGCAAAGCATGCATTTGGTGCACACCATGCATGCATGCACACTTGTGCGCACGGTGCATGTGCACGCATTTGGTGTGCACTGTGCATGCACACACAAAGCAAACCGGTAGCAAAGCGAACCGGTAGCAGACTTCAGAGCATTTCACCCCTGACAGAGACCCTCACTGCACTGGCACAAAAGAAATTGCATTTGTGGCACATGCACTGGGCTGGTCAGCAGAAGCAGCTGGCAGCAACACATAGACAGGTGGCCAAAAGGAAGCTGTAAATGTGGGTGGGACTGAAGGAGGGGGAAAATTTTGTTCACGTGACCACTGCAAGGGCTTCAAGGACCGTCATAAGTCCCTTCGTTCAACACTTTTCTGGTCACTGAAACGATGGACATTAAGTGAGGACTACCTGGTAATGAGAAAACAGCCTGTGGAAATTCTCAACCAGGAAGAAACATTTCAATTATTTACCTGTAAGATCTTTCTCACGAAACTGGATGACAGGAAGAACCATTGTGTCTGCAAGCTGTTTTGCCAGTTCAGAATGTAAAACGTTAAGCTGAAAAACAGGAAAGCAATGATACTATCTTGGTACTACAATCCTGGAAATATTTCTCAGCCTCAATTTCACCTCTAGATAATAATCATAATAAAGCTGATATAAGCAAAGGAAATTAGAGAAAGGAAGAAAAAATCGACATTGGATTGGAGAAAACCAACATTATTTCTTTTCACCTATATAGCTAGATTGGTATCCTCTCTAATATATATAAAATACATACATACATACATACATACATACATACATACATACATACATATATATATATATATGTGAGAACAATATTTATCTTCAAAATCAATACGGAATTATCAACTTTTTAATGTAGAATAGTTAAATATTGAATTTTGTTTATTACTATTAAACTCTGTTATAATTGCAGGGATTAAATGACTGACAGACAGTTGCCCTTTTAGCTGTCAAGTCCTATCTCCTGTTCACTGCAGGAAACCTTAAAAATAAATCAATCTAAATATGAAGTTAGCAGTCTGATGTATTTTTTGTGGAACATCTTTTGATCAATAAAAGAGTACTTAAAGTGCATTTGTTTTGATGAACAGTATGGGAGGGAAGGAGGGAGAAGGGAAGACAAATTAACCAGTAAGAGTCTTAAAAACTTCCTTAAGGACTCATCCATGCTTGGTTTTACAGAATAAGTTATATCTATAAAGTAGATCTCAGCAGATTTATCTTCATCTATACAAAAAAATTTATGGAGTGAAGTTTTGATTGTAAATGATTTCACCACAACTCTTCCTCAGTTTATATTTACAAATAGTCCTTGACTTACAACCATTCATTTACTGACCGTTCTAAGTTACAATGGCACCAGAAAAAGTGATTTTCACACTTACAAGCATTTCAGCATTGATCTCCATGATCACATGATCAAAATTTGGGCACTTGGCAACTGGTATGTATTTATGACAGTTGCATTATTCTGGGGTTATATGATCACCATTTGTAACCTTCCCCGACAGCTTCTGACAAGTAAAGTCAATGGGGGAAGCCAGATTCACTTAACCAACGCATTTAATAACTGGAGTGATTCACTTAACAACGGTGGCAAAAAAAGGTTATAAAATGGGACAAAATTAACTGAACAACTGCCTTGCTTAGTAACAGAAATGTTGGGCTCAACTGTGGTAGTAAATCAAGGATTACCTGTACATGTATTCCAATATTAATGTTTGCACTCTAAAGATATATTGATTTTGTACCTTGTTGACATTTTGAGGATTTACTACTTGCGTTTATAAAACAGGGGAAAATCTGATTCTCATGAAGAAATGGAGGTGGTGCCCCCAGTTGTGTACAGGTAGTCCTCGATTTATGACCAGAAATTGAGCCCAAAATTTCTGTTAAGTGAGACATTTGTTAAGTGAGTTTTGTCCCATTTTGCGATCTTTCTTGCCACAGTTGTTAAGTGAAACATTGCAGTTGATAAGTTAGTAACCTGGTTGTTAAATGAATCTGACTTCCCCATTGACTTTGCTTGTCAAAAGGTCGCAAAAGGGGATCACATGACCCCAGGACACAGCAATGGTCATAAGTATGAATCAGTTGCCAAGCCTCTGAATTTTGATCACATAATCATGGGGATGCTGCAAAGGTTGTAACTGTGAAAAACAGTCATAAGTCACTTTTTAAAGTTGCATTGTAACTTTGAAGAGTCACTAAATGAACTGTTGTAAGTCGGGGGCTACCTGTAGTGCAACTTTTCTCCAACCAGCATAAGGATGATAGGAGCACAACTTAACACACTCAGAAGGTAGCATTTTGTAAAGACTGATCAAGAGAAAAACTCTGTAGTTTTCCCACATGGTATCCAAGTTTAAAATCAGGAATATCTGCATGTACCCTATGAATTGCCTCTAGTGGTGAAACTAATCATATCTTTAAAATGTATGAAGCTGAACACTAAGGTTATTCCACCAAATGTTCCAAGGGAATTTACTTCACAAAATGCAAAGACTCAACTCACAAATAAGACCCCACTGTATAGCTACAGTTGAGCAAGCAAGTCTCCAAGGTTATCAAATGACTGGAGAGTTTACTTAAGGAGAGGCTCTGAAGCAAAATTAACTTGGATGTTTATATTGATTCTGCAAACTTCAGTTTCATTTGCACATATTGTATTGCTTTGCCCATGTGGCTGTTTTAGCCAAACCAAACAAATAGCTGTTATGTTTTTCTCTCTTTTCCTTTCCCTAGCAGAACACTGTAGTATCCAAGGGAGGTTTTTAAATGGTTATTGATTTTCAAGTGTGGGTTGATATATAAATACAAGAAGGAGACTAAAGGTATGATTCATCATCATTGACAAATACAAGGGCCACTAAATGGTTTACACTGTGGGAAAGGGAGAGCATCTGGGGAAAAACATCAAAACTTTCTTTGAAGACCTAGTATTGTATGTATTTGACAAACCCCCTGCCACATTTTGGCACCAGGATACCTCTGTTAAGTGTTCTGTTAAAAAGATGGACAGGATAATGGACTCTTCAACAAAAATTATTCTGTATACTTAAATTGCTGATACATTTTGTCTGAAGTGCTTTTGTGTATGCAGAGTCATACACAGAACTGAGCTATTAAAAGAGACTGAATTTTTTTTCTCTCCAGTATATTATACCTTGGTGAGTAGAGATTAGTGAACTCTCAGGAAAAAAAAGAAAATCTCCCTTGTTCCTTCCATATAGCTTTTCTTTTGCCAACAATATGAAAGAAGCTAGTGGCTTTTTTCTTCCAGAATGTCTTTTCTTCTTCTTAGTCTAGTTTACAGCTACTGGATTTCCTAGTGGTCTCCCAACCAAGTACTAATCAGGACCAACTCTTACAGACTTAACCAAGTCAGCTACATGATGGAGAGATTAAAGAATTCTCCCCCCCCCCCCCAAATACAAACCTTAAGACTGCTTAGGATAAATTGCAACAGCTAATGCTCTACAAAAGGTATTATTGTTTTAGTGTTGAGAGGCTTATGAAATTGTGGATTTTGGTTGGATGTAATTAAACAATGAAAACCAGATGGGAAAGGGTGTGAAATTCCTAAGAGAAAACAAATTTGAAATAATGAAGTTGTTTGAGAACAAGACAAAATGGAAGATATAGCAGAAACCAACTTGCTGAAAAAAGCAAAAAAAATAAAAAATAAAAAAATCCCTGTCTGCCTCTGAAAAACTGTGGACAGTAATAGAAATTGTGGAGGAATCATCTTAGAACATCTGACGACAAGAATATGGCAAAAAGTCTATGAACATGAATGGGGAAATTCATAGGCCTTTAAACTATGACATTTAGCCTCATACGATTTTGAAGTTCAGCAATTAATTGGACGGCTAGAAGTGTTTTATCTCTGCCTTACATTGTAAAAACTCAGAAATGGTTTTACTGCATTTGGGCAATGATGACAATATTAAGTACAAACTACAAAAATAAACACTTTACAGATTAACACATTTATTATGGCTCAATTTCCTCATAAACACTATCTTCGTGAACTAGTTCTCATCTCTGCTAATTGGTGAAAATAGAAAATGCTAATTTTGTGAATTAGCACCACCATGCTAATTGGTGAAAATAGAAAAATTCTCAAATGGCAATAACATCCAGAGTATTTTATGCACTAGTAAATAATAATAGTAATAGTGATAATAGCAAACCCTATTCTCTGCATTAACTGCTTTTTTTTATTTTCTAGCATCCTTATGTTCTAATCAGGAGAGTGAAAGAGAGAAAAACGAGTTATAATTTGGATTACCTCATCCACAATTTTTGAGAAGGACTGAAGCGTAGATATCACTTCTTCATCTCCTTTCCCCAAGGCAAAATTCTGCAAATTAACAAGGATTAATGGCAGCACTTAATCAAAGAAGGAAATGAGAATGAGTCTAAGAAGGTTCAGCTCACATTTAGCCCAATCAGAAGTATTTCATTCAGCAAGATTAAGGGTATTTGTGAGCCAGACAGAAAAAGGAGCCTGCTTCTCATTATTTCTAACCCAAAGTGATAGAAGCTCTACCCCACCACCTTCTACACTCAACCACTAGGGATAGATTATAATCACACTGCAAAATATAATCTTTGGCAAATTTCTGCAAAATACCAGTATGATTCCCTTACATATAGGCTTCCTAACATTTCTAAAGTTTCCTACCAATATGACCCACTGAAAGAAATGCCAGCAGTATCTTCCTCAACATCAGAGGGCCAGATGTTCCTCCCGGGGTATCTAGAAAGGGGTGCAAAAAGTCAAGATAGGTAGGCTTGAAGCTGTACCCCTTTTTAAAGCTTCTACTGTGTGGCTGTGATTGTCATCCTGACATTTTCTACCTTCCCTGCAAACATCCTAGGTACCTCACCGCTACTGTGAACAGAGAAACGATCACAAGTGACACCGTTGTTTGAGTTTTAAGAATCAATTCCATGTGCCGTTTCAAATGAAGAAAGCAGGCCCTTAAAAGCTGCCACACTTCTGGCCACCAGAATATGTCAGAACAAGTTAGTCTCCTTGTAATCTCTGCAGATGATCAAGCAAAACTAGGGGAAGGTTAAACTCTGTCTACTTTTCATCTCCGCAATGTGGAAATTGCTCAGGAGAAGACTGTACATACCTGTTTTTCATAGGCAAGAAGATGCTTGGAAAGCTGTTGTGTTGCCAGGCACATTTCATTCTATAAAGAGAGAATGTGTCTCTTTACTGATTTGCACAATTACTTAAAGATTTACAATGAAAGGACTGCACAACTGTTTCCAAAGGAGGACTGCATTTGCCTTTTAAATGACATGCTCTATTGCAAAAAGTGGCAGATTGGGCCAAGATGTTGCTTAGGCAATGTCTTTTATTGGATACTATTAAAGAAGAGAATTCACATTAAAGCCAACTATTAAAAAAGACTCTATCCAGCTATGTAGAATCAGGACTGGGTAATATTTGGACCCAGGATCATGTCTGCCTTCAGCTACTGAAGCTCTGTGGGAGACTTTGGCCACTCTCTCTTAGCCCAACCTGACTTATTGGAGTGGTGAAAAAGATGGGAGGAAGTAACACTACAACCACCTTGAGTTCTTATCAAAAAGCAGGTTATAACTGTGACAAAGCAACAAATCTCAGTGAGCCTCTAGGCATAGCCAAGACTTTAAAAAAATATAATCTAAGACTCCAATTTTGTATTACAATCACAGGCTTCACCTCAAATCGGGTTGTTTGTATTTATTCTATTTCTAATCTATATAACAATTATTCCTTAGAAGCATATCTCTGGATTGGAGGCAGATTGTATGATTTTAGGGTCTTAAATTCCTCTCCCCAAAGAACAGATTAATAAATCAATACATGAATCCATACATTTCTGGATCTCCTGAAATCTGCCTCCTAAATAAACAGAAATCTGCAGTGCTCTTTAGCACATTGCTCATTATTGGTTATCTGTTGCTATTTTCACCACACAAATGAGGAAAGATTACAGATCAAATTGTGGTAATAAAAAGCCACTGCTGTCACATTTTAGTCCTGCTTTTTTTACTTTGTCATTATGCCTGAATTAAAGTTCATAATTTAAAACAAATGTTATTCAACTTCTAAAGAAACTATCTTGAAGCTATAAGTTGAAAAGTGGTAATCAATCAGGATTTATACATGGCAGGCCAGCTTTTCAAGTAAGTGAGAGGACATACAGTCCTGGTAAGGTTTTTCCAGTTACGTAGGAAGAAAAAAGAGAAGGCAGCATGAAAATTTAAAAAAAATACGCAAGTTTTTCAGCAAAATCATCTTTGTTTTAAAGTCACAGCAATTTCATTCCTTTTATGTCAATTATTTCAATAAAGCTAATTTTTATACTATTCACAAAATTGCTCTGCAATAAAACTGTATTGCTCTGCAATAAAACTTACACTGTAGCTGAAACCTATCACAAAATGTTACATACTTTACAAAGAACAATTGCCTTTACCACTTTTTTCAAATAATCGTTAAGAAAAATATGTTGTGCAAAATCACTAACACTCATCTCTACAGTAATTCAAAATATGTTAATAAATTGCTTTTCTGATGAACATATTCTTGAAATAAGATGCAAGTCCAACGAGGTCAGGGAGAGGTGCTCCATAAAATGCTGAGCTTCAGATTTTCCACCTGGCATTTAAGGGTGGTGATGCAATCCACAGCTACAATTTAAAGAACTCATATCTAAACAATAGGAAGGGTTGGACTTTGTATACACAGTTAGATCAAGGTAAAGAAAACGAAGAAGATATGAAAATTTAAAGGGCTCCTTTATTTCTGTAACATCTCTTTCGCATACAGTGATCAATAACAGCAAAACTCTTCTCTTACCTCAGAAGAGGTAAAATCAAATCACATGATGTATAAATAGATTAGGAATCACAATTTATGTCCTCAAAATATATTGGGCAACAACTCTGATAATTCCTTGCCAACAGCTATGTTGGCCAGGCTGATGGAAATTGATGTCCAAAATTTCTGGGCCAAATCACTACTCAAATGCAAGTAGTCCTCAACTTATGACCACAACTGAGTCCAAAATTTCTGTTGCTAAGTGAGACATTTGTTAAGTGAGTATTGCCCCATTTAATGACATTTCTTGCCATGGTTGTTAAGTGAATCACTGCCGTGTTTAAGTTAGTAATGGTTGTTAAATGAATCTGGATTCCCCATTGACTTTGCTTGTCAGGTCACAAAATGGGATCACATGACCTCAGAACACTGCAAACGTCATAAATATGAATCAGTTGCCCAGGGCTTGAATTTTGATTACGTGACCATGGAGATGCTGCAGCGGTCATAAGTGTGAAAAATGGTCATAAGTCACTTTTTACAGTGCTGTTGTAACTTTGAACTGATACTAAATGAACTGTTGTAAAAGTCGAGGACTACCTGTATTAATAGTAGCTTGAACTGTAAGAAGAATTAAAAATGTATTTTGGAAAAGGAAAGGAAAAAAAATATCCAGTGTATTTCATGGAAACTAATTTACCTGTGCCCCATAGACTCTCTGCATTGCTTGAAGCAGTTGGTTGGTGTACTCTGTGAGTGTTCCTGCATCTTCTTCAAATACGCTCAGCAAAGAGCGGGTCTGAGGCATTTAAAAACAAACATATAAATGAAATCTTGAATAAAGGTATCATTCAAAAGTTCTCGCATCTTTTTTTCTTCCGTTAGCAACACCTTAATTATAAAAAAAATCATTCAGCAGAGATAGCTATCTGCCAAAGATTCGGTGATCCAGAGTTCTGTTCACCAAGTTGTTGACAAGAAGTTCACAAGTGGGACATAAGCCCAGGGACCCAACAATTGTTATTACTGTACACAGAGCCACTGGAACTAGTGACCGCCCATAGTCTTTTCTTGTAGAATTAAATCTGGTAGATGTTACTATATAGTGGTGGAATAAATTCAATAGTAAAACCACGCCATCTATGAAAGACTCCCTCTATTTATTAGATGACCCTGGCTTATCAGTTATCAGTTAGATCAGTGCTTTTCAACCTTGGCGACTTGAAGATGTGTAGACTTCAACACCCAGAATTCCCCAGACAGCTGGCTGGGGAACTCTGGGAGTTGTAGTCCACACTTCTTCAAGCGGCCAAGGTTGAAAAATACTGAGATAAATGTTTTGAAAGGGTTGCTTGCATTGTGGAAAATTCCTTGCATAGTCACTAATGAAAGGGAAAGGTGCAAAAAAGGGCACAAGCTTGTTGGACATGTTTGTGGGATAATAAATATTTATACCAGATTTGGAATAAATGCTTCAATACATTACATTGTAATAGGGAAGGGTGTGACCAGCTAACCTATTTAGTTTTGGATGTTTACTATGGGTTACCCCTTCAAACTAAAAACTCTAAGGGGGACTTAGGGGCCATTCAGACATTCTATTAACTTCAAAAGAAGAATTTCTTCTCGAAACAGATCTAGGCTTAGAAAAGATTTTTCCTGACAACTGTAACTGTGGGGGAGGTTTTTATTTCCAAAAGTATGTTATATTTTCATTTATATGCTGTAGAAAAATGCATGGCAATGTGTACCGCATTACATAGGGTTTACATAATTTAAAATGTAATAAGAAATGATGTGGCAAGATATCATAATAGAGCATAAGCCAATCTTAACACTCCATATGACAATTTGCATTATTTGCATTAACCCATTACTGAGCATGAAAGGGTAATTCTGTCAATTAACAAGTTACTGCAGGAGAAACCAGAGAATAAGGGAAAGTGGAATGGAGGCAAACAAACAAAGAATACTTGGAGATTACAGGGTGATAAAAAGGGAGTTTTAATCCAAGCTCCCGAGGATACCAGATTAGAGGAGGATTGTGTAATTTTTAAGGAAGAATGTCAGGAAATGCTTCAAATGAGATTATTAAAAGGGGAGGCAACATGGTCAGGAAAACAGAGAAAATCCATAAAACAATTATGTACTGCAATGACTAGTTATGTAGGCTTTACCAAATGATTACTGACAAATTAAGGCGTGAAGCCAGAGAGTTTATGTTAATACACAGGACAACTTCAGAGAAAAAGTATTTAGAGGTTTTAGAAGAAGAAGGATTTGATCATGTTCTATGTCTGAAACCTGGTCTAGGGGGAAATGTTTTGAGAAGCTTCTTCATTCTTCATTGGACAAATACCGTAATTTAAGAGGGATCTGAACACTTGTTTATTTAATAAAGTGAGATGATTGATAGAAGTGAAGCAAATGTTGAGGGCAGCAGTAAGTTAGATAGTAAACTACATTTAATGATGGTAAACATGTTATTTTTCTTGTGATTATATCATGGTGTATATGAATTTTGTTGCTTTTATAGAATTTTAACTGCTGTTCACTTTAAATCTGTTCATTTTTTATTGTAGTTAATGTTAAAGAGCAGAGGTGGCGCAGTGGTTAGAGTGCAGTACTGCAGCTACTTCAGCTGACTGCTAATTCAGCAGATCAGCGGATCAAATCTCACTGGCTCAAGGTTGACTCAGCCTTCCATCCTTCCGAGGTGGGTAAAATGAGGAACCAGATTGTTGGGGGCAATATGCTATTTAGTATACTGTCTTTGGTGTAAGCCGCCCAGAGTCCTCGGAGAGTGGGCATATTAGTCATAGAAATATGACTAATAAATAAATAAAAATTGTTTCCTGTGTGGAATAAATGGTTTAAAAATTAAACCCTTTAAAAATGGTTTGATTCTTCATCCATTTAAATCTTAAGAATTGTATTGGAGTTCCTGGCAGAGCCTAATTTGTGATGAGAGTCATTTCCATGGATTTTGCCACTTAGGAGGTATGTTGGGAGGGCTTTGTCTATTATCTAAAGAGCCTGGTTTAGCTCAACAGACAGAAGCACTGTAATTTAACACCAGCTGTCTGCAATTAAAGTAAGATCGAATCTTGCCAGGCTCAAGGTTGACTCAGCCTTCCATCCTTTCTAAGGTAGGTAAATTGAGGACCCAGTTTGTGGGGGCAATAAGCTGACTTTGTATAAATAAAGTATGAAGGCTATTGCTTAACGCACTGTAAACCGCCCTGAGTCTCTGGAGAAGGGCGGCATATAAATAAAAAATAAATAAATAAATAAAAATCTAGCCCTGTAATGGCGAACCTATGGCACGTGTGCCACAAGTGGCACGCAGCACCCTCTCTGTGAGCACATGAGCTGTCGCCCCAGTTCAGCTCCGCCGCGCATGCGCGTGTGCCTCCTGCCGGCCAGCTGGTCATCAAGGTTAGGGGGCAGGCCACATGTGGGGGGGACATGTGCACATGCTGGGGGTGTGTGCGGAGGGGCCACATGTGCATGAGCGGGGGCAAGGGGCGTGCGGGGTGTGTGTGCGTGCGTTGCATTTTGGGGGTTCGGGCACACGCACTTTGGGCACTTGGTCCTGAAAAGGTTAGCCATCACTGATCTAGCCTGATGAATAGCTCTGAAGAAGCTGCACAGCAATTAGTCTAATAAAATTACTTGTCAAAATATGGAATCTGACATTTTTCTTCTGATCAAAATAGAGCCCGCCACATCTCTATAACTCCATTTTGCAATCTTGATTGTCTCCCTAATGGAATTATTTAAAGCCACAATGGAAAATGTTTTCTTATCAGGTAAATCAAAACAACAGGAGGCAAATTAGAATGATGGGATACTCTTAGCAAAGCAGCAAAATGAATTCAGAACTATAAAAAAAAATCCTGCCGCAATAATAACAAAATACATTTTGGAATATTGACTAGGAAATCTTTACTGTTCAAAATATTCACATATTTATGGGAATGCCACACAATACATACCCTATTACAGCTCTCAAGTTACTATGGAGCAAACTATTTCTGTAAGATAATAGTCCCATTATAAGAGATCTGATGGTATGTGTTAGATATACAAAATTATTTGAAATTAGTATTTATTGATGTCTGTGGGGGTGTGATAATTGGGTATCCCCTCTAAATATTATTGTTTATCCTCTGGCTAATTTTTTAAAAGAATATAGGGATTATAATCCAAGACTCATTTCTGTATTTACACTGAAGACTTTCAGCTGTTGAAGAGAAAGGACCTATGAAGAGTTGGATTTAAGAAGTTTTGTTTTGCAACATAACACCTAAGCAGCATAATTACTGACAATGAATAGCTTTCAAAGTATATTTCCTGATGGAAGATATATTACAAACAAAAGTTAGCATGATTAAAATATCAATTTTTAAAAGAATATATTTTCTGAGTGTGGTTCCTAAACCCACCTACACCAGCCCCATCAGTTTTTATCCAAAGTATTCAAATATGAAGGACAACTTCATTATCCCTAATCAACATGGGTGATCTAAATTATAATTCAACACATATGGTGGACAACACACTGGGGGAGATGGCATTCCTTGAAAAAATGATTATATACATATGAAATGTGCAAGCATGTATCAGTGGAACAAAATGGGTAAGTGGCCTTCCATGGGGTCCAAATACAGATGTTAGATTCAAGCCATGAGGATTTCACTGTGCAACTGATGCTTGCATATTATTGCACAATTCATGTAATTTGCTTCTTTTGCACAGTAACATTAAAATGCATGTGCTGTCCCTTCCCACCCAGATGTCCACCAGTCCAATGGCAACTCCCTTCACTCTTACTTATCACAGCCATAGTGAGAATGATGGGAGTTGTAGTTTAGCTACCTCAGAGCTAAACTACAACTACAAATTGTCCTCCATGTGCTTGCACTTTGAACTGCCTCTAGACCAAAATAAAAACTGAAATTAATTTATTAGCCCAAAGTATTACATCTCGGATCTCTCAATATGTATTGACACAATAATGTGATAGACCTTTATTATTTTTCTGGAATATCTCAAGTTCCAAGTTATTTCTGTCAACACTCCTTCACTAAAAAATTGTGTCCAGGTAGCTAAGCAACTATATCTAAGACATCTACAAATCAAGGAAACATGTGCATTTTATAAATTATAAACAAGCATGAACGCTAGACTTTCAGCAATTGTGGGAATGACTTCTTAAAAAAACTATTTAAAAAATTGTTTTACATTCACTTTATTGTCCTGGTCCCTTGGCACAAAACAGCAATCAGGAACCATCCAAGACTTTTAAGCACCTGCATCCATTTGGATGAATCATACTATATTGCTTTGTTTGTCCACAAACCCAAATCCCCCTTTGCTATGCTTAACAAAGATCTAAAACCAGAAGAGTGAGAGGGCTGTTTGCTAATAAAGTCATTTGGTCCTTGCTAACAAGAGGCAGTTGACTGACCAGAAGGATTTACCAAGGCCCCAAATTCACCAGCCTTGAACAATCAATCTCCTCCTTCCACATTGAATTGTCCTACATAATTTTTAATTGTAGCCTCTCAATATTTAACCTTAATTAACACCCTATCATTCCAAACCATTGGGTTTTTTTCCCAATTGCTTTCAGGTAGAGGGATTGTTTTTCTTTCTTGCAAAATTCCTCCCTTTTCTTCAGAGTGACCTAGATTTGTCAAATTGGAGCGAATACACTAATAAAGCTGCAGTACTTCCTGTCTCCACCTCCTCCATCCAAAAGCTCATTAATATTTTCAGAGTATACTGCCTCGAGTCCTTGTTAACCCTTCCCTGCTCCCCTTCCTTTCCAAGTTGTAACCTGAGACCTGACACATTAACAGCAACTGCTCGGAAGGGGTGTTTTCACAGTACAGTATCCGGGTGAGCATTATTTTTATTACGACTGTTAAGTACCCTGCTCTTTTTTTTTTATATGATCCGTATGACCAGGATCTGTAAATACTACAAGTTTGGCTTGTCATTATTGTGCTGCAACGCACGTCTCTGCTCTCCAAAGCACTTTGAATATTTTAGTGATAGCGCTTGGTCAGTTTAAATAATATTGTTATTCTCTTGGTACCACAAAAGAGAATAATAGAGAACAGAAGGAAGAAGGCGCGACAGTATCGTTTGGCTAATAGTTGGGGAGACTGCAGTCTTTGCAGAACGTCATTTTCCTATGCTTTGTTGGGAAAAGATAAATTCAGTCTCAGATTTGCTTTGATGCGACCGTAAAAAACTCTATCCTATAAAGACAGCTCGGCTGAATCGCGTCTTCCCGGTCACTACCGTCGACCTTTCTTTCCTTCTAACCCCCTCCCTGCCCACGTCCCCCGTCCCTCGCCCCGACGGCAGGTAGCTTTTGCACGGCATCTGCTGCGCCATCCCTTCCCAAACCGCAGATCAGGTGCACTCAAGCCTGGTCCGGGATCGGATACCTGCGGACTATCTTGCAGAGCGTCTTCTAGGCGAAGTTTGTCGACGGCGGGCATTGCCTGGCGCTGGAGAGAGAGAGAGAGAGAGCGAGGCGATCGGGAATCGCGTTAGGCTGGTTTCGCAGCGGAGAGCGCTGGCCAAACGTTCTTGCTGACACGTCGGATTCTGGACGCTGGGTCGGCTTCGCCCAGGAGACCGAACGCGCGAGCAAAACAGCCTGCGGAATCCGGCGTCTTTCCTCCTGAGCCTCCTTTTTTCTCCTTTCTTCCACACTAAAATGCAGGGAGAAAGGGGTCAGGGGCGCAGTCCAGGAACCCAGGGGTGTGTTAAACAGGTTGTACGTCTCCCGCCTGTTGCATGCCCAGCCCCGGTCAACAAGGCAGGGCAAACGCCTCGCCTAGGACTCCTCCTCCTCCTGGTTCCTGTTTCTGGCAGGACGAGAAATGGAGAGCAGCAGGAAGTGTGGCATTGAGGATCTTCCTCATTAACTCTTCTGTGTTGCATTCCGCCCTGGTTACTCACAACCTTAAGGCAAAGAGCCGAGGCGCAAAGTGCAAACAACAAGGGAGGGTTATAACTAAATGTTACAGTGTGGAGGGTCCCCCAGCCAAGTTGTTAGGCAGTCAGGCCTTCTCTCCCCCCCCACCCCAAGCATGCTGCAGTTCAAGTCTCTCGCCTTCGTTTCCCCTCCCCTCTTGAGTATTCTCAGTGTTCATGGGGCTACTTCGAAGGAGGATTGCTCCCTGTTTAAATATCAGTTTTGCAGAATTTGGAGATTTGCTTAGAATGCTGATTCTTTTGTTCCTTCCTGGGCCCGTGATGGTGGTGAGGATGTTCCTCAGCTGCCTTTGCTGCTTAGTGAACCGCATATGTATATATATATATATATACTTATGTTTCCTAAAGTGTGAGCCCTTGAAAGATTTCCTGGTCTATCATTAGAGTTTCAATTCTGTATTTATTGCTATTGTTAACTGCAGATGATAATTATCATGCAGTCCGCTGCACTTGATGATTATATTTACTGTACAGTTTTTGTATGTTGTTTTTTTTTTAAATGTTTTGTAAGCATGAAGCATGTATGCATTTTCAATTGAACTTTACACTCGAATAGCAGTTTTTGAGTGATTTAAAAGGTCAGCACAAGACTAAATAAAAGTACTACTGTAATCTTTAGCATCATCTTTACTTCCAAGAGTGACTCAGAGTCATTTTTTAGAAAATCTGCAGTGTGGAAAAAAACCCTACCAGTTGAGAAAAAAATAAAGAAAAAGAGGTGTAGGGAATTCATTATGGTCATAGACCAGCATAAATACAGAATATATTCTGGAAACTCTGAGGAAATGGCTACCAAATTTATAAATGGTTGATTTTTGTGACCAACAACTTTCAGTCCTGCTGATGACATGATCATAAAATTGAAAAAATGCCCATCAACCCCCCCACCACCTCCAAACTCTTAGATCTGCATTAATTAATCCACTGAATAGGACTGTTTATTCTGTTAGCCTTGCCTTCTGGTGGGAAGAACCAAAGCAAAGAGCAGCAAGCTTGTTCTGAACTAAGCCCAAAGTTCTTCAAACATTCCTTGAAATTCTGCCATGGCATTTTATACAAAGGAGGGCAATCTATCTGCATTCAGAACTGCAACTGCAAGTGATTATATTAATCCAGCAAGTGGGCTTAGTCTAAAAGTAAACATAATACATTTGTTTTGTGCGTTCTGCTTCAGCTATTTGAAATAATGCATTAGAAGAAATGATGCCCCCCCCAATGTTTTTGACTGTTTTCAGAGTCACAGAAAAGTCCCATTATCTGTGATAATTTCCTATTTGCAATGGGGAAAAAAGCTGCTGTAGGATCCTATTTACCTCCCTTGGCTTTTTCCTCGGTGCATAAAGCAAGCATTCCCTCCTGTGATCCAGGTTGGAACTATACTTAAAACTCCCATTCCCCCAGTCTCAAATGTGAGACAAGGGTGGTGCTTGCATTGTAATTTGAAAAAGCCACTGATGTAATTGTTAATTACACAGGTTTTTGTGTGCTTTTCTCCAAGTTACCATTTTCACCCAGTTCTTTTTAAAAACTAAATAAAATGAAAAAAAATTAAAAAACATTTTAATTTACCATGAAAATGATTTCAAGAAAAGAAAACCATCAATTAAAGATCAAAATATAAGTCAGCTGTTTGGCGGCAGACAAAAAAGCTAATACAAGCTTTGGTTGTATAAACAGAGGCATAGAATCAAAATCATGTGAAGCATTAATACCACTTTATAAAGCCTTATGGTAGTAAGATCACACCTGGATGCAGTTTTGGTCACCACATTACAAAAAAGTTGTTAAGACTCTGGAAAAAGTGTAAAGAAGACATCTAAGATGATTAAAGACTTAGAGACTAAAACATGAAGAATGGTTGCAGGATTTGGGTTTGGCTAGTCTAGAGAAAAGAAGGACTAGGGGTGATATGGTAGTATTTCAGTATTTGAGAGGTTGCCACAAAGAAGAGTGGATCAACCTGTTTACCAAAGCACCTGTAGGCAGGACAAGAAACAATGGATGGAAAGTAATTAAGGAGAGAAGCAACCTTGGAACTAAGGAGAAACTTCCTAACAGTGAGGACAATTAACCAGTGGAACAGCTTGCTGTCAGACATTATAGGTGCTTCATCACTGGAGGTTTTTAAGAAGAGACTGATATAAGATCTCCTGCTTGATTGGTTGGTTGGACTAGAAGACCTTCAAAATCCTTGGTTGGACTAGATTTCCTCCAAAGTCCTTTCCAGCTCTATTCTGATAGATAGATAGATAGATAGATAGATAGATAGATAGATAGATAGATAGATAGAAAGAAAGAAAGAAAGAAAGAAAGAAAGAAAGAAAGAAAGAAAGAAAGAAAGAAAAAGAAAAAAATATGGGTAATCCTTGAATTACAACTATTTGTTTAATGACCATTGGAAGTTATAACGGCATTGAAAAAAATGGCTTATGACCAGTTCTCACACTTATGACTGTTGCAGCATCCACATGGTCAAGTGGTCAAAATGTGAGCATCTGGCAACTGGGCATATATTTATGATAGTTGATCTGCCCAGGGTCAGATGATACCATTTGTAACCTTCCTAGCTGGCTTCTAAAAACCAACGACAATGGAGGAAGCTAGTTTTGCTTAACAACTGCATGATTCACTTAACAACTGCATGATTCACTTAACAACTGTAGCAAAAAAACCGTAAAATTCACTGAGCTGCCTAGCTTAGCAATGGAAATTTTGGGCTCAATGGCGGTTGCAAGTTGAGGACTACCTATATACCTATATATGTATTCCCATGTTAATGTTTCTATTCTAAAGATGTATTGATTTTGTTCCTTGTTATCTTTGAAGTTTTGACGATGTACTATTTGCATTTATAAAGTGGGAGTAAATATGATTCTCATGAGGAACCGCAGATGGTGCCCCCAGTTGTGTAGTGCAAATTGTAATGGTAACAACTGTTATTTAACAGCTAACTGTGCCTCATCTGTTCTGTTAGGTAACTGCTTATAGGTTGGCACCTCAAGCTGAGGGAAGCAGTTTGCCAACCAGTTAGGTGCCCACCAGCCCCAGTAAGCACTCCAAATACAACAGCTTAAAGAAGAGATTTCAGCTTTGAACGCTTTGGGTGGCAAACAAGCTTGACATTTTACACCTTTGAAATTGCACAATAAAACTGTCATCCTTTCAGGAAGATAAGGACTGTACTGCTAAATAAAAATCAATGATTACCAATGATTTATGATTTATTTTTCTAAGAGCCTGCTATTATGGAGGACTGAAAAGAAACAAGATTCTGTGCCATACAAAGCAGTAGAAACAGGCTTTTATGCGTCTCTGTCAGTACCTATTTTTTAAAATAAGTATATTAAAAGTTGCAATAACAACAGTAAATACTAAAAACTTTAGTCTTTTTAAAAACTAAAAAAGAAAAGAAAAAAGTAGAATAAAAGGTGTAAGAAAAAGAAAAAAAAATAGAGCCCCTTCTAAGAAAGCAACTTCCCATCACAAGTATAAACAGTTTTACTAATTCTCATCTCTTAATTAACATATAAAACATTTGATTCCAAATTTCAACTCTTAACTATAGCAAATCCATAAAGAACGTCTTCTCCAATCCAGGTGTCAACAAAAAATCCAGAGTCCCATTAATAAACAAATATAAAATCATTGTAAAATCATAGGGCTGGAAGTGATCTTGGAGGTCTTCTAGTTCAGGGGTCTCCAACTTTGGCAACTTTAAGACTTGTGGACTTCAACTCCCAGAAGTCTTCAAGTTGCCAAGATTGGAGACCCCTGTTCTAGTTCAACCTCCTGCTCAAGGCAGGAGCCCTTATGCCAGTCAAATGGTTGTCCAGTCTATTTTTGAAAATCTCCAGTGATGGAGTACCCCACAACCTGAGGAAACAAACTATCATTGATCAGTCGCTCTCACTGTCAGAAAATTTCTCCTTACTTCTAGATTATATATCTCTCTTTAACAAGCTTCCATCCATTACTTCTTGTCCTGCCCTCTGGTGCCTTGGAGAATTAAGTCAATCCCCTCTTCTTTGTATCAGCCGCTCAAGTACTGGAAGACAGCTGTCATGTTCCCCCCATCCTTCTCTTTGATAGGCTAAATATATCTACGGTAGTTCCCTCAACTGTTCATCATACGATTTAATCTCCAGATCCTTTATCATCTTTGTTGCTCTTCTTTGCACACTTTCCAGGATCTCAGCATCTTTTTGTATGAGTAATTAACATTTGTGACCAGAAATGGACACAATATTCCAAATGTGGTGTCACCAACACAGTGTAAAGTAATACTATCACTTCTAGTTATCTTAACGCTATCCCTATATTGATGCAGTCTAGAGTTGCATTGGCTTTTTAGGCAGCTGAGCACACTGCTGGCTCATACTTAAATGGTGGCCCACTAAGACACCTAGATTCCTCTCACAGTATCCTAACTATTAACTATAAGCAAAGTCACATTTAGAAGGCATGATGAAGTGGTCTTAGTATTATAATGAGAAGAAAAGACTAAACTTTAACATGACAAAGAGAGACAATGAAATGCTGAATTTAAAAAGAATGGATGATTGTATCGGTATGTATTAATCAGATTCAATGGCTTGTTCAATAAACTATGGTTAAATCATGGGTTACAATGAACGATGAATGAACTTAGCTAATGTTAATTACTCAGACTGCTATCTATCTGGCAGTAAATCCCATTAAACACAGAGTATGCATAGCTTGCAGAGTTTCACTATTTAGAAGTATATTTAAAAAATAATGTTAATACATCAGATCAAATGTTATCTGTTCTGCAACTCACTACTTTCTTCTGCATCACTCAGAAACAACATCTGAAGCTGTCACTTTCTCTTGTTCTCACCTTTTCCTCCTTCTACTCATACTTATGCGTAGTGGAGTTTGCATATCCACTATGGCACCAAAATAACACATCCCAATGGCACCAAAATAACAATACACACTTCAACATGCAATAGCCATCACTGAATACTTATGTCACAATGTCTGATATAAAAGTAATGGCATTTGCCTGATGACATCACACCTACATTGTCCTTTTCCCTCTGTAGATACTCACTGTTTTGCAAGAAATCGATTGCCAAATAAAAAAACTTCGTGATATTGCATTAACTGAGAAACAAGTAGGTTTCCCAACGCTCAAGGGAGCAAGAGGGGTATAAATTGATATAAAATGAAGTAAATAGATTTATACATAAATATGCTGTTAGATTACCTTATCAAAATACATATTTCCAGGGAATTTTTCAATGAAAGCTAATCACGATCTATTAAAACTGGTCTTACAGCATGCATACTGCACCAAAGTTTCTTCAAAACTCTATTGACTTTGAACTGGCTCCTAGAAATTATTCTCAGAAAGACACATTTATTTGCACATTCACAAAGAGATACTGAAAATCCAAAAAAGAATGATGGGTAAAAGATGGCCCCATGTAAAGTAGAGCCAATGATTGTGACCAAGAACAGAGAGTCAACCAGTAGATTGATTCCTTCAACCCTCTCTGGATAAAGAAATTATGTGAGATCACCTAAGCTGCATGTTGTATGGTTGCTTTTCACAAGGACACTGCAAAGCAATGGTCTCTGGATGGTCAGAAGAACCAGGAGCTGAGAGAATGTTCCATACTCGCTCCAGCCACAATCATTTAGAGCAATTTTGTTAAAAGATATAAAAACATGAAAATAACCACAGTACATATTAAAATAGGAAAAAAAGATAATTAAGAAAGAACAAATACAGATAAATAAAAGGAAATATAAAGAATAATGATGGTCAAAACTAATTAGAACACTGTCCAGAACAGCTTGATTTTCACCATCCTCTTGAACGCTATAAAGGAAGGTGGCAATCTGGTCTCTATTGGTAGAGAATCTAGCATTGTTATTTCATTAATGATACTATTTTAAACCTTCTTGGAAGTACTCGTGTCTCCTTAAATTAGATATAGATAACAGTAACAGATAAATATATAAAGAATGTGTCCAACCATTCAATCCACATATATTTCTGTATATCTAACTGGATAAGATGTCTATTAGCAAGTCTGGTGTAGTGGTTAAGGTGCTGGGCTAGAAACCAGGAAACAGCCTCCCTATGAATCAGCTGGCATAATTCTTAGGCATGAAAGCCAGTTGGGTGGCTTTGGGCCAGTCACTCTTCTCAGTCCAGCCCACTGCCAGAGTAGTTGTTGCAAAGAAAATAAGAAGTATACATAATGGTGATGCGGGATGTAAAATAAATAGATAAAGAAAGAAAATGGCAAATTTCAAAGGCAGTGTAGCACTGAATAGTTGTTAGGGAAGGATTGCAAGGTGAGAAAAGCAATAATAATTACAGGGCTTGGTGGCTCAGCAGACTGATAGCATTGTGATTAACACCAGCTGCCTGCAATTACTGTAAGTTCGAATCTCACCAGGCTCAAGGTTGACTCAGCCTTCCATCCTTTCTAAGGTAGGTAAATTGAGGACCCAGTTTGTGGGGGCAATAAGCTGACTTTGTATAAATATACAAAAGTATGAAGGCTATTGCTTAACGCATTGTAAGCTGCCCTGAGTCTCCGGAGAAGGGCGGCATATAAATCAAATTTTTTTAAAAATAATAATCTTCACCGATGACCATTCTAGTGGACTTCCCTATGAATCGCTGGTCCAAGTCTTGAGTTTTTCACCGCACCCAATTCCTTCTCCATTCGAAACCCCGCTCCTTTCTGCTAGGCCAGTAGGAAAGCATCCTTAAAAGATGAAGGCAACGCTGATTGGCTTCTGTTGTTGCCAAGACGACGGATCGGGAGAAAAGAGAAGTGGTCCCCTCGGCGCGGATTCTTCTCTCGCTCCTCCAGCGACTTCTACCATCATCTCCTCGTCTTCTCCATCCCCGCCCCCTTGTCGCCGCACTACGAAGCGGATCGTTTTGTAGTTCCAGGCTGTTTCGGGAGGAGTGGAGTCCTCCTCGGGGGGGTGGGGGCTTCGCTCGAAGCGCGCCCCAGCGAGGGAACCGGCTGGAGTTGCCAGCGATGGGCTGTGGGAACTCCACGGTCACCAGCGCTGGCAGCAAAGGTGAGCGCGGAATAAGGCGGTGCAGGAAAAGGCGCACGCAAAACGGGAGTGGGAGGGGAAAGCTGGAAGACTCCGGAGTGGGGTGGCGGCAAAGGACAGGAGGAGTCGCGGGTCAAGAAATAGAGTCGAGTGAAAGGAATTTTTTAAAAAAGAGAGAAACTACTGGAGGAGGAAGAGGCTCCATCTGTCCTAGAAGCTGCTTTTTTTCTTTTGCGCCTGGCAAGGAGAAGGAAGAGCGCGCGGGCGCGCACTTCTAGAACTGGAAAGAAAGTTCTGCTGTAGCACCTTTGGGGAGGCAAGAAGAGGCTGTGGTGGGGAGAAAACGGTCTGTGTTTGTGTGTTTGTTTGTGTGTGTGTGTGTGTGGAGGGCGTGGCAGCAATGCATGCATGCCTTTCCTCTTTTTCTGCAGGAACGAAATAGCTTTGAGGATTTATTTGTGCCTAAGACAACATATTCAATTATTTTAATTGCACCATCACGTATATTTATCACTCTTGCTTTGTAAATGATTACAGTATGATTGCTAATCATACTGTAATCAACTAATTCCCACAACACTATCAAATAATTTACTAAGACTATATTACTGTTATTCTTCTCTTCCTTACTAGTATCTTATCTCTTCCCACTTATTACTATAACCATGTTGCTTGTATCTTTCAATTTATATTGTCTTTGTTTCATAGTATGATTTGATAGCTTATTAGTGACCTTGATTATCACTAAGTGTTGTATCTTTTTATTCTCGATGAATGTATTTTATTCTCCTTATGTACATTGAGAGCATATACACCAAAGACCTTGTGTGTCCAATCACACTTGGCCAATAAAGAATTCTATTCTATTCTATCCCAATGTTGTGGCTGGTTCAGAAACAAGTCTTAACTAAAATCAGCACAGCTTAATCCTAACAATATATATGTTTTTTCATCCTTGTGACACTGAAGCTGCTCCACTGATTTCAATGGGACTTATAAATAAGTATGCGCCTTGTTCTGTTAGCATAATTTTGGATATGCATATTCTACTCTAAGTTCTACTTTTTTCTACTTTTAATATTCTCCATTGTACGCAAACATTCATCTTAAAAATGTTTCCTGTACTGTAATCTAAGGGAATATGTTTTACATTGACACTTTAAAAAGTAATGATGAAAATAAACATTAAGATTTTTAGTGTTCTTTGCCCAATTCAGTTATATTCATTCCCCTTTCCCTCAAAATAGACAGTTTTGAGTGCATTTATTTCAGACTTCATGTGTCAACACTTGGGAGTGGTGGAAGACTATTGAATTATGAAATGTAGAGTGCAAAGTACAATTTTAAACGTATCTCCTTGTGTCTATATAGGAAGAAGAATAAGTAGAGCCTTGTGGCAAATACCCACTACTTTTACATCCTTTAAGCTTTTCCATTCTTTCTAATAGATTAAGTCATAAAATATCTGTAATTTGAGGCATTTCAAGTATCTCATTAATCAATATAATGATATTCTAAGTGCAATTACATTGCAAAGAATAATCAATTTCACAGCTCAAGGAATGAATTATTATGTTTCTTCGATGCCATTAATAGTTTGAGAAATATCTTGAACTTGATTAGACCTCCTGCTAGAAAATATTGAAAAGACACAACTCAAAGAAGAGATAATGGTTGTGTAATATAGGTGTTCAGATGAATACATCTATTGTTGTACACTAATGAAGCAGATTTTAGTATACTTTGAAATTAGTCTATTTTGGTGTATCTGTTATACTTTTTACTTTTTTTACTTCTTCTGTTCAGTCATGATTGATTCTCAAAGACTGCCAGGACAAGTCTCTGCAAGGTTTTTCAGAGGTGATTTGCTATTGCTTCCTTCTTAGAGCTGAGAGAGAGTGACTGGCCGAAGGCCACCCAGGTGGCTTTGTGACCAAGGCAGGATTAGAATTCACAATCTCTCGGTTTCTGACCTGATGTTTTAACCATTATATTAAACTGGCTCTCATTATAGCTTTACGGTCTTTTTAATGGTTTTTCTATGGATTTGCATTTGGAAAAGGGCAAGGTGCATTTCTGGTGACAATCTAGGTATGATTATTTTAGAGTAAACATTTTGATGACTCAGTATTTATTTATTAATTCAATTTCTCTAGCCACCCATCTCAGTCAATGACTGGGTGGCTTACAATTTTTTTTAAAGGCAATTAAAAATGCTAAAAAGATTAAATGCACATAGGAACAAGATGCTTGGCCGGTTAGCAATACAGTCGGGAAACGGGATCCTTAATGCACTCGGGATCCCAGGCATGGGAACATAGACAGATTTTTAGGACCTTATGAAAGGCTAGCAAAATTGGGGGCATTCTGATCTCCGAAGGGAAGATGTTCCTTAGAGCAGGAATCACTGCAGAAAAAAAAAGCTTGTCTTATGGTCTCCATTAGCTGGCACTCTGCCTGACAGGATCTGCAGCATGCCTACTATGCTCCACCTAGTTGGACAGGTAGAGACTCTTGGAAAAAAGCTGAGCCCTCAGGTACCGCACTCTCGAGCCATGCAGGATTTTATACCAGTAACTTAAATTGCATCCGGAAACATTCTGGTAACCAATGTAGTTCATGCAGAAGTGTTGTTACGTGTTCTGTACATCTGGCACTATTTACTATGCATGCAGCCACATTCTGCATCAGTTGAAATTTTCAAATGGTCTTCAGGGGCAGCCCCATGTAGAGTATGTTCCAATGGTCTAGCCTAGAGGTTACAAGAACATGAATTACTGTAAGCAGAGCACAGAATAGATACTATGGAGTTGTGTTACTGTATATACCAAGGCTTACCTGAATTCTCCTCTTTTGGGGAACAACTGTTTGAAAAAGTATCTTAACAGGTAGGTTTGGGTTTTACCAATCAGGCAAGGTACTCACAGTGATGGCCATTCCACAAATAGACACGGTTTCTCCAAGGCAGCCACAACTCCAAACTGTCTTCCCCCCCAAAAGATGAGAACCCCTATTTAAAATGTAATGATGTGCAAACTGTAGTCATTGAATAAAACATAAGTTGCTTTAAGGCAATCAAGCACAGAATGGCATCATTGTTTGTTGCTTGATTAGAATGTGTTGGAAGAAATGTCCCTCTGGGTTCAGTTCCAAGTGGGGAAAAAGACACTGGATTCATGGAAGTTGCTTGGAAAGAAGGTTTAAGGCTTGAGGTCCTGGGCAGAAAATGGAAGATATGCTGAGAGTCCCTGGGTTTTATACCCCCTCTGGCTTTGAACTTCCTAGGGCACAGGAAGAGTATCCTGATTGGTTGCTGTCAGAGGTCATAGCTAGCTTTTTAGGTTGTTTGTGTGTTAAGTTTGGATGAATCTTGCTGGGTGATGATGTAATGAAAGGGCTTTGGACAATTCATACTATGGCTCCGCCTGAAGAAGGTAGATCTTTGTTATGTTGAATAGACTGGGTCAGGCCTTAATGGCCCATTGATAAAGGGGGTGGTGGTGGAGTTTCTGCCTCCCTTTTAGGGGAAATATTCTGCCCTTTTAATATTTCCTAAAATATCTCATTTTCCTAGGAGAAGGATGTGTGCTTACTTCTTACAATGATATGCAAACACGAGTAAATAATTTGTTTGTAGTTTCCTGACATCTTTCTAGCTACTGTTGCTTTTTATATAACTCATTTTATATAAGAGCATCTGTAGGGAAGTTAAAAAAAATTAAAATTAAAATTAAAATCAAAATCCTGTTTCTTTTATGCGCATTGCAAATATGGCACATGTAAAAAGTGGGTGATGCACGGTCACTGTTTTGAATTTTCCAATTATTCCTCTGAACACCTGTGTACACTAATCAATTTACAAAAGCATATGCAGCAAAGCAGGCAGAGCTGGAGGGCGGAGTTAACTACGCTATAAGTTTGGAGTCATTGTGTTGCCAGAAGAGTCCCGCGCCCCATGAATTCCATTGATCTTTATCTTGTGCCACTTTAGGATTGACCTTTAATTGACTAGATTCTTGTGTATAAGTTACAGTAATACATTCTTCTGTGCTTTAAATGCAATGAATACTCATGGTTATTTGTGCCTGGCAGCATATTTACAAATAAACTAGAAATTGGTCTAAACAAGCCACGAAGATGTGTTTATTTTCTTATCTGTAAAAGCCAAAAACTTGCTTTGTTAAATGAGCCATTGTTGTTAGCCTTACACAGTCCATTAAGTCATAAACCCCTAATTTACTAACTAGTAAAGCTGTGCAAAGCTTTGAAGGAGTGATTCAATTTCACAGTGATTTGACTGAATTGCCGTATTAAGTAGTTCCATGAAGCAATGTGTCATCCTCATGTGTGAGGAAGTGAAGCAGGGATAGTAGTTTGTGCTTGGGAAAAGCAGCTGCAGCCAGGCAGAACTGCTTCCCACCCTACTTTCCTTGTGCATTCACTCACTCACTACTTTACTCACAATCTTACTCACAAACAGTATTTCAGCTACCTGACTATTTAAGCTACACCCTGGCATTTTCAAGGATGTGCTGATGTTCAGAGATAGCTTCACCCCACCCAGGCCTTTAGCTTACAAAAACAAATCCTAAGACAGAGTGTGCGTAGGTGTGTAGAAAAAAGGGAGATCAGAAAATGGCAAGCAAACTAGGAAGTGGAAGCAATGTCTGGAGATTGGCAGCTATTACACGGAGGCAAGGAGAGTATAAGTCAACTGCCAGGAGCACAATCTATAGTGAGCAGCATATCCTGGTAGGAGTTCGGCCTGGAGCTTGACAGCAACCAGAGCCTGTTGTTGGAGAAGGTGTGTCCTGTAAAGCAGGGTCACAAACCTTTCGGACCTCAGGGACCACTAAATGCATAATTTTAAATCCCGCGGACCACTAATATGATCTGCCTAATGACTGGCTGGGTGGGTGTGGCTAGGTGGTCATGTGACTGGGTGGGTGTGGCCAACTCGGTCACTCATGTTGAGGGGTGCCTCACTGGCCTCTACTCACCCCTCCCCTCCCTGCCACTCCTCGCCTCCCCACCCAGGCTCCTTAGGGCCCCAACAGGAAGCAGTTGTTGGAGCTAAGCAGCCACCATGGGAAATAGTTGGCAAAACAGCTGGCTCAGTTCAAATTGGATCTGACTAAGATGGAGGCTTGGCAGAAGCACCTCACTGAGGACTACGAGCATAGGCTTTCCAAGCAGAGGGAAGACATGTGGGAGTGCAAGGCCAGGTACCTGTGCCTGGAGGCACAGAGGGCTGAGATGGACAGCCAGTTCCAGGCATGATGCAGTCTCATTGGAACAAGGTCCTCTTCCCTCCAGCCTTTGCCCAAAGCCCCGCACCAGGAGGCTGAAGCAGACCCCAAGTCGAAATTTCTGCCCCACTCTGACCCACACAAAAAGGGGGTCCTAAGGAGGCCCGAAGGGCGAGACTCTCTGCAGAAACACAAACGTTCATTGTACGTATCTGTCCCAGGGGCCATAGTTTGAGGACCCCTGTTTTAGTGCAATATAAAAAATGCAAATAATTTTTCTGCGGACCACCAAAATTTTCTCACGGACCACCAGTGGTCCATGGACCACCTGTTGGTGACCGCTGCTGTAAAGCATTGCGTACATATCTGCTATGTTATTGTGTGTCCAGTCCTTGGGAAAAAACAAAACAAAACATGGAGCAAAAGTACATGTTGATTTGTTTTTCATGGCCTCACAGGCTCAAGCTAGCACTTTTAATAACATAAAAGCTTCTATACTTTATTCTGGGCATGGACAGAAGCCTCTTCTAACACTTTCAGTCAGCTACCGGAAACACTAAAAGAGATTTTATGCAGATGCAGCACTTAATGCAGAAAATTTCTACGGTAATGGCTGTTTTAGGCTAAGGCTGTGAGGTCATCAGTCTGGTTTATAAACAAAATAGGTGCATCAACGTGATTGTTTTTACCATCCTAATTATTTTTTACCTGATGTCTGATTGTATTCTCACTCCTGTGCAAAGTTCCTGCTCCATACCCAGCTGGAACAAATAAAATATTTTGCTTTTGTAGGCAATGATTTGCCTGAATGATTTGACTGAATCAAATTGTGGGCAAATAAGTAGCAAGGTGAGAAAAAGCTTTGTGAATGTGAAAGGTCTAGATGTATTCACAGTTAACACAACATATTAAACCATGGACAATGGTTTCCTGATTAAATTATCCTGAAACTGATCTTACTAAAGAAAGTGGAGGTGGGAAAAATGAATGATATTTGCAGAACATTGGAAGTCACTGTTCTTGAAAGGGGGTCATTTTAGGCTTCCCATAACTACTGTTGGTCAGATATATGGAGGGAAAAGTGTAACTTCTAAGTTCACAAACATGTTTTCACATTTTTTTCATTCCAGGTACCACAGCAACATCAAAAGTAATGTAAGTATATATTTTGATATGTTTTTTCTATTTTCTGTTATGTTTTCCAAGTATTACAGAATACATAACAAGATCAAGATAGCTTCTAAGTAGTTTGAGTAGATTGTCAATTAGATCACGCTAAGCCCTATTTTGTTTAGCCACAGTTTATTGAACAAAAAAGCCTGTTTGGTATTGTGGTTAAATATCAGGCTAAAAGCTGGAAACCATGAGTTCTAGTGCACCCTTAAGGCACAAGGACAGTTGGGTGACCTTGGCCAGTCCCACTCTCTTAGGCCTATGAGGGAGGCAATGGTAAACCACTTCTGAAAAAACTTGTCAAGAAAACTGCAAGGACCAGTTCAGGTAATCACCAGAATCAAAAACTGATTTGAAGGCACCAAAACCAAACTACAATTATTATGTTCGTACAACTTGGTATGTCAAATGACATAGCACGTTACAAAAGCATGTTGCATGACTTAGCATGTTTTTATTTTATTTTATTTTATTATTTTATTTTATTTGTCAACCATATATAAGATAACAGGTAAAAGTATAAACTTAATTCGAATACATAAAAAGAGTAAGAGTAAAAAGGAATATTAGGACAGGGTTGGTATATTAGCATGTATATACCGGTACTACTACAAACTCCTGCTAACTTGAAATGTGGGTTGCTTATTGATAGTTTAGACCAGGGACATCAACTCCAGGGGTGAACTTCAGCTGGTTCTTACTGGATTACATGATACAGTAGAGCCAACTGCACAAAGCCCCGTCCACTCATACAGACATCATGATGTCCCTTTTTTGCTACAATTTTCAGCCTCTAAAGGTTTTGTGCATGCGCAGACAACGCTGTGTGCACATTTGTGAACCGGTAGGGAAGGTAACCCCTGATCAACTCCCAGAATTCCCCAGGCAGCCATATTGGCTGGGGAAATTTTGAAGTCCACAAGTCTTAAACATTGCCAAGGTTGGACATCCCTGACTTAAGATGTTTTAGGAACCTAGTCTTTATTTGTTCATGCCAACCAAAATGTGATTTCTTGATTTTGGCTTAGTGTGACACATGAACCCAGGTTTTGTGTTATATAAGTCATGGTTTAATATGTTGTGTTAACCCAATCAGTTGTGGCTTATTTTGCAAACCAGTCTCATAATGAAATAATAATAATAATTGCACACTTTCTCTTAAGGTTGTCTTATTGGTAGAACAGGTATTACAATAATTGGATGACGACGAAGCAATGGGTTTTGTTTAGTCAGGGACAATTAGGCAGAAATGAAATTACAATACTTGTGAATCCAATTATAATAGTAGTCATAAGTGCCTTAGAAACATCATTCTCGGAACATCTATGTGAAGCTGAGTGAAAATGCAAAGTGCTCATATCTAAAAATTTGTGACCATTTTGTAGCCAGAAGCTAATCAAAGCTTAGCCAATGACAAATTAATAGGTAAGGATTTCTCAAGAAAAAAATGTAGTGAAGGAGAAGATGTCACTGATGAATCATATGTTGTTGTTGTTCTTAAAGGCTTATGTATCTGAGATTATAGAGTGGAAGGGGAACTTCTGCCTCCTCTTGAAACCCTCTGAGCTTTTGTACTCTAGCCCCAGAGAATGTCTTGGTGCAACTGGTTGATAGGTACTGCTCCCCCTACCTATCTTTAACAGGATGCATCACCTGATATCCTCCCCCTAACCCTGGTGTAAGAATGAGAGAGGGCTCCCATAACTTGTACTGCCATGTTTATTGAAAAGATAAACATGGAAAAATGAAATACTTTATATGCTATAAATTCTTAGATGTGCGGTTTAGAATCAGGTAACTAGATATCTGGCCCTTCTCCTCCTTGAGAGACAGAATAATCTCAGCAGAAATAAACAAAATCAAATTTTATTTGGAACGGAGAAAAGATAAAATATGAAAACTGTTTGCTGCCCAGAGTTCCATGGATTAGGGTACATAGATTTTTGTAATAAAATAAATAAAATAAAAGAAATATAAAAGAAATAGATAAAGAAATAAATTATTTTTAACTTTGCATATTAAAATCCAAAAAGTGTTGGTTACAATTGTTTTTAAAAAATGACAGACATTTGGGACAATATTTTAAAAGAGAATTGCAAAAATAAAACACAATGCAGTATTCAGTAGACCACAAGATGGCGCTGGTTTGTTATGATATTGCACATAGCTTGCCATGGAAGTCAAAACAGAAAATCTTAAAAATTCCTGTAGATTGGGCAGAGATAATTGGTCAGAAAAAAAGAAACTTAATATACAGTAGGTCTTATCTAATATATAATACAAGCTTTTTTTTTCTGCAGTGATTCCTGCTCTATGGAACATCCTCCCTTCGGAGATCAGAATGGCCCAATTCTGCTAGCCTTTCATAAGGTCCTAAAAACCTGTCTATGTTCCCATGCCTGGGGTCCCGAGTGCATTAAGGATCCCATTTCCTGACTGTATTGCTAACTGGCCAAGCATCTTGCTCCTATGTGCATTTAATCTTTTTAGTATTTTTATTGTTTTTAAATGTTTTTAGCATTTTTAATTGCCTTTTTTAAAAAAAATTGTAAGCCACCCAGTTATTGACTGAGATGGGCGGCTAGAGAAATCGAATAAATAAATAAATAAATAAATAAATAAATAAATAAATAAATAAATAAATAAATACTGAGTCATCAAAATGTTTACTCTAAAATAATCATACCTAGATTGTCACCAGAAATGTACCTTGCCCTTTTCCAAATGCAAATCCATAGAAAAACCATTAAAAAGACCGTAAAGCTATAACGAGAGCCAGTTTAATGTAATGGTTAAAGCACCAGGTCAGAAACGGGGAGACGGTGAGTTCTAATCCTGCCTTGGTCACAAAGCCACCTCTCTCAGCCCTAGGAAGGAGGCAATAGCAAATCACTTCTGAAAAACCTTGCAAGGACTTGTCCAGGCAGTCTTTGAGAATCAATCATGACTGAACAGAAGAAGTAAAAAAAGTAAAAAGTATAACAGATACACAAAAATAGACTAATTTCAAAGTATACTAAAATCTGCTTCACTAGTGTGCAACAACATGTGTATTCATCTGAACACCTGTATTACACAACCATTATCTCTTCTTTGAGTTGTGTCTTTTCAATATTTTTTAGCAGGAGGTCTAATCAAGTCCAAGATATTTCTCAAACTATTAATGGCATCGAAGAAACAATACTTCGTTCCTTGAGCTGTGAAATTGATTATTCTTTGCAATGTAATTGCACTTAGAATATCATTATATTGATTAATGAGATACTTGAAATGCCCCAAATTACAGATATTTTATGACTTAATCTATTAGAAAGAATGGAAAAGCTTAAAGGGTGTAAAAGTAGTGGGTACTTGCCACAAGGCTCTACTTATTCTCCTTCCTATATAGACACAAGGAGATACATTTAAAATTGTACTTTGCACTCTACATTTCATAATTCAAGTAGCTGGACGCCCATGCTTCGCTACGAAACTATGTGCTCGGGCTTGGTAAATTGACACTTACAGCCTGAAACTTAATGTAGAATGTGTAACTCAGTAGCATCAGAGTGTGTTAATATAATGCAACTGGCAGTTGGAACAGACGGGGAGGGAGAGTAGAATGTCCCAGTTCGCAGCATCCATCGATATTTATCTGGTTAGCATCCTGTCAGTGTTGAGAGAGTTGAGGGGTATTTGGAAACTGAAACAGTAATGCTGTGTGAGCAAGAAGGAGACAAGAAGGAGGCTGGGCGTGGCTTAGCTCAACTGTTCTGAAGTAAAGCTGCTTGCTGCTGTGAAAGTAAAACTGAAAGTGAAACTCGTCTCCTCTGCTTGTGTTTTGCATTTGGAACAGATTTCTTTTGAGGTGGGGAGCGGGAGTAGAACTCCTTAGCATCAGAGCGTGTTATTAATAATATAGGAAATACTAATGCTCTGATAGTCATTTCGAAAAATCCTTTCTTAGTGAGCACCTAGAAGCCAAGAGGAACATACATGGCAAATTTCAAGTTTGTAGGCTTTATGCTTCTGGAGATTTTGTGATTACGGCGTGAGTGGTTTTTGCTTTTATATATATAGATCGGACCCTTAAAATAAATACCATCTCTGTTAAAATTGTTTCTTGGAAACTCCATTTTAATCAGAGGCTGGAAATAATTCAGCTTTTTCCCCTTTTTCTTAGCACACACCTGCTTGCTCCATTGCACAGAAGTTCCATCTTTTTTTAAATAAAAAAACTATCATAAATCTTATAAATCCAGCAAAAAATTTAGAAATTAGGCCACTTCTCTGTACCTATATGATATAACTCAACTTTCCCTAGTGAATGTTGTTTGAAATTCTGATGCCAATTGGCTGTCTGTCAGTAAATATGAGGTGGGATTTGCAATTTGTTATTTATTACAAGTTAAAACTCCTTGCCCTCTTTAAAAAAAGTTGACAACCTCATAAATCAAATAAACCACATTATAAGGGTTTAAATCTGGGATGCAAAAATCCAGATGACCACTAAAACGATGCCAAGAAATATAGAAAACTCTGTATTTTAAGATATATGATTCTACTAATTTGTTAAGTGCTTTGAATCAAACTGTTTATAAAAGGAACTGTTTTCATGGTTTCTTTAAATATAGAGTTTACTCAATATATGCTGTAGTCAAGGTATGATTATTATGATTTTGCAAAGTAATTTCTTAAATGATTTTTCGTCTAACAAATTCTTATTTTTCCCCCTTATTTTTCCTTATTAATCCTTATTTGTAGGAACTGTGAAAGTTCACACTTTGCTTCATTATTGTTACTATTGGTTGCATTTACTTTCTGCTATTTTGTGTTCGGGAGGCTGCAGTTTAGTACAGTACTGTTCAGATATAGTATTCAGCCAGTTCGGACCGGTTCACCCGAATCGGTAGCGGAAATCGCAGGTGCCCCCCCCCCCGCCCCAACTCTATGCCATCCTATTTAGGCATATTTTTGAGGCTGGGTGCATGTGTGGAAAGTGCATGCACAAGCAAAGTACATACATGGAAGGCCGGGCGCATGCGTGGACACATGTGAGGGAAGCGAGAGCGTGTGCGTGCTCACATTTGTGAACCGATAGGGAAAGTAAGTGAATACCACCCCTGGTACTGTTAGAGCAGTGTTGTTCAAACTTGGCAACTTTAAAATCTGTGGATATCAACTTCCAGAATTCATCAGGCAGCATGGGGAATTCTGGGAGTCGAAGTCCAGACATCTTGCTGAGGTTGCAAGACACTGTAGGACTAATATCAAAGTCCTGACATATTTTAAAATTTCTAAAATGAATTTATATGTTCCAACTGCATGTGTTTATTGTGGAATTTCCCATTTTCTTGTACTTGATAAAAGGAGATACTCATACCAACTCTTTTTATTGACTTTCTGTGAGATGAATCAAGGAAGCTGCCTTAGTTGTGAGTTGGCACGGAACAGTGCTAAGACTCCAGAGTGTAGAAAATTGTGCTATCTAATAATTTCCATGCTCTAAATGTAGCAATGGTAAAATGCTATGTCAGTGATGGTTAACCTCTTCAGCACCGAGTGCCGAAACTGGAGCGCGTGCACATGTGTGCACCAGGGGTAAAATGCACTTACCTTCGCTACTGGGTCGGAAATGTGAGCGCACATGCCTCTTCGTACAGAGGGTCAAAAATAGGGTGTGATGATATCCTGGCAGGTGGGCAGAGCCTCCTGCCGCCAGCCCTACTGGATCGCGCGAGCTGGATAGATCCGGCCGGATTTCACCACTGGTGTGCACGCGGTGGAACCCGGAAGAGAGCAGCTGGCTGGTAGGCATGCACACAACGGAACCCAGAAGAGCAGCTGCTGATGGTGCACGTGCCCACAGAGAGGGCTCTGCGTGCCACCTCTGGCACGCATGCCACAGGTTCGCCATCATGGTGCTATGTAGTGGAAGAAAGAAACGAGACAATAGACAGAAGACAAGATGAAAATATTGTAGGAAGCAATAGGAGTTAATGAGATAGACTAGAGGAGTTAGTGAGATAGACTAGAGGAGGCCCTTTTAGATAACCTCTCTGCTATTTTATTGGAGCCTGGACTGATTAACACTGAATTCTCAAGAAGTTTCCTATTTACTGTTGCTTTCCTGAACCTACCTGAAAAGAGTAGGTGTTCAGATGCTTATTGACAAAGAAGGAAGTAGTAGATCTTTACTCAATCAGGCTTGAAAACATTGCTAATTTCTCTTTCTCTACTGAACACTGAGAGCCACTATAGCAAACCGCAGTGAATGTTATACAGCTAGTCCTCAACTTATGACTACAACTGAGCCCAACATTTATGTTACTAGTGAGAAATTTGTTAAACGAATTTTACCCCCTTTTATGACTTCTTTTGCCACGTTTGTTAAGTGAATCACTGTAGTTGTTAAATAGGTAACACGGTTGTTAAGTGAATCTTCCCCATTGACTTTGCTTGTCAGAAGGTCGCAAAAGCTGATCACATGACCCCAGGACACTGCACCCATCATAAGTATGAGTCAGTTGCCCAGCATATGAAGGTTGATCACGAGACCATGGAGACGCTGCAATGGTTATAAGTATGAAAAATGGTCACTTTTTTCAGTGCCACTCTAACTTTGAAAGGTCACTAAGCAAACTGTTATAAGTCGAGGACTACCTGTATCAGACAGCAATTGAGTGAAAGAAGAAAGCTCTTTGCGGTGATTTATTTATTTATTTATTTATTTTTATCATACTTATATGCCGCCCTTCTCCTGAAGGACTCGGGGCGGCTCACAACAATAAAACAACAAGACAGTAAAATGAATACTAAAATAATCCAATTAAAATCCCTGACCGTTAAAAACTAAAACCCCCAACAGATCAGGAGATTTCTTGAAAAAGCCACATCTTCAGGTCACCACAGAAAGAGCGGAGGTCGGGGGCCATCCGGAGCCCAGTGGGTAACTCGTTCCAGAGGGTCGGTGCGGCCACAGAGAACACCCTCATCCTGGGCACCAACAGGCAACATTGTCTGGCCGATGGCATCCGGAGATGGGCAGTCCTATGTGAGCACACTGGGCGGTGGGAGGCCGGTAGGAGGTGGTCCTGCAAGTACCCCGAAGCGGATCTGAAGGACCACCGGCAACCAGTGCAGCTCTTGCAGGAGAGGTGTAACACGGGAGTAATGGGAAGCTCCCATAACAACCTGTGCGGCTGCATTCTGGACCAGCTGGAGCCTTCGGGTGCACCACAAGGGCAGCCCCATGTAGAGGGCATTGAAGTAGTCCAGAAGAGAGATAACGAGAGCATGAGTGACTGTACGGAGGGCATCCCTATCTAGGAAAGGTCGCAACTGGCGCACCAGGTGAACCTGCGCAAAAGCCCCGCTGGTCACGGCTGTCAGGTGGTCAACTAAGGACAGCCGTGAATCCAGGAGGACCCCAAGATTGCAAACCCTTTCAGAGGGAGTAAGCAACTCCCCTCCCATCAAGAGTGATGGGGTCACTAGATCAGGGGATGCCGGCATCCACAGCCACTCCGTCTTGGAGGGGTTGAGTTTGAGCCTGTTCCTACCCATCCAGACCTGTACTGCTTCCAGACACTTAGACATCACGGAAAGGGCATCCCTGGGTTGGTCTGGGGTGGAGTTGTAAAGCTGGGTATCATCAGCATATTGCTGATACCTCACCCCGAAACTACAAATGATCTCACCCAGCGGCTTCATATAGATGTTAAAGAGCAAGAGGGAGAGAACCAGTCCCTGAGGTACCCCACAAATGAGGGGCCTTGGGGAGGATTTCTGTCCCCCTGCCCAGACAAATTGCGTGCAACCCAAGAGGTAGGAGGAGAACCACTGTAAAACAGTGCCCCCCACCCCCAACCCCCCAAGTCTTCGCAGTAGGATACCATGGTCGATTGTATCAAAAGCCGCTGAGAGGTCAAGTAGGACCAGGATAGAGGAATAATCCCTATCCCTGGCCCGCCAGGGATCATTCACCAGGGCGACCAATGCTGTTTCCGTGCTGTGTCTGCACCTGAAGCCTGATTGGTACGGGTCTAGATAATCTGTTTCCTCCAGGAATTGTGGAAGTTGGTGTGCCACCACGGACTCAACAACCTTCGCTATAAAGTGATGATGTTCAGAAAATAAAGGAAGCTTTCAATTAAAACAGGAAAGAACTTCCCTGAAATATATGGACAAAAAACGTTCACAGTAAGCTCTCTTGACATAGGGTGGATATAAAAAGTGAGCAGATGCTTGATCTTCCAGTGAATCAGCAGGCAGGTTTTCTGATAGCTTTCCAATAGCAATAGCAATAACGTGTTTCTCCAAAAAGAAGGCCAGGTCTTATTTTCTTTTGACCCCTGGAAAAACGGCTAGGCCTTCTTTTTGGAGGGTTCTAATTATTGACTCACCTCGCGGCGGTGGCACCATCGGTCCCGCCCAGCAGGAGCCCACTGTTGCCCACTTCTTCTGCAGCCATTTGCCACCACTCGCCACTCGCAAGCATCACCCCGGCCTCCATTTCACCTTCAGATGCCTACCGGAACTTGTTATAGGCTGCAGATGCCTTCCGGCAGGCATCTGAAAGTGAAACAGAGGCCAGGGCAATGTGTGCGAGTGGTGGCAAACGGTTGCAGAAGAAGACAAGGCAGGTGTCGGAGTGTGCGAGGCCTGGTAAGTAGGGCGGTTCCCCCTCCCCACCCTAGCTTATTTTTTACTTGTGTGCCTTGCCGCACCCCCTGAACCCTGGGGTGGGCGGGGTCTTAATTAGGGCTAATTTTGTGGGTGGGCTTAATTTGATCGCATGCGCTCAAAAACTTGATAGGGCTTCTTTTCAAGATGAGTCGTCTTTTTGGAGAAACACTGTAGCACTTAGATTTATATGCCGCTTCACAGTGATTTTACAGCCCTATCTAAGCGGTTTACAGAGTCAGCATATTGCCCCCAACAATCTGGGTCCTCATTTTACCTACCTCAGAAGAATGGAAGGCTGAGTCAATCTTGAGCCTGGTGAGATTTGAATAGCCAAATTGCAGGCAGCCAGCAGTCAGCAGAAGTAACCTGCAGTACTGCATTCTAACCACTGCGCCACCACAGCTGTACAAGATCCATATCTGTCTTTCAAACGGCAGTGATCACGTGTACTTTCCTGAAGAGAAGCGTAGATATAGGAGATTTGAGATCTGGTCCAGGTTGGGCTTTTAAACGCTTCTTTTAAATTATTAAAATGTACTAACTTTTAAATTCAAAACTTAAATTGTAAAATATTTTAATATTATAATGATTTTTAATTTGCAGTGCTCTAACTTTAAATGGCTATCAGGTGATTTTTGGTTTATGTCGGCTGGCGACACCCAGGGGGAGGGCCTTCTCTGTGGGAGCCCCTGCCCTTTGGAATGAACTGCCCTAGAAATTCGTAAAATCTCTGATCTCCGTGTATTTTGCTGTGCCCTCAAAACCATGTTGTTCCGCCAGGCTGGGCTATCAATGTAAAGATTTTAATTGGTTTTAAATGGGTTTTTAAATTTGGGGTTTTATAAATTGGGCCTATTATTTAATAATTTTAATTATTTTTAAATTTTGTCTGTCTTTGTGTTTTTAATTAGGCTGTACACCGCCCTGAGTCCTTCAGGAGAAGGGCGGTATAGAAATAAAATTAATAAATAAATAATAAACAAACATCCGATGCACGGTATATTTTTATTTTACAGTATTGCTTACAATATGTAAATGGATTAAATAAAACAAGCAATCTTCCTTCTTTCTTTCTGTTAATTGCAGAACAGATGAATCAGTGTCAGAAGATGACAAAAGGAGGTGCGTTGACAATGAACTGGACTGAAATTGCATTGATCAAAAGTAGGCTGCCATGTCATGAGAAAGAAGTCAAGAAAATTATTTAAAATGTGTTTTATAAGCCCCAATCCAACAGCTTCCTATTTGTTTGTCCAATAGGAGCTCAGATTTTAACTAAGAAAACCTGTCACTTTATTGTCTTGTAGTCTGTCCCTGGGAAATAGTTGCAGCATTATAGTTTCATAATAGTATTAAGTTTATTACAGGAATGCTCCATGAGCCTCTGTGTGCTCAGATTATCACTGCGGATATTGACATCCAAATATAATTAAATGCTTGTTTCAAATATTTATGCTGATTCAGATAATAAGATACTGGATCAGGAATGGAAAAAATACAGATGACCGCTTTGCTGTTGTATTTTTGCAGCCAAGATCTGGTAGCCCTGTTATAAAAGCATGTTCATTTTCATCAAAGAAATTCTGGATTTAAAATTTATATCATTTGGTTCAGCCAGATACCCATGCCATTTTATAAGGAATAAAACAACATGGACTGATGTAAAGAACAAAATATTGAAAGGTATGCAAGGTTATCCAATTAAACTTATTGAGACAGAAAGTATTATATAGTCTTATGCTGATATATTACAACAGAGGGATTATAACCTCCACAGATTAAAGAATTGGTTTTTAATGAAGTATTTTAATTTTTCTTCTAAACCAATAAACACAATAAAGGTAGTCTTTAACTTACGACTGTTGTTTAGTACTTATTTACAATGGATTTACCAATTTACAATCTGGATTCAGAGTTCTGACAGCCGTTCTCCCCCTGCAATCACATGACCAAACGAGGTACCGTATTTTTCGGACTATAAGATGCACTTCCCCCCCCCAAAGTGGGTGGAAATGTCTGTGTGTCTTATAAAGCGAATGTTGCTGAAACCCTGCCCACCCGCCTGCCCCCACCCGCCAGCCTCTGCCTCCCAGCAATTTGCTTCCTTGCAGCAAACAGCAAACAGCCTGGTCAGCTTCAGCACAGCCTGATTTAGAATGAGCAGCTGATTGGTGGTTGGATCTGCCTCCCAGAATACCACCGATTGGGTGTTCCAGGCTGTGGGAATCACCGCCGCCCATTGCCACCGTTACTGCCGATTGCCACTGCCGCCCATCGTCGCTGCAGCCCATCACCACTGCCACTTATCTCCGCCTCCATGTGTCCTATTTTCGGCCTCCGCACTTCCCATTTTCGGCCCGTTCCAGGTGGCGGGGATAGGCAGCGGTGGCTGGGATCCCTGCCTCCTGGAACAGGCTGAAAATGGACCGCCCAGAGGCTGAAAATGGGGCACGCAAAGGCTGAAAATGGGACACATGGGGGCGAAAATGGGGCATGTGGAGGCGGCGATAGGTGGCAGCGGTGATGGGTGGTGCTGGCGCTGATGGGTGGCAGCAATCCCTGCAGCCTGGAACAGCTGATCGATGGTATTCCGGGAGGCAGATCCAACCGCCAATAGCTGCTTGTGCTAAATCAGGCAAATTGCTGGGAAGCAGAGGCAGATTTTTTTAATCTTGTTTTCCTCCCCAAAAACTAGGTGTGTGTTATAGTCCGGAGCATCTTATAGTCTGAAAAATATGGTACTTGACAATGGGCTGCATTTAAGCCATTTTTACCATCCCATGGTCATGTGTTTGCATTTTACAGCTTTAGTTCACCATTTTCTCTCAAAAGTTCTCTTCTGGATAGCTCAAGGCCATTCTTCCAGCATATGGCTGACATATTGAGCTAAGATGCAGATGTCTTCAACAATTTTGTATTGTGAACATGACAGGAATACGTTAGGAGAGATAATAATACTGACTTAGCATCTGTGGAGAACCATCAGATATCTTGACCAACAAAACAAGCATTCTATTTTACCAAGCTATTAATATAGAAAACTGCTTCCGGTAGCCATTGAAATACTTTCTTTCAGAAGTAAATTGTTCCATGGGAGTCCTTTGGGAGGAGGGGAGTCACAATTCCCCTCCATTTTGTTTCTATGCAACTGACTTCAAGTGTGGTCTAGTTTTAACCTGGGTATATTAGTATGTTTCTTTGTAATACATTCATATGAGAAAGTATGTATTTGTATTTTGTATTTTTGTATTTGTATTTTATTAAATTTCTATACCGCCCTTCTCCCGAAGGACTCAGGGCGGTGAACAGCCACAAGATAAAACACATAAATACAAAAATTTAAAAATAAATTAAAAACGAATTAAATAATTTGGCTGAACAAATTTAAAATACCCCATAATTTAAAAACAAATTAAAATTTACATTTAAAAAGGGGAGAAGGTTTAGGCCAGTCCAATTTGATGAAATAAAAAAGTCTTAAGCGTGCGAAGGAAGGTGCGCAGATCCGGGATCCTCCGTATCTCCGGGAGAAGCTCATTCCAGATTGTAGGTGCCCCCACAGAGAAGGCTCTCCCCCTAGGGGCCGCCAGTCAACATTGTTTGGCCGACGGCACATGTAAATCTGAACATATGAATACATATATGTGGATTATTTCCCATTGATATATATGTGTCTATGTGTGGCTGAGAGTGAGTGTGTGAAGTTATCCCACTCATTTTAGCCTGCTCACTTTTTTGTGAGGAAAATGCAAAAATGCTCTAACATGGAGTCTCCCAAATACTAGTCTCATAGTTGCTGTAGGACTGCATTGAGCTTTTGTATGTGAAGTGCTTTGACTAATTAGAAGTCGTAAGCAGACACACACCTGGAGCTTCTTGCTTAAATATCCCTCCTAAGTATATCTCAAGTGCCCCTCCAAAGGTTACAATTTGGATTGTAATTTTTAATGTAACAGAACGAGTAATACTTAAGTGTAGGATGAGTAATGTGCAGAGTGCCCAAATTTCACTTTTGAGAGAGCATTTATACTAAATAATGTAACACACGGTCCAAAAAAGATTAAAACATTTTGCTGTGTGTAAGGTTATACTTTTACTATGGCATCCAATCATGGCTTTCGTGTCTTTTTCATTAAGAGATTATGGAGGTGTTTATGTTGGCTTACCTGTTGCAGCAGCCAAGATTTCCAGCCAGACAAAAACAGCACCTAAAGGTATTTTTTTTAAACCACTGTTTTTCAGTACTTCCAGTTTCTAACATTTATCATCATGCTTAGGAGAGACACTTTATCATTTGAAGCTTTAAAACGTTTTTAAGATAAATGGAGGTCCTAAGTCACTCCATGAAGTTTAGGCACAGCAAGATAACCATAGCAATAGCACTTAGACTTACCATATTTTTTGGAGTATAAAACACACTTCTTTCCCCCTTAAAAGAAATGTTGGTGCATCTTATACACTGAATACAGCAATTTTTGGCCTCCCAAAGCCCTGACCTGCACATCCCGTTTTTGCAAAAAACGGGGCACGCAAAGGGTTTGGGAGGCCTGCAGAGTGCTCCTGGGGGCCGGGGATGGCAGAAATGTTTTTTTCTTGCTTACCTCTTTGAAATCTTGGTGCGTCTTATACACCGGTGGGTCTTATAGTCTGAAAAATACGGTATATGTCACTTTATAATGCTCTACAGCCCTTCCTAAGTGGGTTTACAGAATCAGCATATTGCCCCTAACAATCTGGATCCTCATTTTACTGACCTTGGAAGGATGGAGGGCTGAGTCAACTTTGAGCTGGTCAGGATTGAACTGCTGACAGTGGGCAGAATTAGCCTGCAGTACTGCATTCTCACCATTGCACCACCACGGCTCTCTAGAAAGGCAAACAGTTAAGTTAATTTCCACTACATTCACTATGCTAAGTGAGGGAGTCACCTTTAGAGTCAGCAGCCGTAGTCATCAGGTTGTCAGTCTGTGATTTTAAATCTTTCTTGGCAAAACAGACTATAGATTGAGAGCCCTGAGTTATATGATCTGATAGCAAGAACCAGCTTGACCTCATCAAAATATAGGAGTTGTGAAAGTATTTCTGTGAACATGAAACCGATCTTCAGTCTGACATCCTCAGCATAGGCTGACTGTCTGTCTTATTGGAATTTGATATTTCCTATCAGGGCTACCAATACAATGAAATTTGAAGGCAGCGAAAGCCTGCTGCAATTTGTATGAAGTTACCTTTACCAAATATCAGATTCTCATTGCATTGATTTTCACTTTACCAAATCATGAAGTGATTTAGAGACTTTGATGATTCATCTGCAAAGCCTAAATTTAAAATTTAAATCAATTCTAATAGCATCCCTAAGTGATTCAGCTCAAGTGTCTCTATGGATCTGAAAAAATATACATTTAGATTAGACATGTCTTGAAATGTTTCAAGGCTTTAAAATATTAATTAAGAAACTTGGAACTTTAATACTTTATAAGCCACTCAGACCTTATACCAAGCCTTTTAAAAGTTCTGTGCCATTTAGAAATAAATACAATGAATTTTTATACAAATTATTCCAGGGCCATAATCCTAAGAGTTTCTGATATTAACCTCCCATTTCCCAGGAGGAACAGTATGTAAAAAACGTAAAAACAAAAATTGTCCATGATACTTCTCTGGCATGTCAATTTGTACCCCTTAACAAATGGGTACATATAATACACATGTTTATGTATCTGTGTCTCCTATATCCAGGTTCTGAAGTAATGGACAGATACAAGATAGTGGAGAGAGAAAAGGGGAGGGAAGGAAAAATAATTACTCTTCATCAAAATAGAACCCTTGTAGAAAAATGGCACCCCAATTAATCTAAATTGAATTATTATCTGCATATCCCAAGCAGAAATCATATAATGCAGAAACCAGTCACATAGAAACACACAAGTACACATAAGAGAACTGAATATGGATAAAAATAGAAAGAGAGAAAATCCTGTTTAGCTGTTTATCGTTTTCAAGCTAATATTCAAGGGAACCACCCATTTCAGCAATGAAGAAATGCAGGCATTTGCTCTTTCTGTCTAATCCTTTGATCTTTGTTTCTCCACCTATATTCATAAGATATACTTTTCATATACCCTCATCTAACTATAGGTCAGATGTAAGGATAATGAACTGTTTCCCTTTCTCTATTGGATTGCTGTATCCAATTCTTGTAGTTTAGCAATTCTTACAATGTTTTTGACAGGATCAGACTTAAATGGGTTGGGTTGGCACTTGGCAGATCTTTTCCATATTGCAAGACTTAGAAAAGAAGGTATTAGAAAAGAAGGTATTTAGAAAATAAGGCATTTTTAAGTTTTCAAGTTTGTAGAGACGAAGTAATCCAGCACTGACTCTATGTTAGTGTTCAAGCTACAGTGAAGTTAGATAATTTTAGGGCTTCATTGTCATATAAAGGGAAGATTTTTAAAAAACTGTAAAATGTCTTAGGCTACGTCAAAATATGGTAAATCAACCCTGCTGAATTTAAGAACTTCCTGAGTGCAGCCCTAAATAACTAGCTTAAAGTCATGCCCACATAGTATCCTTGCCATTAATCACCTTTCTACCAGTCTGATTTCTTCCCAAAATAGGAACCTGACCAGAGAGAACAATCTGGAGAACAGACTTTTGGGAGACAAATTCTAAGGGAGAGTCAGCCCATCATTTTATGAGCTTGGAACAGATGTAGGTACGTTGCTAATGTATGTAAATATTTTTTTGCTTGTGCATTCAACTCCTCCGTAGTTTCTTTGATGGCATACCTCGATAAATCAAGAAATGTCTACTTAATTTTAGTTTCCTGTTAGCATCCAAATCTGGAAATCACTTACCAGCTTTGAAGCAAGCCTCTGTCTTAAATCATTACTTCAGGTTTCAGGGAAATGCCATGTTGTATTTATATATTCCAAGCAAGCCTTTTTAAAGAGCATTACACTGTTTCTTTCTGAAAAATTGCCTTCTTATGCACAGAAGGTTGGGACAGGCAAACATTCAGAAAATTATCCTCTCTAAAGTCCAAGCAACAATCCTTCTCCTTGCATCTTTACTATGGCGTTCTGTGGCTTATTTCAGTGGGTTTGATCATTTGTACAGGTATTTCTTGACTTACAACAATTCATTTGGTGACTAAAGTTACAACGGCACCGAAAAAGTGACTTATGACCGTTTTTCAGACTTATGATCATTGCAGCATCTTCATGATCATGTGATCAAAATTCAGACGCTTGGCCACTGACTCATATTTATGTCGGTTGCATGAGCAGTGGTGAAATTCAGCCGGTTCTATCCGGATCTCACGATCCGGTAACACTGGCAGTGGGAGGCTCCGCCCGCCCACCCGGACGTCATCATGTCCCATTTTTGACCCTCTGCGCATGCGCAGAAGGCTCTGCACATGCGTGGAGGAGGCGCGTGCGCTCACATTTGCGAACTGGTAACGAAGGTAAGTTAATACCACGCCTGGTCCCGAGGTCATATGATCACCTGTTGCAATCTTCTGACAAAGTCAGTGGGGAAGCCGGATTCACTTAACTGTGTTACAAATTTAACAGCAGCAGTAGTTCACTTAACAACTGTGGCAAGAAAGTTCATAAAATAGAGCAAAAATTACTTAACAAATGTCTCATTTAGCAACAGAAATTTTGGGCTCAGTTGTAGTCGTAAATCGAGGATTACTGTGTTGGATTGTACTTGATTACTATCTGATTAATTTTATATCTAGATGACAGTGAACTATTATTTGCCATACTTTTCAGCAATAGAGATTCGATTAATACGAATAATATAAGAAATAAGAACTGTGACGCTCTTTCCAATATGCAGCTTCCTGATATTAGTACAATGAGCATTTGCTTAATCACTTCATCCCTGAGGATGATTCCCCTCCTTTCATCTTCTTGTCATAGAATTTATTTTAGCATTCTGAAAGTACTATACTATTTATTATGCACATGCTGTTTTTTTTCTTTCTTAATCAGTTATCTTCAAAGATCACTCGTTGCCAAGTGAATTACACAGAAAGATCGCATCACGTAAAAAGCCTGAAAGAGCTGGAACCGTGAATCAAGCGGAGTGCTAAAATGAAATGAAAGAAGAATAAAATCTTATGGACAATTTTGATGCCATTTAATGCTGCATTAATTAGTAGATATAGGGCAATTCTGCCCAAGAATGCATGCTGCTGTTGCTAATATTTTGAATAACACTTTGCTTCCTGTATTTTTGATAGCCTTTTTAACTAAAAAATAAATAAATCTATTGTTCACTCAAGTGCTCCTAAGCTGATGCTACAATAATTACTGACTTACTTAAGAGTAATAAGGTTATTTGAATCATATATTCAAAAAGCAGGTTTTGGAATTTAGATAAGGGTTCCAGGTTAGATCCCTTTGATTATCAGTAGCTTTTATATTGACTGTGAACACAGTCTTGATCACAAAAGTTCTCTCCATCAATAAAATAACATCCTCACAATCAACTGAAACCTGCTTTCATTTAGTATAAGACATTACAGTATGCCATATCCTGCCTTCACTTTATTGCAGTGGTGAAATCCAATTTTTTTTACTACCAGTTCTGTGGGCGTGGCTTGGTGGGCGTGGCTTTGTGGGTGTGACAGGGGAAGGATACTGCAAAATCTCCATTCCCACCCCACTCCTGGGGGAAGGATATTGCAAAATCTCTATTCCCTCCCCACTCTGGGGCCAGCCAGAGGTGGTATTCGCTGGTTCTCAGAACTACTCAAAATTTCCACTACCGGTTCTCCAGAACCTGCCAGAACCTGCTGGATTTCACCCCTGCTGTGAACCTCTTACTAAGAGATTACTAAAAATTGATTGTAATTTTCTCAGTGGTTTGTACTGTTTTTTCCTCTTTCATTTATTCATTCATTCCTGTTAACATTAAAAGAAATAGCTGCTTCCTCCCAAATGCTTGTGTTATATCTTCTGTTTCTCATAAGATTTTAGAAAATGTAATGGTAGGTATGGCAGATACCACAGCGAAACAACTGTAGCTTGGTCTGTTGTGCTTGCAAAGGAATTCCAGGAAAGCCCCAATGAAATAAATATTGTTTTGGAGTTGACTTGGCCACCAGCGCAGCTGTTTTTATTGCTATGATATTTACTTTTCATTATCTGATATTTTAAACCTTCAAACTGTAAGTTGAGGGCTTCCTGTAGAGACGCTATAGTATGTTTTAGGATAATTCCCCTTACCACTAAATATTTTAGTAATTGTGTATATTGAGGGGGAGAATTTGTCTAATTTCAGTTGTGCTTTTAGCAATGCAACAATAAATTTAATTTTAGCTTCTGGGAGCGACTACAGTTTGAGATAATATTTGAAATATTTGGTCTGAAATGCCATCGGTAATGGAACTCTAATAATTTAATTTAACTACTGCTTATTTCAAGGGGCATTTTGATTTTTCTGACAAATGAAAATCGTTTCTCCTTCCTGAGAATATTCATTACTGGTTCCCCTGTCCTGGGAACAATGATACTTTTGTTGTTCTGCTTTTGAGTAACAAAATTATACAGGCAGCCAGAAAAATAAAATGATAGGTAGAAATGGATATAATCCATATGTCATGAGTCTGCCACAAAGTCTGGTATTTCATGGGGTTGATACTCAATAAGAAGCAAAAATAAGATTATGAAGTTTTGAAAATGTTCTTGAAGGATCAGACTAAGAGTCTGATCTAGGCTGGTCCTTGGAATTTATTTGTACAGTACACTAGTCCTAGCTTGTAGCCCAACATCGTGCTTCCAAAGTTAGTAGAATGCCTTTAGGAAGGCTCAGGTAGAATGTGAAAGCTAGAAACTCATTAACTGGTTGCGTTTTAGGTGAATAAGTAACTTGTATCAATTCTGCAGTGGCTCAGAGGCTAAGACACTGAGCTTGTCGATTGAAAGGTCGGCAGTTCAGCGGTTCGAATCCCTAGTGCCGCGTAATGGGGTGAGCTCCTGTTACTTGTCCCAGCTTCTGCCAACCTAGCAGTTCGAAAGCACGTAAAAATGCAAGTAGAAAAATAGGGACCACCTTTGGTGGGAAGGTAACAGCGTTCCGGGTGCCTTTGGCGTTTAGTTATGCCAGCCACATGACCCAGAGACGTCTTTGGACAGCGCTGGCTCTTCAGCTTTGAAACGGAGATGAGCACTGCCCCCTAGAGTCGGGAACAACTAGCACATATGTGTGAGGGAAACCTTTACTTTTACCTTATCAATTCCAGAACTCTTAACTATTCAACTTTCTAGTGATTTATCACATATCTGTTTTAAAAGTACCGGTATAATAGAACTGGTTCTTAAACAATTATTTGTTTAGCCATGTTTTGTTGGAAATCCAATGGTTGGCTGAGTTTCACAACCCACTAAAGAATAAAATATGATTGACAGATGATAATAGTTGGATTCACACAATATCTGAAGCCAAATTCAGACAACCATTAGTGCAATAACTGAACTCAAACATAATGGAAGTGCTTTTTGGTGGCTATTTTGTGTGTGTGTCTGTGTATACACACAGACACACACACATATGCACCAGCCCATCATCAGAGAATCTTTGTACAAATGAACAAATAATAAGTGATCCAAGCAGGCTCCATAGCCTTGTGTTAGTATCCCAGAGAAAAGGCTTAATTCAGGAACTGGTGAACTGATTACTGTACACAGAGTAGGGCTATACACCAGTTCAAGGCTTACTTTGTGACAGAAAGAATGTATTGCATTGTGCAAAAGGACTGTAAATGGAAGAGGTGGCATCCATTTTTAATTTCTACCTGGCAGCCAGAGACCGAAACGTTCAAATCTATTTTGAATTATATATTTATGAATGCCTAAGTGCCTAGCTAAGCAGCTTACAATAGGATTAAAATATATGTGCAATCAATATATCAACAATGTGTTCTTTTATGTAGCATATAAACAAAAAATGAGTTGGTGTTTGAATCCAATAGCTAAGAAACCTGTAAGAAAAAGTGGCTGTTTGGTGATGGATATTAGCAAGCTCATTGTTAATTGAAACCTAGTTGTGATATAATTAAAAAAAAAATCTAAGAATACCTTTATATTATACACACACAGTTTTGTTCCAATAGGATTTCTATTATTGGTTTTTTTAAAACCATTTTTTGAATTTTTTCAGCAGAGGGCAGGAGAGCTCCAGTAAAAGCTATAGGTGACAGCTGGTTATGATCAGACAAGGATGATATTGGAAGAAACCCATTTTGAAGAACTAGAGAGCATGTCTATTTTGATAGACTTTTCCTCCTTATGCTACTCTCTCAATCACACCCCAATATCTTAAAATATGCTATCTTCTTAAATTAATATGTAATGTAGGTAAAGCATGGGATAAATACAAACAAATCATTGCAATAGTTTGGGAGTGCAAAGGTTACTCTGCCCTGAAAGTCCACATCTGGAAATGAAAGTTGCTTTCCAGCACAAACAATTTTGGAAAGAGACTATAAATATGCCTACTGGAATCTGAACAGTTTATTTTACCACCTCCTCCTTCCAGAATTTAAAATAGTTATTCAGGAGCCAGGGACTAAAAGCTACGATGAAGAGTCTTTATTGCTGTATGATCCTCTCTGGAAGTTACCCACAACTAATTCAGTGGAACTTAGTTTTTAATTGACTTCCAGACTGCTGACTGTGTAGAGCAGGGGTTTCAAACTCATGGCCCGTGGTGTCACGGCCCTGGTTTAGCGAAGGGGGAAAAAGTCTATGTGACGATGACATGACGATGCGAGTTTGACACTCCTGGTGTAGAACATTGCCTGCTGATCAGAATTGATCAGAACGCATGGGAAGGAACTGGATGGAAGCTACATTAAGAAGAAACCCACCAATCTGACAAATTTCAAAATTTGCATCCACAGGGACCAGATGTATCTATTTTTCAATGCCACTATGTGTTTTGTTTGGTTTTGACTTAGTGGCTTATAAACTATGGTTTACATATTACTGTGTTTCTCAGAAAATAAGACCCTGTCTTATTTTTTTCAAACCCCGAAATAAGCACTTGGCTGTATTTTCGGGGAGGTCTTATTATTTCGGGGCGCGTGGAGCAAGATGAGGTTCCTCTTGCTGTCTTACCTGATTTCCAGCTCTGCATTTAAATATTTTTGGGGAGGGCTTATTTTCGGGGGGAGGCTTATTTTAGCGCATGTGCTCAAAAGCTTGATTAGGCTTATTATCAGGGGATGTCTTATTTTCGGGTAACAGGGTAGTTGATTGTGTGTCTATCTCCCATTGCTCAAACCAAGGATAGTATCTAATCATGTTAATGAAGAAGACTTCAGTGGGATCAGGTCAACTTCCAATTCACCATTGGTGAATCCCATTCTCTCAGCCTCAATCTCCCCTTCCCTATGAAGCTAATATTATTTGATTGGCATCAACGCATCTGCTGAAAACCATGCCACCATGAGAGGACAGTTGCCTTGTTGCTCATCTTCCTATTGTCACCCATTCTTTCTGCGTGGTCATGTGGCTAAGATGGCAACTTAGGACACTAGTATAAGTCACTACAAGCTGGAGAGAATCATAATTGTCACTCCTGGTTCACAATTCCCTTTATCTTTTTGAGAAGGGTTTTTTGTTGTTGTTCTTCAGTTCTCTCTCCTCTTTCATTGGTTGACAATGCAAAGTGCTAGAAACACATGGAAAAGAAAGGACCCACTTGCCTGAGGACTTCTGAAAACTTGGAGCTGGGGCTAATATTAAACTATCCCACAACATTGCCTAGTAATATCATGTTTCCCCAAAAATAAGACCCTGTCTTATATTTTTTTGAACCCTGAAATAAGCACTTGGCCTTATTGCCATGCGCTCAAAAGCCCCATTGGGCTTATTATCAGGGAGTGTCTTATTTTGGGGAAAACAGGGTAGAAAACAAATAAAAAGCAATAATTCAGTCCAAAATGATCTTCCAAATTTTCACTCAAAATGAGCTACATTTTTTCAGCCTTTATAATTAGAAATATTTGCAAATTTGACTTAGCCCAGCCCTTATTGGAGGAAGGGAGATGGAGCGTCATCACTGGAAGTTTTCAAGAAGAGACTGGACTGCCAATGGTATAGGGTTTCCTGTTTGAGCAGTGGGTTGGACTCGGTGACCTACAGGGTCCCTTCCAACTCTGTTATTCTATTCTATTCTATGCTCAACTTTACATGGGCAAAATAGTTATAAGTTCCTTTGTCTTTCATGGGTATCATAAAATGAGATGCCCAGGTTGAAAAGTCACATAAGAAATC